GATGATCCCAGATTAAGATATAATCCGCGTCATGTTTTCAGATGATCCCAGATTAAGATAATCCGCGTCATGTTTTCAGATGATCCAAGCCATTATACGACTCCGGAAGATGTCGAAGTCAGTATAGAACAAATACCGCAGGACGAAGGGGAGGGGGAAGGAGAAGGGGTGAAAGGAGAAGGGGTGAAAGGAGAAGGGGTGAAAGGAGAAGGGGTGAAAGGAGAAGGAGTGAAAAAACCAAAGAAAGATGGAGATTTAACGATAGAACGGGCAAGTAAGTATTGCTGTTGTTTATGTGGCGATGTTGACTTTGGTGTGGTGATGTCGGTGTGGTGATGTTGGTGTTGTGGTGTTAGTGTAGTGATGTTGGTGTGGTGCTGTTTGTGTAGTGATGTTGGTGTTTATGTAATGATGTTTGAGTTTGATGTTGGTGTGGTGATGTTTGTGTGGTGATTTTAGTATAGTGTTGTTGGTGTGCTGATGTTGGTGTTTGTGTAGTGATGTTGGTGTGGTGATGTTTGTGTAGTGATGTTGCTGTTTGAGTGGTGGTGTTTGTGTATTAATGTTGGTGTGGTAATGTTGGTGTATGTGTGTCGATGTTGGTGTTTGTGTAATGATGTTGGTGTTTGTGTTGTGATGTTGATGTTTGTGTTGTGATGTTGGTGTTTGTGTTTGTGTGGTGATGTTTGTGTGGTGATGTTTGTGTTGTGGTGTTTGTGTGGTGATGTTGGTGTTTGTGTAATGATGTTGGTGTTTTTGTAGTGATGTTGGTGTGGTGATATGTGTGTGTTAAGGTTGGTGTTTGTGTGTTGATGTTGGTGTTTGTGAAGTGATGTTGGTGTGTGTAGTGATGTTGTTGTTTGTGTAGTGATGTTGGCGTGTGTGTCGTGATGTTGCTGTTATTGTAGCGATGTTGGTGTTTGCGTTGTGATGTGGGTGTGGTGGTGTTTGTGTGGTGATGTTGGTCTTGGTGTGGTGATGTAAGTGTTTGTGTTGCGATGTTGTTGTTTGTTTAGCGATGTTGATGTTGGTGTGGTGATGTTGGTGTTTATGTGGTGATATTTGTGTGGTGATGCTGGTTTTGATTTTGTGATGTTTGTGTAGTAATGTTCGTGTTGGTTTGGTGGTGATGTTGGTGATGGTGTGGTGATGTTTGTTGTTGTAGTGATGTTGGTGTTTGTGTGGTGATGTTGATGTGGTGGTGTTTGTGTAGTGATTCTATGTGATTTACTCCAACATATATGTTGGGAAACTGTCTAAAGAGTTTCTGGTCAAAACAATGATGTCTGCTGTCGCCCCTCCTCTTCATGGTGGTTCTCGATTGGGTGACACGCACAGCTTATGCCAGTTCTGGAAAAGGTATTCAGTGGACACTTACAGGGAAACTAGAGGATCTGAAGTTTGCATTTGATCTTGCCTTACACCCGCTATAAGACTTGCAAGAAAAAGTCGATGCATTAGGAGCCATCTCTCAGCGCGTAGGTCTCAAATCAACAAAGAAAAGACAGAAGTGATGAGAATCAACAATAGCCAGGAGGCCCCAGTGACAATAGACGGAAGACATGTAAATGATGTGGAAGAGTTTTGTCTACCTTTGCAGCAAGATTAGCAACTCGGGAGGCACAGGACATGCGTGCTAAAAGTAATAGAGCCCGCTTCGCTTTCACAGTTCTGCGACCCATATGGAAAAATCTGCCATCTCCAACCAAACCAAGATTAGAATATTTAACTCAAATGTCAAGGCAGTTTTGCTATATGGAGCAGAGACATTGAGAGTCTCTAAAGCTAGCACAGCGAATATACAGACCTTCATGAACAGATGCCTTAGAGTTAGACATATTTTGAAATTTAGGTGTAAAGGCATGGATCGTGTCTTTGTGTATATGATTGTGTTTGTAAGTGGACAATTTGTTTAAACACACAACAAAAAACAAGTTTGTATATTACATTATTTAAAGACCTTCCAAACGAGAAATGTCATTAAGATTATCTGCCGTAAGCTCCACATTAGGAAATTATTAATTAGGATGTGAAGATTGCAAACGCAAACCAACAGATGCAAATGTGGGGCTAGTGTTAATAGTTGAATTTTTTTATACTTAATCTCAAACCGATCATTATGTACAGACGTTATTTCTACCGACGTTTAATATTGCCGTTCTGCAGATTTTATATTGATCCATGATTTCTACATTGCTTTGTATTGCTTTATATTGATTTCTCCAGATTTCTAGTTTCTATATAGCTTTCTACAGATTTTTGTATTAATTTCTCCAGATTTCTAGTTTCTATATTGCTTTCTACAGATTTTTGTATTAATTTCTCCAGATTTCTAGTTCTATATTGCTTTCTACAGATTTTTTTTATTGATTTCTTCAGATTTTTATACTGATATCTACATATTTTTACATTTGAATTTTTGCAGATTTTGAGAAAAAGAATTTAAAAAAAACTGCCGCACTCGTTCTTCGAGTGTTAAAGGCTAAGCGTTCGGGTAAAGAGACGCCGAAAGATGGACTAGAGCTCTCGGACGAGTCAGACAGCGAATCAGAAGATTCCGCAGAGCTAGACTTAGACCGTAGCACTGTTTAGAGAACACTCTCGCTCGACAAGAATTGGAAGATCTAGATCTCGAACTAACTTTTTAAAATAAACATAAATTCCTCGCTGATTCTTCATAGCTTTTTTTTTTAAATACAACATATCTACTTGACTTAAATTTTTATACAAATTGACTTTCTTAAGATTTTTATATTGATTTCTACAGATTTTTATATTGAATTTTTACAGATTTTAAGAAAAAGAAATTTAAAAAAACTGCAGCAATCGTACTACGGGTGATAAGGGCGAGACGTTTGGGTAAGTCGGTGCGGAAAGAACATCGGTCTGAACTCTCCTCATCAGATAGTGACTCAGAAGAATCAGAAGAGCTAGAAATAGACCTAAACGCTCTCACTCGCAAGCAATAAGAAGAAATAGATCTCGAACAAGAGTTTTAAAATAAAATTAAATTCCTCGTTCATAGTACTTTAATCATAGCTATTTTTTTTTATTCCAACGGATCTACTTTACCAAAGTTATTTTACTAACGTGGATACACTTGAAGAGCTAAACGCCCCAAACGACTCTATCCTAACCCTCAGTGATTTCTTCGTTCGCATCATTTTTTAAAGGAGCTTCAAATCCCATCACACTGCTTGTCGCAGCAAAAGAGACTAAACTTCTTCGTTTAATAATGCATTGACTTTTGAGCCATTGATTTGATAAAATAATGAACACCTTGTTATCAGATATAGTTGAACTTACACGGACATCGTTCTTGTACGGTTTTGTTATCTGTCCTTAATATTGCTTTCAATTTTTTCAATTTTTATCAACATTAAATGCTTTATGTTAACTGAAAAAATTGAATAAATTATTGCATTTAGACAGCGTTTAAGGATTTGTTCATCGTAAAACTAATTCATTTAAATACAAAAGTAGTTTGTTTGCAAACCACTGTGAATGTCATTTGATTTTGTGTGTAGAATTGTTGTCTTCGAAAACGTAATGTGGCATACACTTTAAGTTTACATGGTTAAGTTTTAAAAAAAAATGAAAAGCTATTATTAACAATTAATTTTGGCTATTTTTAAAAGTATCCTAACGTTGAACATTTGATGTTAATGTATGTCTACTCTTAACTGAAGAAAACTTACATTTTTGGAACGACTAATGTCGGAATGTTGTTGATAAGTTTGTTCCGGTTTGAAAATGGAATGGTGTTAATAAGTTGTCTGTTAATTCGTATGTTATTACAAATTACACAGACATTACACAGCTATTACACAGACATTACACAGCTATTACACAGACATTACATAGACATTACACAGCTATGACACAGACATTACACAGCTATTACACAGACATTACACAGCTATTACACAGACATTACACAGCTATTACACAGACATTACATAGACATTACACAGCTATTACACAGACATTACACAGACATTACACAGACATTACACAGACATTAACGGATATTACATAGACATTACACACCTATTACACAGACGAAAACTGACTAATTGAAAAGCCCTTGTGTCGACGGCAGAATATAAAAGAAAAATTACCTCCTTAAGCCGCCTCACTTGTAATCGGATGCTCTTTACCCCCACCCACCCCCCCCCCACACACACCTTAATCTTACAACACCATCTAGCTGTATATGATAGTCATATGTAGTTCAGATGCGTAGCGAGTGGGGGGGATCAGGGGGGGGGGGGGACATATGTCCTAGGGCGCCGACCTTAGGGGGCACCAAAATGGGTTGTAAAAACAAAAGAAAATTCATTTTAGCTGTATTTTTTTGCAGTTTGGGGAGGGGGGTGCAAATCAAAAGTTTGAGGAGGAGGGGGTGCAAATTGAAAATTTGCTCCCGGTGGGGGCGCCAAATTGAAAGTTTATCCCCGGGCGCCGGAATGGGTCGCTACGCCTTTGATGTAGTTGTATATGCCTGCTTATGATAGCCCTATCTAGCTGTATATGTATCCTAATGAAAGCCTTGTCTAGCTTTATTTGCCTATTAATTGGAGCACTATCTAGTTGTATTTGCCCGCTAATTACCGCACACCTACCCTTTGACAATTGATTTAACTTGAGCTGGATTTAGATCAGCTGTCCATGTATGCAACATTTTGTATCGAGAAAGAAAAATCACTGTCCTAAAACTAAGTTAAGAAAAGAAACGAAACAACACCCGGGATGGAGATATCTTTATTTGTTGTTCGAATACCAGTTTTGTCAGGTACACTCAAATTGTTGTCGTATGTTCGTTAAACAGTGAACCTGTTATCTACCTTATCGTCTATGTAAATTCTTTCTAAATTATCTCCCCTACATACAACTAAAGTACCATGCATGTTATATATATATATATATATATATATATATATATATATATATATATATATATATATATATATAAAATACAATTACTTAATCGTTTCAGGTCATGTTTATGTGTACTGATTAGACTTAAGTGTGTTGCCAAAGATTGTGCGTGTGTTTCCTCCCTTTTGTCCGTGAAAATCGTGTGTTGTCTCCCCTAAACCGTTGGGTAACTAGCAGATGTGGCAATGCCGCAGTTGTTGTCCTTGTTTCTGGACATCATGATGTAGCCTTTCAGTCCCCAGGTGTCACCCCAGCTGCAATAGACAAACACAGGTAAACATTAGGTGTGTAGTTGTGAGTGCGGGCGCATACAGAACATGTATGTAAGGTATGTAATTCTAAGTATAGGTACACATACTGCACACATATATGAGGTATGTAATTCTAAATATAGGTACACATACGGCACACATATATGAGGTATGTAATTCAAAATATAGGTACACATACGGCACACATATATGAGGTATGTAATTCTAAATATAGGTACACATACAACACACGTGTATAAGGTCTGTAATTCTAAGTACAGGCACAAATACAGCACACATATGTGCAGGAACATATAGCACACTATTATAACATGTGTAGATATTATGGGAATCAATTATTGCACATATTTATACAATCTCTAGTAACAACTGCAAGGAATTAATGTACACGTATGTCAGATCTGTAGTTCTACCTGCAAGCCGTTATTGCACATGTATGTCTGATCTACGTGCAAACAATTTGTAGGCTCCTACCTGTTCTTTACGAGCCAGTAGTCCTACGTGCAAACAATAAGTAGGTCCCTACCTGTTCTTGACGAGCCAGTAGTACTACGTGCAAACAATAAGTAAGTCCCTACCTGTTCTTGACGAGCCAGTAGTCCTTGCCCTGATAGTTGCCGTAGCCGACAGCGAGCACACCGTGGTCAAGTCGGTTCTGACTACACAAAATGCTGTGGTACACTCCACCGCTGTACAGCTGTGGGATCGAATCCAACCACGGTTAGTGACAAAATTGTAAAACAATTTGAGATAATTTGTTTTACTTTCTTATACGACCTGCTAGAATTAGAATTGTTTCAGCTGACATTTTTCTCAAGAAGAAATTAGTCAATGCATATCCTTGAATTTCTATGATTTTACTTTTTTTTAAATCAAAGATAAATATTTTTGATTTTTTTCTTTATTATAAAAAATGATTTTTGTCTGGATTTTCTAGAATTACACAAAATTTTCGTAATCTGTTAATCCCACTAACATGGAAACTAACGTGACCTATTGACACACTAACCTGGAAACTGGTGTGACCTATTGACCCACTAACCTGGAAACTGGCGTGACCTATTGACCCACTAACAGGGAAACTAGCGTGACCTATTGACCCACTAACCTGGAAACTAGCGTGACTAGCGTCGATGGCCACCGAGATGGGGCCAACATTGGCCACTGCGTCCTGTAGAGCGCCCTCGTCCTTGGACTTGACGTCAACAAATCCGGTATCCTCAGCGCCAACGTTGGCGGTATTGAAGCGGCACTTGTCGTCCTAGGAAGGGTGCATCAGGAAATATTCAATAGCAATGTCTAATACCACAGGGACATTTGACAGTACAGACGAAGCTGAAACAGGCGGTTCCGCCGGCGCCCCAGCAAGGGTGCGATTTGGCGCCATGGGCTAGACTGTGCTCACTTTACGTTTATGCTTGCGTTTGTGGGTTTTTTTGTGTTTGGGTTAAGTTTGGTGTTGGGTTTGCGTTTGTGGTTGGGTGTTTTTTTGGATTTGGTTTGTTTTCGTTTGCTTTTTTTGTTTGTGTTTGTGTTTTCTTTGTGTTTGTAGTTGTGTTTGCGTTTGTGTTATGTTTGCGTTTTTTGTCTTTTGTTTTAGTTTTGGTTGGTTGTGGTTAGGGTGGGCAATGCCGGGTATATGCTGATTACTAAACATACGTCATGGTCCTTTACAGATAGGTCTTTTTACAGAGGCCAGTGAAGGGCCTGGCCGGAACGGCTAGTATACATATATATATATATATATATATATATATATATATATATATATATATATATATATATATATATATATATATATATATATATATATATATATAATTTGTATATTACCACTCCTACCTCTATCACAGTAATCATACACATCCATTGACTAGTTCTATATAATATCCTCATATCGCCCCCCCCCACCTCATAGGTACAAGAGTTCAAAATTACTTAGCCACCACATCATTTCCGATATACGATTACCCTCCATCGAAATCCCAACTCCTGCATCGAAATCCTAACCCCTCCATCAAATTCCAACCACCCATCTAAATCCCAACCACCCATCTAAATCCCAACAACAAATCTAAATCCCAACCCCTCCATCTAAACCCCATCCCCTCCATCGAAATCCCAACCACCCATCTAAATCCCAACCACAAATGTAAATCCTAACCCCTTCATCTAAATCCCAACCACCCATCTAAATCCCAACCACCCATCTAAATCCCAACCCCTTCATCTAAATCCCAACCACCCATCGAAATCCCAACCACCCATCGAAATCCCAACCACAAATCTAAATCCCAACACCTTCATCTAAATCCCAACCATCCATGAAAATCCCAACCACTCATCGAAAAAACCCCTCCATTGAAATCCCAATCTCTCCATCGAAATCCTAATCTCTCCATCGAAATCCAAACCACTCCATCTAAACCCAACCACCCATCTAAACAAAACAGGTCAAAATATTTCTGACTTTGATTATCAAACCTACAAGATCTGTTATCGTCGCTAGCTGATAACTTTTTTTCCTCGTGCGTCTTTTTATCTAATCACTGAAGCAAAATCTAGACTAAAATATCGATTACTTTTTTAAACACTCCAGATACTTACAACGCCCTCGTAGGGGTATGAGGTTTCGGTATCGATACCGTTGTTGACTTTAATGTAGGTGAAAGCCTGGTCCATCAAACCGCCATTGCAGCCTTGGTTACCTGTCGTCAGGGGAGGTAAAAATAGTTGGGTTCAAGTTTAAAGATGGCGGACTACCTTTAGGTCTAGGGCTCTTCTTGTCTCTTTATGACGTGTACGTCATTACCCCCTGCCATTACACACATTAATTACCCACAGTCTATTACCCTATTTTTTCATGTAATAATTATCATCCCCCCTCCCTCCCAGAATACAAATAGTACATGTTACAAATACAGTGAGGTACACGCCTCTGTAACTAATACTTAAGTTGCCATACTCAAGCGGTTACACGATCGTTAAATATCCAAAAGCTAGATGTATTCAATCTTCATGCTGATAAATTGCACGATATAATTTTAATCTTACCCGTGCCCTAATTAGCATGAACGGATCAAAGACTTAAGTAGAGGTAGCCACACATGGCCTATGGGCCCATACAATGAGAAAATATTGGCGTCCATCTAGAGCCTAGTCCTGCCTTCCCTCTAGGCCATAGGACATAGTCCTGATGACCATTTAGGACATAGGTAATAAACATGCCTTCCTTCTAGGAGATAGGACATTGTCCTGCCATTCCTCTAAGAGACTGCCAGCAAGAACCGCCCAAACATCTAAGTCCTGAGCTAGAATTTCAAACCTTCACAAAATGGTAACCTATACGCCGAATGCAAGTCAAAAGTTGTTCTACCACGGTTATTTCAAATATAAAGATTAAAATCTGATGACGCCCATATCGACCCAGATAAACATTTTTAATGTGCTATCTGGTGGAATTTGACCACTGTACGCTATTTGCTGTGATAAGCTTCAGAAAGGGTGCTTAAAAAACTAGAGCCAACTAACGCTGAACTTTACACACTTGTTTTATGTGTGTTAGATTTTTAGGTCTCATTGGATATAAGTTATCGCATAACAATCACGGTGTATTTTAGTTTTAATGATAAGACAAATATTCAACAACGTCAGATGTAAAACTGTACCGAACAAATGTGAACGCTAAGTTTAAAGCGTTATGTGTAATTTAGTAAACAGTAATTAGGTTGACGTGTTTTGTACGAAGCACAGGCGAAGACCGTTCTGGTGAACCTAGATCATCTGTACGATGTCTTTACCTAAAATAAAGACCTGTGGCAACACATAATACAACAAATAGGGATATTAAAGCCTAAAAATGGGGGGAGGGGGTTGATAGGGCAAACCGTGAGAAGGGGAGAGGACAACATGGTGAGGAAAGTATTAGTCTGGAAACCCTCTGGGGTGGGGGGAAGTATGCGGACAAGGAAATCCTGTAAGGGGGGGGGGGGGAGTAGAAGCTGCGGCAAGGGCTGCTGGGATTCCGTGGACTCAGATAAAGAGAGACGCCATAACTGAGTCCGGTGAAGAGGTGGAGACTGCAGCCCTTTGCTCCCCAGGAGAGGTGGAGACTGCAGCCCTTTGCTCCCCAGGAGAGGTGGGGACTGCAGCCCTTTGCTCCCCAGGAGAGGTGGGGACTGCAGCCCTTTGCTCCCCAGGAGAGGTGGGAACTGCAGCCCTTTGCTCCCCAGGAGAGGTGGGGACTGCAGCCCTTTGCTCCCCAGGAGAGGTGGGGACTGCAGCCCTTTGCTCCCCAGGAGAGGTGGGGACTGCAGCCCTTTGCTCCCCAGGAGAGGTGGGGACTGCAGCCCTTTGCTCCCCAGGAGAGGTGGGGACTGCAGCCCTTTGCTCCCCAGGAGAGGTGGGGACTGCAGCCCTTTGCTCCCCAGGAGAGGTGGGGACTGCAGCCCTTTGCTCCCCAGGAGAGGTGGGGACTGCAGCCCTTTGCTCCCCAGGAGCCGTAAAGAAATAATTGAAGTGACGTGATCTCTACTTAATGTAAAGCCAGGTGACGTCCGTTCAAATTTTGTTTTTTGTAGTTTTGACCTGATCACGTGACCTATTTATCTGATTGAGGTCGTTATGATTTTCATTAACCTACTGTCGCTTATCTCAGCAGATAATCGCTCAGATTAAAATAACGTTATTCGTTAGTCACCAAAGAGAATTTTTTAAAAAAAAAACGTGTGTAAGTAATCAGTTGTCAAAAAATATAATTATTGGCAAATGTCCAGATTTAAAATTATTCACGGTTCCCTACACACAGCTGAAACCGCACTGGGTGGGGGGGGGGGGGGGACGTAAAAAAACTCAAGACTTTATTAAATGCAGTTGGTGTATCTATTGGCTACCCAAGTATTCAGTGTTTCTTCCAGACTTTTTTCTCCGGGGGGGCACTGGATATTTTCGGGAGCGGTCAACATTTTTCGGGGGGAGGGGGCGGACACTAGTAAAAGTATATGTTTACTATATAAATTACATCTCGTTCGGGGGGAGGGGCGGTAGACTTTCTTCAGGGGGGCTCCGCCCCCCCCCCCTCCCGAAGAGATGCCTGGAAGAAACTCTGCAAGTATTATAAAATATAGTAGACTATACGTCTTACTACAGTACTATATATAGGCCGTCCCACTGACACGATGCCAGGACAAGCAAAGTAGCAGATCACAAACTCAACGGTTTTTTAATATGTGTTAGAGTCACTAAAGAGCTGGAGGGTGGTTGTTAATTTGTGTTAGCATTAACACTACTTTATGACGTCAAAGTTCGACGTCATTTGTTGATTTCCCCTACACTACCCCATCCTTCTGTTTCCCCCTAACCTGCCGGAGATAACCAGAGAGTTCCCCCCCCCCCTGCCCTAAATAACCAGAGACCGGTACCTTGTTTTTGGGAGCAGTCGACCAGGTTCTGTTCTGAGAGGGACGTGAGGGTGCCAGTTTTCTTGAAGTGCTGGCCCTCCAGGGAGCCGGTGGAGGAGAACGCCCAGCAGGAGCCGCACTGGCCCTGTATGACAAGAGAAAAACAGTTCTGTACACTGTACACAAACAGTTCTGTACACTGTACACAAACACTTTGGTAGATTGTACACAAACACGACGATATATTGTACACAAACACTTCGATAGATTGTACACAAACACGTCGATAGATTGTACACAAACACTTCGATGGATTGTACACAAACACTTTGGTATATTGTAGACCAACACGTCGATATATTGTACACAAACACTTTGGTATATTGTAGACCAACACGTCGATATATTGTACACAAACACTTCCATATATCGTACACAAACACGTCGATAGATTGTACACAAGCTATTTCTGTTGACAGCAAAATTAAAAACAAAACGCTAACTTGTAGTTTGGGGAAAGGGGTGTGGGGTTGTTATGTTAGAGAATTGTGGAGATCATATTTCTAGCCACATCCTGACTCACATGATTCACGACGTCAGGTAAGTCCTCAACGTTTCTACTCACACCCTGACTCACCTGAACGTTTCTATCTACTCCCTGGCTCACCTGAACGTTTCTATCTACTCCCTGACTCACCTGCCTGACTCACCTGAACGTTTCTAGCCACACACTGACTCACCTGACCGTTTCTAGCCACACCCTGACTCACCTGAACGTTTAAAGCCACACCCTGACTCACCTGAACGTTTCTAGCCACACCCTGACTCACCTGAACGTTTAAAGCCACACCCTGACTCACCTGAACGTTTAAAGCCACACCCTAACTCACCTGAGCGTTTAAAGCCACACCCTGACTCACCTGCCTGACTCACCTGAACGTTTAAAGCCACACCCTAACTCACCTGCCTGACTCACCTGAACGTTTAAAGCCACACCCTGACTCACCTGCCTGACTCACCTGAACGTTTAAAGCCACACCCTGACTCACCTGCCTGACTCACCTGAACGTTTAAAGCCACACCCTGACTCACCTGAACGTTTCTAGCCACACCCTGACTCACCTGAACGTTTAAAGCCACACACTGACTCACCTGAACGTTTAAAGCCACACACTGACTCACCTGCCTGACTCACCTGAACGTTTAAAGCCACACCCTAACTCACCTGAACGTTTAAAGCCACACACTGACTCACCTGAACGTTTAAAGCCACACCCTAACTCACCTAACCGTTTAAAGCCACACCCTAACTCACCTGAACGTTTAAAGCCACACACTGACTCACCTGCCTAACTCACCTGAACGTTTAAAGCCACACCCTAACTCACCTGAACGTTTAAAGCCACACCCTAACTCACCTGAACGTTTAAAGCCACACCCTGACTCACCTGAACGTTTCTAGCCACACCCTAACTCACCTGAACGTTTAAAGCCACACCCTGACTCACCTGCCTAACTCACCTGAACGTTTCTAGCCACACACTAACTCACCTGAACGTTTAAAGCCACACCCTGACTCACCTGAACGTTTAAAGCCACACACTAACTCACCTGAACGTTTAAAGCCACATCCTGACTCACCTGAACGTTTCTAGCCACACCCTAACTCACCTGAACGTTTAAAGCCACACCCTGACTCACCTGAACGTTTAAAGCCACACACTAACTCACCTGAACGTTTAAAGCCACATCCTGACTCACCTGAACGTTTCTAGCCACACCCTAACTCACCTGAACGTTTAAAGCCACACCCTGACTCACCTGAACGTTTAAAGCCACACACTAACTCACCTGAACGTTTAAAGCCACATCCTGACTCACCTGAACGTTTCTAGCCACACCCTAACTCACCTGAACGTTTAAAGCCACACCCTGACTAACCTGCCTGGCTCACCTGCCTGACTCACCTGAACGTTTAAAGCCACACCCTGACTCACCTGAACGTTTCTAGCAACACCCTAACTCACCTGAACGTTTAAAACCACACCCTAACTCACCTGAACGTTTCTAGCAACACCCTAACTCACCTGAACGTTTAAAGCCACACCCTGACTCACCTGAACGTTTAAAGCCACACCCTAACTCACCTGAACGTTTCTAGCAACACCCTAACTCACCTGAACGTTTAAAGCCACACCCTGACTCACCTGAACGTTTCTAGCAACACCCTAACTCACCTGAACGTTTCTAGCCACACACTGACTCACCTGCCTGACTCACCTGAACGTTTCTAGCCACACCCTGACTCACCTGAACGTTTCTAGCCACACCCTGACTCACCTGAACGTTTCTATCTACTCCCTGACTCACCTGCCTGACTCACCTGAACGTTTCTAGCCACACCCTGACTCACCTGAACGTTTCTATCTACTCCCTGACTCACCTGCCTGACTCACCTGAAACTTTCTAGCCACACACTGACTCACCTGACCGTTTCTATCTACTCCCTGACTCACCTGCCTGACTCACCTGAACGTTTCTAGCCACACACTAACTCACCTGAACGTTTAAAGCCACACCCTGACTAACCTGCCTGGCTCACCTGCCTAACTCACCAGAACGTTTCTAACAACACCCTGACTCACCTGAACGTTTCTAGCCACACCCTGACTCACCTGCCTGACTCACCTGAACGTTTCTAGCCACACCCTGACTCACCTGAACGTTTGTAGCCACACCCTGACTCACCTGCCTGACTCACCTGAACGTTTCTAGCCACACCCTGACTCACCTGCCTGACTCACCTGCCTGACTCACCTGAACGTTTCTAGCCACTCCCTGACTCACCTGATTCTTGACGTCAGTGACGTAGCCCTTGGTTCTCCAATCCACCTCTGCAGGTAGGTCCTCAACGTTTCTAGCCACATGCACAAGATTGCTGAAGTTCCGCCTCTCCTCGTAGCGGTACCCGTTCATGGTCTTGACAAATTCCTCGTTAGTCTGCAAGTTCAAGTCTTAGAAGTCATGGACCTAATTAATTATTCCAACCAGTAATTACCATTTCTTTACAAATAAACTAGAAAAAGTAGAAAATCGATCACAGATTCTGTATTTTTATCATAAAGTTCTAAACGGTGCTTATTTTTCAATTTTCAATGGTGAGGGGACGAAGCGGCCTAGCGGTAGAGAGATGGACTGCTAACCAGTCAGTCTCGAGTTCGAATCCGGGTTCAAGTCAGTAGACCATCCTTGATTCCACCCATATTTGTTCTACCCCAGGAAAAATCCAAAACACCCCCCACCACACCCCACGAATAAACCCCGACTCACCATGTCAGCATATTCGTTCTCCCCGAGAAAAAATCCAAACTCGCCCCTCTCATAGGCGGCGTTGTGCTGTTGGATGTAGGCTAGGTGGTTCTCCCAGATTTGGCGTCTATGGAGGGAATGTAAGGGTTCCATTTAACGGAAATGTTCAAATTTGGTGTCTATTGGTGTAATGTATGGGTACCATTTGACGGAAATGTACATATGATCAAGCTAAAATGTGTTTGAAGTAGAGCAAGAGAAATCCATCTCATTCATCATTATGTATTCAAAATCTCCAAACAAATCAATTTGCTTGATGCAAGGATAGAAAGATTAAAATTAACACTTCTTGTGTTGTCATTTGAGATGAAAATTCTGGGAAATCTTAACTTGAACGCTGCTTTCAATATTGACATGAATCGACACAAAATAAACGTCGACACTGTGACCACACCTCATGATTCCCTCACTTACACAACCTACCTCATGGTTCCCTTCCTTACACACCTCATGATTCCCTCCCTTACACAACTCACCACATGATTCCCTCCCTTACACAACTCACATCATGATTCCCTCCCTTACACAACTCACCTCATGATTCCCTCCCTTACACACCTCATGATTCCCTCCCTTACACAACTCACCTCATGATTCCCTCCCTTACACAACTCACCTCATGATTCCCTCCCTTACACAACTCACCTCATGATTCCCTCCCTTACACAACTCACCTCATGATTCCCTCCCTTACACAACTCACCTCATGATTCCCTCCCTTACCACCTCATGATTTCCTCCCTTACACAACTCACCTCATGATTCCCTCCCTTACACAACTCACCTCATGATTCCCTCCCTTACACAACTCACCTCATGATTCCCTCCCTTACACAACTCACCTCATGATTCCCTCCCTTACACAACTCACCTCATGATTCCCTCCCTTACACAACTCACATCATGATTCCCTCCCTTACACAACTCACCTCATGATTCCCTCCCGTACACACCTCATGATTCCCTCCCTTACACAACTCACCTCATGATTCCCTCCCTTACACAACTCACCTCATGATTTCCTCCCTTACACAACTCACCTCATGATTCCCTCCCTTACACAACTGACCTCATGATTCCCTCCCTTACACAACTCACCTCATGATTCCCTCCCTTACACAACTCACCTCATGATTCCCTCCCTTACGCGACTCACCTCATGATTCCCTCCCTTACCACCTCATGATTCCCTCCCTTACACAACTCACCTCATGATTCCCTCCCTTACACAACTCACCTCATGATTCCCTCCCTTACACAACTCACCTCATGATTCCCTCCCTTACACAACTCAACTCATGATTCCCTCCCTTACACTACTCACCTCATCATTCCCTCCCTTACACAACTCACCTCATGATTCCCTCCCTTACACAACTCACCTCATGATTCCCTCCCTTACACAACTCACCTCATGATTCCCTCCCTTACACAACTCACATCATGATTCCCTCCCTTACACAACTCACCTCATGATTCCCTCCCTTACACACCTCATGATTCCCTCCCTTACACAACTCACCTCATGATTCCCTCCCTTACACAACTCACCTCATGATTCCCTCCCTTACACAACTCACCTCATGATTCCCTCCCTTACACAACTCACCTCATGATTCCCTCCCTTACCACCTCATGATTTCCTCCCTTACACAACTCACCTCATGATTCCCTCCCTTACACAACTCACCTCATGATTCCCTCCCTTACACAACTCACCTCATGATTCCCTCCCTTACACAACTCACCTCATGATTCCCTCCCTTACACAACTCACCTCATGATTCCCTCCCTTACACAACTCACATCATGATTCCCTCCCTTACACAACTCACCTCATGATTCCCTCCCGTACACACCTCATGATTCCCTCCCTTACACAACTCACCTCATGATTCCCTCCCTTACACAACTCACCTCATGATTTCCTCCCTTACACAACTCACCTCATGATTCCCTCCCTTACACAACTCACCTCATGATTCCCTCCCTTACACAACTCACCTCATGATTCCCTCCCTTACACAACTCACCTCATGATTCCCTCCCTTACACAACTCACCTTGTGATTTCCTCCCTTGGGTTCTTGTACACCTTCCTGTATGTGGCCTTGAAGTTGGACCACTCGGCGTCTAGACTGACACATGAGGCCACAGCCAGTAACCCAAGGACCACAGCGATCTTCAACATCTGGGGACAGGCGAGTCTAGTTAATACACCACCTCAACCTATCAGTTAAACCTACCACACCAGCTAAACCTACCAGTTTTCCGAAGAGCCTGGTACGTCGGACTCCCAAGTCCCCTACATATTAGCGTGGGGGAGGAGAGGTGCAAGACTGCCGGGAACCAAGAGGGGTTTGCTCTCGACCCTAACCAGATATTTTGACTTTAAGCTGCGGCCTTCACGTGGCTTCGTAGAGTGCCACTAGCCGGACCAAACTCATGACCCCCCCTAGTGGGTGCGGAATGGCTAGTGGTAGCCAACAGCAGCTAGAGGTTTTTGATCTGGCCGAGTAGAGCTGCTGTATGCGCTAGGCTCAAGAAAAAAATGGCCGAACGCCCCCAAAGATCAAGCTGGGTACCAGGCGGTAGGACGACGTCCCGCGTCTGGTGGGTGGGGAAGGAAAGCCCGGTGAGAGCCCACGGAGTAGCGACCGATGTGTGGGAAACCCTGGTGATCGGGGTTTGTCACACTGAGGCTTGCCTGGCTAATGAAAGTGAACCTTCTGAGCCGGTTTCCGTATAAGGAAGGAAGGAAACCTACCCGTTAAACCTCACACCAGCACAACCTACCAGTTCAACATACCATTTTTTGATATAATATGTACACCAGAAAATTAATTATTATCACCAATTATTTTGTTTTTATCACCAACGCTTTATTTCACACTCAATCTCTCTGTATATATGTATATAAATATATATATATATATATATATATATATATATATATATATATATATATATATATATATATATATATATATATATATATATATATATATATATATATATATATATATATATATATATATATATATATATATATATATATATATACATATATATATATATACATATATAATATTATATATTATATATATATATATACATACATACACAAAAAGTGTAGTTCCGAATGTATTACCTTTGATATGTGAGATATCCCTACACAAAGTAAAGTCCAAGCTCCCAGGCCCTGACTTTATAGCACAATGTCACAAATATCACGTGACTTTATAGCACGGTGTCACAAATCTCGCGAGATCACAAGTCCTGCACGCGCCAGTGATAACTGGGAGAGACGATAACAACGAGATAACAGGTCACATGACAACCATACACCACGGGTGACATGTGTTTTGATTCTGTCACTTCACACCATAGATATGTCTAACACATACATAGTCGAACACATACATAGGATGGATGTACATTGTCGCCCAAACTCTTTATTAACAAAACATGGGTATCAATAACTTTTTAAAAAAAATGTAATTGACACTGTGTACCTTGGCCGTTAACATACCCTTAGCACCTGGTACAACCCTAGTATAGCCCTAGTACAGCCCTAGTACAGCCCTAGTACAGCCCTAGTACACCCCTAGTACACCCCAGTACACCCCTAGTACACCCCTAGTACGGCCCTAGTACACCCCTAGTACACACCTAGTACAGCCCTAGTACACCCCTAGTACACACCTAGTACAGCCCTAGTACAGCCCTAGTACACACCTAGTACAGCCCTAGTACAGCCCTAGTACACACCTAGTACAGCCCTAGTACAGCCCTAGTACAGCCCTAGTACACCCCTAGTACACACCTAGTACAGCCCTAGTACAGCCCTAGTACACCCCTAGTACACCCCCAGTACACCCCTAGTACACCCCTAGTACGGCCCTAGTACACCCCTAGTACACACCTAGTACAGCCCTAGTACACCCCTAGTACACACCTAGTACAGCCCTAGTACAGCCCTAGTACACACCTAGTACAGCCCTAGTACGGCCCTAGTACAGCCCTAGTACAGCCCTAGTACAGCCCTAGTACACACCTAGTACAGCCCTAGTACAGCCCTAGTACAGCCCTAGTACACCCCTAGTACACACCTAGTACACCCCTAGTACACACCTAGTACACCCCTAGTACACCCCTAGTACACCCCTAGTACACCCCTAGTACAGCCCTAGTACAGCCCTAGTACACCCCTAGTACACACCTAGTACACCCCTAGTACAGCCCTAGTACACCCCTAGTACACCCCTAGTACACACCTAGTACAGCCCTAGTACACCCCTAGTACACCCCTAGTACACACCTAGTACACCCCTAGTACAGCCCTAGTACACACCTAGTACACCCCTAGTACACCCCTAGTACAGCCCTAGTACAGCCCTAGTACACCCCTAGTACACCCCTAGTACAGCCCTAGTACACCCCTAGTACACCCCTAGTACACCCCTAGTACACCCCTAGTACACCCCTAGTACACACCTAGTACAGCCCTAGTACACCCCTAGTACACCCCTAGTACACCGCTAGTACACCCCTAGTACACCCCTAGACGTGACTATCGTCCATCCGTACAACATTTCTATTCTTTTATCATTAGAATTAGAAAAAAAAACAAAGGGAAATAATCTTGATAATTCTTCTCATATCTGCTGACGTTACTGCTAATGATTAGGTCAGCTTGTCACGTGACAATATGTTGACCTACTGAGATGGGCAATGAGTTTTTGTGGTGATTACATTTTTTTAAACACTATCTTAGCTTGTGCGTTATATTACGCACTGTTGAAATGGCTACGAGTGATCCCCCATGGCCTATCAAGAGAACAGAACAGAACAGCACATGTACCAACTGTTTCTGAAGAACAAACCCGAGTAGTCTCCCTCTTCAAACCATTCCTAAGATGCGCAGTTATCGGGAGAAACAGCTGTTGAAGTGTAGTGAAAAGAGATGTGATCTGGCCCATGAATTGCTGTTGATGCAAAAGTAGAATAGTTTTCCAATTATTTTTTCCCGCCTCAGACACGTAATTTATAGCGTCAATCAAGTTTTTGTAAACTTGCGTCATGGTTTATAAGTATAGCATGTATTTCAAAATTTATTTACGTTTCGAATATAAAACAAAAGTTCTGATGAATAGCAAAATATTTTATTATAACATTGAAAAGGTATATTCTTTAACAATATAAAAGCTGGAACATGTAAATAAATATTGTACAGAATTATATCAAAGAGTATCGCTTATTTCCCCTGTGTTTGATTTTCACCACTCCCACTACTACAACAACCATGTAAAGTTTTAGGGGAAGCCCCGCCCCACCCACCACTCTGTCTTTTAATGTCGACTGGCCCCCAGCTGACCCGTTACGCCACAGTGTGTAACTAGTTTAACGCCTCCACTATGCTTGAGCTACAATGACTGACCCGCATAGCATTGTAACGTAACGAGGTTTCAGCAATACAACACCAGCGTATTGTGAGAACTAACAGTCTGTTGATTGCTGCTGTCGAACTGGTGTGCGTTTATCGATCAGCAAACATATTGTACTCGCTGGCTGTGTTTTAAAAAGGTAGCTCTGTTAGTCATCACAAACGTGCATACAAAGACTTCTCCGTAACCGATAGTGGTTGCTGTTCGTTGTGGCATATGAAATAGGAATATGGATTTGATGACAGTATTTTTACAGGTAACATAATTTAGTTTTTACAATGTATTTTTCACAGACTGCTACTATGAATCTATAACATAATGCTGGTGGTAGTGTGTCAGTCTTTGCGTTATTCTGTCTGTCATTCCGTCATTGCTATAGATTTTAGAACAAAAAAAAGAAATGTCACACTATGTAGTGTTCTTAAATTGCACCGCATTGTCTTTTTAGAAGATAGAGAGTAGGGTTTGTTTGGGAGCCGGACGGGAAAATCGCATTCGGACATTTGTCGCATTCGGGCAAGTGTTCCTTCGGGCAAACGGCATTCGGGCAAGTGTCTTTCGGGAATTTGTCGTAGACCCGGTTTGTTTATATAACGACTGAAATTTATTTTATAGTTGCCACAGTTTTTACTCTTTCGCATAACGTAAAGTAAGTTTTGAATACACGCACATTAATAAACAATATTAAACATATCGATGTCAAACAATGTTATCGCTTAGATTCCTAGGGTTCGAAAAATTAATAACTTCTATCTTTCGTTTTGCGGACAAGCTGGTTTTTTTTATAGCCATTCACTAAATTGAATCAGGGGCGTCCGCCGGCGCCCGAGCAGGGTTCGATTTTGCTCGATGGGCTATCCTGTGAGCGCTAAAAGTTAGGGTTAGGATTAGCCCCGGGCTAGACTGTGAGCACTGTGCGTTTATGTTTTGCTGTTAAGTTTGTGTTTATGCAATGCGTTGTTGTTTGCGTTTTGGTTTGTGTTTGTGTTTAAGGATTGCGTTTGCGTTAGCGTTTGTGATTGCTTTTTCGGTAGGGTTTTTTGCGTTTGCGTTGAATTTGTGTTTGCGTTTTCTGTTTAAATTGTGTTTGCTTTTGGGTTTGTGTGTTGCGTTTGTGTGTTGCGTTTTTTGCGTTTGTGTTTGTGTTCGTATTTTTTTGTTTTTGTGTTTGCGTTGTGTTTGTGTTGTATTTGTGTTATGTTTGTGTTTGTGTTGTGTTTGTGTTGTGTTTTTGTTGTGTTTGTGTTGTGTTTCTGTTGTGTTTGTGTTGTGTTTGTGTTGTGTTTGTGTTGTATTTGTGTTTGTGTTGTGTTTGTGTTTGTGTTGTGTTTGTGTTGTATTTGTGTTTGTGTTGTGTTTGGGTTGTGTTTGTGTTGTGTTTGTGTTGTGTTGTGTTGTGTTGTGTTTGTGTTGTGTTTGTGTTGTGTTTGTGTTGTGTTTGTGTTGTGTTTAGTTTTGTTCTGTTCCCAAGTTAGTACATTTAAAAAAGCACTGACAGTGCATTGGTCTGCTGCTAGTTTAAATACATTGTAGTAGTATCATATTTATAGCGGACAAGGGCGCCCGTTGCGCGTTGACGAAAGTTCAGAAGTAAGAAATCTCCAAGACACTCATTATAATATTATTCAATCGTTACTAATCATGTTGACCGTTCTAGTATCCGGGGCGCTCTGGCGAGCCACAGGTACATTATCGCAAGGACGCCGGGTGTGACTCCTGGTTGAGTTTAGTCATTGAGTGTAGTGATCCATCGTGTAAGTAGTGTAGGGCGTTCTTAAAACGAATGTAGGCGCCATAGTGCTCAAGGGATGCCTGGGGCGCCCTCGATCACTCGACCGACGGTGGAGACGTCTGATTCAATTTAGTCAACGATTATATTAGCCGAAATTGTCCATGGTGTATGACATTCTTTAAACAGAGCTTTGGCGCCATAGCGCTCAAGTGAATGATCGGCATGCTCCTGGCCAACCGACCGCTAGGGCGCCGGTATATATGTTGATTTGCCTATAAATCAAGTAGTACTGCAACCCCCTTTGCGGGACGCCCAATCGACACATACAATGTTCCGCCAGGGAACTTAGGGTGCCTAATCGCACCCCGCCGGGGCGCCATCCCCTTTCGAAATGTAATTTTTTTTCACATAAACCTTTGAATTATTTTCAACAACTTTCTTACATTCGCTTCATTATTACTTTATAACTTATTAACAACACAGGTCCTATAGGAAAGGGCTAAGGAGGTTGGCGTGGTCGGGTCGCTTAAGTTCATGATTGCTGATCCGAAAAGTCCCGAGTTCAAACCACCCGGGCAAATGAGGCTCGAAAGCTGGAGTACAGGAGCTCATCTAGGAGAGACAACTCCAAAATCAAACAAATACTGCATTGCAGTTTGTTCAAATCTAGAAAGAAAAGCAGGCCAAAATCGGAGTCAACGGCCAGCATAGCGCATAACACATTGACACATAATACTCAAGTGTGTTGGAGATTATCCCTTCCAACATTATAATTCAGAACGAAGAAGATGGATGGTGTCTGGTGTAGCCAGGCGGAACAACTTAACACACACACACACACACACACACACACACACGCACACACACACACACACACACCGGAAGTGCCCTGGTTTAGGCTCAAATTGTCCGTCCGTTTAGCGCTTAGCGCCTCGGTTATCATTGATGATTTTTAGAATCAGCGGCCACTTCTTTATATTAGCTACAAATCAATGCTAATACGTTTTACAGGACTTTAAATTTTTACAGATACTCATTTCACAATAACAGATTAGCTGCAAAAACATATGTTTCATAGTATGAACAAAAAATTTTAATGAAAAATTATTGATACGAAGTTTAAATTTTTAACCGCAGGTTACAATTGGATGAAAAAATTGATTAAAAGAGCTAAGGACTCCAAAGATTATTGGATAACAAAGACAAAATATGTTTCGAGATACTTAAAGGTTGATAGTTTGTAATTATGGGAAGATGGCGATCTGCATTAACAATCACGAGGAACTTCTGTGGGCGTGTACACGCGGTTACCAAGGAAACGTGTTGTTGTTATTGATGCGGAATGTAAGTCTGTGTGCGACTGACAGTGAGGGAAATAACTCTTTGCTTCACGCTGCCAGCGGAGGGCATACAGAGATCGTTCAGCTGTTAATAGACCGTGATGCTGATGTTAATTCAGTTAATAAATTTGGGAAAAATGCTCTTATGCAAGCGGCTCAAAAGGGACACACTCAGACAGTTGAACTTTTACTGACCAAAACCACAAATATCAATCTAACAAATGTACGAGGCTATACCGCTTTAATGCTTGCGTGTGCTAATGGACATGTACGTGTAGTTCAAATTTTACTTCAGTACAATGCAGTTACAAGTGTTGCTAATTTTAATGGCGATGACGCTATGCTAAGCGCTGCATGGAATGGTAACACAGAAGTACTTCAACTTCTGTTTGATAAAGATGCTGATATTAACTCCGTTAATAAACTTGGCAGAAATGCCCTATTTGAGGCAGTCACACACAAACATACAGACGCAGTAGAATTTCTGTTAAAAAGAGGTATTAATATACACCACAAAGAAAAGAATGGTTTGACAGCATTGTTAGTAGCATGTTACATAGGACATCACGGTATAGTGGAACTATTACTTCAACACAAAGCAAGTCTTAATGACTTCTCTAATGAAGGTTACAACCCTTTACTGTATGCTGCAACAGAAGGTCACACAGAAATAGTCACACTTCTGGTAAATAATGAAGCTGAGCTAAACTCGGTTGATAAATGTTGCAGAAATGCTCTGATGGTGGCTATTTTAAATGAACATAAGGAGACAATTAATTATCTGCTGCAGAAAGAAATTAATATCCACCACAAGGACAATAATGGATCAACAGCTTTGATATTTGCTTGTCAAAAAGGACAAATCAATACAGTGGAACTATTACTTCAACGCAAAGCAAGTGTTAATGACTGTAATAATAACGGGTATAACGCTTTACTGTGTGCTGCTTGGGCAGGTCCTACAAAGATAGTCGAACTTCTGTTAGAGCATAATGCGGAAGTTAACCCAGTGAATACGTGGGGGAGAAATGCACTTATGGAAGCTGTTTTGATGGGACATTTGGACACAATAAAATGTCTCTTGCAAAATGGTTGTAACATACACCAGAAGGAAGAAAATGGTTTCACTGCTTTGTTGATGGCTTGTGAAACAGGGAAGCTGAGTACTGTGGAAATATTACTCCAACACAATGCAAGTATGGGCGATGTTTTAAAGAATGGAAACAACGCATTACTTGTAGCAGCTGGTAGAGGACACACTGAATTAGTTTCCCTTCTGTTGGATCAAAAAGCCGATGTTAATTCAGTTAATCAAATTGGGGAAAATGCTTTTATTAAAGCTGCTCTCAAGGGTCAAACCGAAACTGTTAAATTTTTGTTAACAAAAGACTATAATATTAACCAAAAGGATAACACTAATTACACAGCTTTAATGTTAGCATGTCAGGAAGGACATTTAAGTACGGTTGAGTTATTGCTGCAGCATAATGCACGCCTGTCTTATGCAACTAAAGAAGGAAATAACGCTTTGCTTCTTGCAGCTAGTGAAGGACATACGGCAGTCGTTGAGCTTCTTTTAGATCAAGATGCTGACGTCAACTCAGTCAATGCATTTGGTGAGAATGCTTTGATGAAGGCTGTTACAAATGGCCACACAAAAACAGCGAAATTTCTACTACAAAAGGAAATAAGTATCCACCAAAAGGACACTAATGGTTCTACAGCATTTTTATTAGCGTGTCGAAATGGAGATCTCAGTACAGTAGAACTATTAATTGAATACAATGCATGCCTAACTGATGTTTCTAATGACGGTATTAATGCTTTACTGTTTGCTGCATATGGAGGTCATACTGACATAGTTAAACTTCTATTAGATCATAATGTCGATATAAATTCAGTTCACAAATTTGGTAGAAATGCACTCATGGTGGCTATTTCAATGGGAAAAACTGACACAATTGAATTTCTGTTGCAGAAAGGAATTAATATACACCATAAGGACAACAAAAATCGCACAGCGTTGTTATTGGCTTGTCAGAAAGGACTAATCAATACAGTGGAACTTTTACTTCAACACAATGCAAGTCTCAATGATGTTTATAATCACGGCTATAGCCTTTTGCTGGTCGCCGTTAATTCGGGCCACACTGAGATAGTTAAACTTCTTTTAGAAAGGAATGCAGATATCAGCTCCGTGAATAAACGGAAGAGAAATGCACTAATGGAAGCTGCTATAATGGGACATGCTGATACTGTTCAATTTTTATTAACAAAGAATTTTGATGTTAACCAAAAGGCAGAGAATGGTAACACGGCATTATTGTTGGCCTGTAAGGCAGGGCGTCTAAAGACAGTAGAAATATTACTTGAGAACAACGCGAGTCTAAACGACGCCGACGATGAAAACTACAACGCTTTGCTTTGGGCCAGTTGTCAAGGTCACACTGAGATAGTTAAACTTCTATTAGAAAGAGGTGCTGATATTACCTCCGTGAATAAATGGGGGGAAAATGCTCTTTCGGGAGCCTCTTTTATGGGACGTACAGATACTGTTAAATTTTTGTTAACAAAAGGTTTTAACATAAATCAAAAGAACGACAATGGTTTCACAGCTTTATTTTATGCTTGTTTAAATGGGCATGTAAGTACTGTGGAATTGTTACTGGATTGTAATGCTAGTGTTTTCGATGTTGACACGGAAGGATGTAACACTCTCATTCGAGCTGCAGGGATGGGCCATACAGAGGTAGTAAAACTGCTTTTAAATAAAAATGCTGATGCTAATTTAGTTAGCAATTCTGGAAGGAATGCTCTCATGGAAGCTGCTTTTATGGGGCATGCTGAAACAGTTCACTTGCTTGTGACGCAATCTGTCCGTATTGAACAAAGTTCTAGTAACGGTTCTTCAGTTTTGGAGTTAGCATCTAAACAAAGTCATCTACGTACGGTGGAAATTTTACTGGAACAAAATGAAAACCTTCGTGATGTCGATACTAGTTTCTTTAATCAAGACTTGTTTTTTACTGTGACGAACAGGCCGTTAAATTTTGTGAGTGACAGACTACAATTAGAGCAGTTTCAACATCTGGATGTTTGTTTACTTCTGTCGTTACATTTGTTACGTGCGGGAGGTGAGTTGAGTTGTTTTTCTCACATCACGTACACGCTCAGTAGTTGTACTGTAGTTTTATTGAGGGGTGTGTTACCTTTGTTTTAACTGTGTTGAACGACATTCAACTTATATATTTGTTTGCTTAAACAGATATATATATATATATATATATATATATATATATATATATATATATATATATATATATATATATATATATATCCTAATTTATAAAAGGCCATGTGCGCTCTTCTCTCTCTCTCTCTCTCTGTCTGTCCGCAAAATATTTTCGCCGGACATCACGTCAGAAACGGCAGCGATATATGAAGAACTTTTTACGGACTTTTGTTGAAAATAATATGCTAGATGTTTTAAATGTATAACCACAATTTTATTTAAAGAAGAAAAATAAAAAATAAAGGCGTATTCGAATGTAGAGAAACAGTATTATTTATGCAACCGGAAAAGCATTTATATATGTGAAGAAGAACGCATAAAACTATGACGTCACTATTTATACATTAACTAATGACGTCATCTGCCATGTTTACAATAAAAAGAAATGAACTATTTCATTCAAATATGATTTAGATCTACGTACACTATGAAATGTATAGAATACAATTTTTCCGGCCTAAACTCATTAAATTTATTTATACAAAATCTTTGTTTGGAACTGGCTAATTTGGGATAAAAAAAATTTATTTGAAAGAATAGGCATATTCGCGTAAGTTAAGATTTTAAAATACGTCTTTCATTCTCCGTAATTTATAAGGTGCCTAAATAGCGGAGATGTTAGTGTACTATAAACCACGCAGGTGGTGCGGGTTCGAGACACACCAAGTCGACTTGGTTAATGTGTTTTTTTTTTATTTTGCTCGGGCTAAACTTAAAAAAAAAATTCTATTAGGATTCTAGATCTAGATCTAGATTGTCTGGTGTCCGATAAGGCACTTCCCGGCGCCGCAGGCGTTTCAAATTTGGCAGGATCTTGCCTTGGGGCGACAGAACACGGGACCGGTTGGCCGAAAAGTCTACGATGATGGGGTCAAAACTGACCTCGACTGACCGGCGTCTTATATCAGCTATAAATCGAAAAAAAATGTCCACGGACGAACCTCTTCATATCTCCTGAGGTCGTAGACCGACCCTCGGGCGAATTAATTAAGCATTCAAATTCTCGATGTTTTTGAAAGCCTAAGCAAAGCTGGGCAGCATGCCTAGTATATTATATTTGTCATCAGATAAAAAAGACAGTAGATCAACGGTTTCAAGATCTTCTTTTTTTACAAGGTAATTTAATCTTAAGTTAAATATATCCAATTCTATTAGAACGATTATATAAATAAATAAATACATATATATGTATATATATATTTATATATATATATATATATATATATATATATATATATATATATATATATATATATATATATATATATATATATGTGTGTGTGTATCTATGTCTGTATGTGTAAATAAATACGTATGTGTGTGTGTGCGTGCGTACATGTGCGTGTGTGTGTGCGTGTGTGCATGTGTGTGTGTGCGTGTATGTGTGTGTGTAAACCCTAACTCGTATTGTTTCACACATTTCCCCAGGCTATTCACAAATTCCGGAGAAGTGAGAAAAGTTAAGCTAAAACTGAAGACGTTTGTGTCCTTATACCTGGAACCATCTAAAGACGAAGAGATCAAAGCACACATTTTTAAGGTCATGGCAGAGTTCTTAAGTACAAGAGAATTTAACTTTCTTGAGTTTGCTTTCTATCAGAAATATTTTGAAATACTGTACAAAGATATGGAGACCAGGTCCCCACAGGAATGTGCTGTAGTTGGTGATATTCTCGCTGATTTAAAGTACGCAGGTAAAAGTTTTTCGGGTTTTTACGCTTTCATGTATAATAATATTACTATAACTTTCGGCCCAGTTACCTGACAGTGGCGTAGCAAGGTCGGGTGTTACCCGGTGCGACACTTAATGGTGTCACCCCCCAGAGGCGTAGCGACCCTTCCCAGGGACAAACTTTTAATTTTCGATTTGCACCCCCTCCCCAAACTTTCGATTTGAACTCCCTCCCCCCTTTAACTTTAGATTTGCACCACCCCCCCCCCTCAAACTTCCTATTTGCGCCTCTTAAACGACTATTTAACACTCGAATTAATCACTTAATTAAGTGGAATTATCATTTTTCTCTATATATTTTGCTATTTTTTGCCTTGGTGGCACCCCCCCCCCTAAATGGTGTCACCTAGGGCGTTCCGCACCCCCGCCCCCCCCCCCCCTAGCTACGCCTCTGCTCTGATATTAAATATATATATATATATATATATATATATATATATATATATATATATATATATATATATATATATATATATATATATATATATGTATATATATATTTCATATATACATATATACATATATACATATATACATATATACATATATACATATTTTTTTATTTATTTACTGCTTTATATAAGGTTTAAACACGGGGGAGATAAAGGTTATGGCTGGCGACATGAGTTATGATAAATATTCTGACACCCTGCTTTATGTTGCCCTTACATTTAGATAAATAATACCACATTTTTTACTAACACTGCAGTGTATTTCGTCCTTAAAGCAAATGAAAAAAGAAACGATTTTTTTTTTTTACTTTCCTGAAATAATTTAACCCGGGATGTAAAGACTGGGCCGTGTAGGATGTGTTATCGCTCTATAACCATGTATTACCTCAGCAGATCTGACGATAACTCCAATGCGAGTGAACAAGCTGTTGTACTGTACTGCCCCTCACCTCATCACCACGATACTTCAAACGTTCAGACTTCTTACCGGCGCCAGTCGAAAATTTGCTAAGGTCGTATTCTAAAACGCTGGCGTATTGGATAAAATACGTGATCTAAATCATGAACAAATCATGAACAAATCATGAAAAATCAATAACAAATCATTAACAAATCTTTAACAATCAAGGACGTTCATAAAATAAACTACAATTGATTTATTTTTATTACATGTTATATAGTAGTGACATGAGACACGGAATATGTTTTAAAATCTTCGATGTTTTCTTTCTAATCGATATTAGACTAAGTTTGTTATTGCCCTTTTTACTTTCACTATTGTTTTTTACAAATCTCGACATTTTACAACTCCTTGAATCAGAAGATCACAACTCTTTGTTTTTAAAAGTGGCGCGAGTTATATTTGATTTGACTGTTGCTTTTTTAGAATTAACTCATTTTCTAAAATTGCTAAAATTATTTATACAAAAAAGGAAAATATATATAAATATAAAATTTCATCTTCACAACGACTTTCTTTTCCAGATATCATCTGAACTCGGTATAGTTGAATCACTGACAGAAAGACTACATGATTTTACTAAAGATAACCAAGACAAGGTTCTCATTTTATTACCATTTATATGTTATGCGGGAAGGAGAAATAGTAAAAAAGAGATAAAACAATAGTTTGTTTAGTTTATGTTACACACACACACACACACACACACACAAACACAAACACAACACACACACACACACACATATATATATATATATATATATATATATATATATATATATATATATATATATATATATATATATATATATATATATATATATAATTTTTCATTTATTCATCTATTTATTTTTATTTATTTTATCTATCTATTTATTTATATATTTTTAATCAATTAATTAATTGATTCATTCATTCATTAATCTATTAATTCATTAATTCATTATTTTATTAATTCGTTAATTCGTTTTATTCGTTCATTCGACATTCATTCATTCGTTCATTCGTTCATTCGTTCATTCGTTCATTCGTTCATTCGTTCACTCATTTATTTGTTTTTTGTTCGTTGGTTTAATATTTTTATTAATTAATAATTACAGTAACTTATTCAGTGTTTTACACATATAATTGCTCTTTTAGGTTTCACCGCTATTTGTGAAATTATCTGTTGGTATTTTAATAAATCTCTTGGTGTACGAAACGCTCGGTGCAAATGAACTAAACCTGGTAAGTAAAAATGAGTTTGCTATAGCGAAAACAATAAGGTATTTTAATTATGTATAATGTGTTAACAATTTCCTTAACTTTAACTTTATTTCTTGTCTTTTTTTCTGTTTTGTTTTGCTATATTGTTCTCTAAATATGTTAACCTTACATATGCACAACCCGTTCTAAAAGAAAGTATTCATTTTTTTCTAAAAATTAGGAACTATCTCAGTTTCTGATTCAAGGTGAGCTGGAAATATGTTTGAGTGTAAAGCTGTTGAATGTCCTCTGTAAAGGTCCAAGGAATTCTCTCTTACCAAGCGGTGGTATGTTAAAGCAGTTAATAACACAAGTTGTAAAACGGTCAAATTTCACAGATATACAGACACACACACATTTATATATATATATATATATATATATATATATATATATATATATATATATATATATATATAGGCCTACATATATATATACTTTATTGTTTTGTAATTTAGTCATTTCAATAAAAGAAAATATTTTCGTTTAACGAATTAGACTGGAAAAAGTGGTTGTGCAAATATACCAATTATAAAACGTCATAAAAAGAAATTTTAAAAATGTTTACATCAAGTCATTTTGGTGAAGCACTTCTAACCGAAACGTTTTTTTGTTGTTTTTTTTTTAAATAATTTCTACTTCTAATAGCGTATGTTTAAGTTTCATAAATTCTAATTATAGTTTAAGTTACATTAGGTTTCCCATTTATTACATTGTATTAGTTTCTAGTATTGTATTTATTCACAGAGGATATAAAGCTATTAATACAGTGGATGAAACAGGGACTACAGAACACCAACAGATCTTTCAATGGCTTTTATTTGGCGACTTTAATCCACTGTCTAAAAAAGATTTGTCTACAATCACATCAAATATATGAGGTAACAGCTACAATTGTCAAACACTCTCGACAACAATATTTAAATGGAGATCAAGTCATAAAAATACATTACCATACTTTTTTTTTCAATTACTTGAAAAAGTATAGCTTTAAGTACTTAATGTTAATGTATAACATAACGTCTAAAATAAATTAGCTTAAGTTTACAATACTACAGCTTTTACACATTTATATCCTGCCTTGTTAAAAACGATTTTTTTAAAACAACGGTAAAAATATATAGATGTTTTTTTTTGTAATAAATCCTTCAGTCATCAAATAGAATGCTTGTTACGCCCGATCTGCGTTTAGCATTTAAGGTATTTAAAAATGTGAAAATATCACTTCGAAGCTTGCGGTGTATAGTTCAGATTTAATAGTTCATCTATTTTATAATCACCGATAGTGTGGTTAGTGCTATGGGGTTACATGTACCTTACCTAGCGTAAATCATGTACCCATCCACGATCCTAACTTAAGACTTTTGGGTTAGCAGTTGAGCCAGAGTTTCTTCCAGGCATCTCTTCGGGGGGGAGGGGGGGGCTAAGCCCCCCGAAATTTTTTTACCGCCCCCCCCCCCCCCCGAACGAAATGAAATTTAAATAATTTATATAGAAAATACATACTTTTAACAGTGTCCGCTCCCCCCCCCCCCCCCCCCCCCCCCCGAAGAAAGTCTACCGCCCCCCAGAAAATTTCGAGTGCCCCCTCCCCGGAGAAAAAAGTCTGGAACAACACTGAGTTGAGCCGATTGACATTATTGATTTATTTAAAACTGCTCAACAGATTCTTGAAGCAGACCCGTTAGACTGTTTGTACAAAGCGCTGTGTTCTAGTGACCCAATGGAACAGGAAGCTGCAGTACACTGTCTGCTAGCCATCGCTGGGAAAGTTCCTGGAAAGTTCAAAATCAGTGAGCACACAGAAATTGTACAACGATTGGAACTGATGCAGAGCTCTGAAGACAAAACTGTACAGAGCATTGTCATCTCCACTCTATGGCTGGTGAAAAGAGAGGCCATTGACATAAAAAACAAACAAAGTAAGTGGATGTGTTAGCATGTACGTACTTAATGTTTATTTGAGAGAATAGAGCTCTTGTTTCAGTGGCGGAACTAGAAAAAAAGGGCCACCCCGCAAAAAAAAATTTTGGGCCCTATATATATATATGTATATATATATAATGTTATATATATATATATATATATATATATATATATATATATATATATATATATATATATATATATATATATATATATATATATATATATATATATATATATATATTAACAAAATACGAAAATACGAACATAGAATACTCAATACGGGCTTGTTCAAAATTTGAAAAATAAAAAATTCTTAGTTGTTATTTTTAATTAAAACACTAGCACATCATCTGTGTGAGTGCGATTAGCCTGTTTTGAAATTCTCTGTTTCAATTTCTGACAAAAAATGCTTCATAAATCCTGCCCCCCCCCCCCCCCCCCCCCGCATTGCGGGATCTGGCGACACTGCAGTTCCGCCCTTGTCTTACTGTTTTAAGTTTACAATCATTATTTTAAGTTACCATAGCGTACTTTTTGCATTCAAATAAAACAATGTATAATAAATATAAAAAGTACTAAATATTTGAAATCCATTTATTTTAACATTATAAAGTTTAAATCTTGTAGAAAAATTATAATCAATTTAAATTATTTCGAATATTGTGAGTGTACCGAATTTTACGATGAAACTACTGATTGGTGGATCTACTAATAATTATGTAAAATGTCAAATCTATTTAACGAAACTGCTTAAAAGCTAAACATTTAAAATAACGTGTTCTATAAGATGCAATTGTTATATTTTTTAAAGAGATTCTGGCTCCTGACTTTCCTGCACAGTGGGAAAGGTCTGACTTTTTGGGACGCGGCAACTTTGGATGTGCTTATCTTTTGAATGAAATACCTAACCTACAACCTAATAAGTTCATTATTAAAGAAATAGAATTTGACGAAGATTGTTCAACAGTAAGAAAGATTTAAAATATATAAATTAATAATAATCCTTATCCCGTAGCTTTAAAATTGAACTTTGTAAGAATATAATATTAGACTTTTTTTTGGAGTGAGTTTTTTCTTATTTAAAACTCTAAAGATTCTTTTAATAAATATAAACTAATATAAAGTAAATAATAACATTATAAAATAATGATGATAATAATTTCAATTTTACCAATAGTACAACAAATATTAGTAATATAATTTTATAAGCTTGTTAAAAGGTTGTAGAAATATTTCAGAATTGTACAGACTGGTCTGTTATGTTGAAAGCAGAACATCACAGGCTGGTTAAGTTTTTTGGATTCATCAAAGAAGATAAAAAGATGTTGCTGTTCTTTGAATACTTGCGTCTGGTACTACTTGCACTCGTTAAATAGAATACGGACTTAATTTAATTGGCAGTTATAATTAAGCTGAGTAGCTTAGACGAAAGCCGGATCTGTACGTCTTACACTGATATTCTAGGTTTCAATTTTTCACTTAATTTTTCCTTCTTCAGGGTTCCTTGCGAAAATATGTCAAGGAATGTTCTGGTTTGGCTGAAAGTAAAATCAGAATTTTTACAAAACAAATAATTGAAGGTATCAATTACTTGCATCAGCTTAAACCTCCAATCATTCATGGCGATCTGAGAGGTACATTTTGTAGAATCTAAGAATATTCTTATTTTTTCGTTGTTCTAGTAAAGGAGTTAATAATTACACAGAAATAGGCTATGAAATAGGCCTACAACAAATAAAACAGAGATGTTTTTGTTTTTCATAAATAAGGTTTACTAATTAAAAGTGACAATCATGTAAAGAAATTTGAATGTTATACATAGCTATACATTGAGTTCCATGTTAGCGTAAACTTTGTTTTACAGTCTACATAAAATATTTATAATTTGTGCTAACCTTTAAAAAAATAATTGCTGCATCAATGATCTTAGCATTCGTGAATTACAATACTATCTTGTCTTACAGGGGATACCGTGCTGCTCGCCACTGAACACCGCGTTAAACTTACTGAGTTTGGTTTAACTCGAGGTTTAACCGGTGCAAGCAAAACTAAAACTGATTTAGTCACCGTCAAGTGGATGGCTCCGGAACTTTTAAAGGGGGATTTAGAGACGCCATTTGATCATAAAGTTGATATTTGGTAAGTTTCAGTTGATTGTAAAGTTGATATTTGGTTGCAGTTATCTGATTGAATTATAAATTACTTTAATTTTAGAAGTATCTTAGATTTTAAGAAGAAATATTATGCAATATGTCGAGTTTAAACGGTTGTATTAAATAAAAGGAACCTAACGCCATCATCATCTTTTCCCGTTCTTGTCCAAGCCACATAGGGCAGATGAAGTAGAGGATAGAGATAGTGTGTTCAGCACTATGCCAAGTCGCCTCGTTTTCTTTAACTTGTGTTAGGTACTTGAAACCCGTATTCGAACTCGCAGTCTAGCGCTCTACCGCTAGGCTACGCGGTACCTTTAACCTATCTTGGAAATATAATTTTTTTTTTAATTATCACGTGGGGCGCCGTGATTTTCTTACAGTTTCTAATACTGTTGACTCTCTACAAGCTCCCTAATAAAAGTCAATAGTATTATCTAATCAATAGTAATATAACTTTTACTTCGGCGCCCCACGTTTTTCATCGCTTATAGTAGAGTGATCGCTTGCATTATTGTGATGTATAGAATTTATTTTCTATTTTTTAGTTCAATCAGAAAACGTGGGTTTTTAAAAACTTTTTTAATGATAATTATTTAGCGTTAACCTGGCTTATGTTCAGTGTCTTTTAAAATACATATGGGAAGGCCTGGTCGAGCTGTAGGACACTCAAGTACTTGCCACATTGTCTCGTGTTCAGTTCCGACTTGAAAATCTTTCAGTCAGCCCAAATAATGAATACATCATCAAATCAGGGAAAATAAAGACGGTCGGACATAGAACTGACCTCACTACTTCTTCATAGGCTGCGGTAACAGAAACAGAAAAGTAAAGTTCCCTTTCAAACCTGACGGTCTATAGGGCAAGTTCATGTTTCTGTGACCTCGGCATATGAAGAGATAGTGTGATCAGCACTATGCCCTGCCGCCTTTACTTCCCCTAACGTAAGTTAGATACCCATCAGAGTTGGGTGGACGGTCTACTGACTTGAACCCGGATTCGAACTCGAGACTTACGGGTTAGCAGTCCAGCTCTCTACCGCTAGACCACTCCTTCTCATTCGAACCCTATTTCATCTGCTTTGGTGACAATAAGATCTGAAATGGTTACTTTTATTTGACTTTTTACTTTCATTAAATAAATTTTACAGTCCCCTGCATTGTATGTTTATGGTAGTAAGATATGCTGTATTTTGTATGTATTCATCTACAGGAGCCTTGCATGCACTGTTGTAGAAATGGCCACGAGTGATCCCCCTTGGCCCAACCACATGAGAGAACAGCACATGTACCAACTGTTTCTGAAGAACCCGCCCGAGTACAGTCTCCCTACTCAATCGAGTCGCGAGATGCGCAATTTCCTGGAGAAATTGTTTCAGTACGACCCAAGCCTACGTCCGTCAGCTCTTCAGCTCTTCAGTGACCCGTTTGTGACGTCATTGTGTCAGTCGGGGACGGAAACATTGGCACAACACACATCTGAGTCATCATTTTTAATTTCTAATTAGTTTTTTTTTGTTTAGTAATAATTAAACTAATGTCCTTTACTTTGATTTTAACCAATAAATAACGACACGTGTAATTATTTTAATGGCTATTAAAATCCCAATAGCTTGGTTGTATTGTACATACTTCCGTGTAAAAAAAATACTAGCTTTTTTTGTCGACTCATATGTAGGTAACTTTCACTATTCGATTAATAAGAAAATGTCAGATAACTCAGTGTAGACAGTGTAACAAAACAAGAAGGGGAACTAACTCTCAATCGGCGCCTCTGGTTGCTGTATTTATCGTGCGTAATCTTAAAGAGACGTCTTGGTCGGATGGTAGAGCATTCGGCTCCTAACAAGAAAGTCTTGAGTTCAGGTACTGACGTTAAACAGAGGAGGCTAGGCATACATACTACTGGTCGTATTATCCCTCCATACGCGGAGGTCACAGAAACAGATGAACTGTGTTTTATCTGCCCCCAATAGGTCAGAGAAACAGATGAACTGTGTTTTATCTGCCCCCAATAGGTCAGAGAAACAGATGAACTGTGTTTTATCTGCCCCCAATAGGTCAGAGAAACAGATGGACTGTGTTTTATCTGCCCCCAATAGGTCAGAGAAACAGATGGACTGTGTTTTATCTGCCCCCAATAGGTCAGAGAAACAGATGAACTGTGTTTTATCTGCCCCCAATGGATAATTAGTTTCGAAAGTGTAAATTTCCCTCTCATTTTTTTAAAAATTACAATTGAATAGATGCAATAGATTATTGTAAGAATAGACAAATTTTGGGAACTTTTCGCATACGGGCAAGTGTATATTCTGGGAAACGTCTTCGGACTAACGGCATTCGGGCAACACGCTTTTGGGAATTTGTCGTAGACCCAGATCTAGTTATGTGAATCCACTGTGGTGTTGGCTGAACACTTTGTGATATTTGTCTGATGTGTATTGGCTACAGAGTCGATTGTAATACGTTGTAATATATAGTGTAACGAGCCGACCCGCGGCGTATCATACGCCGCTATTTAGTTGTTTTATTTTCTACTTTTCAGTAATTCATAATTTGTGAATTCGACAGTACCAATGCTGCCATTGAAAATATTTGCTTTAAAACACTAACCCCCCCCCCCCTTTCCCCAACCCCTTCCCTACACCCCCCCCCTTCCTCTTAGTTACCTCCAGTAAGTTTAAAATCGTTTCAAACTAAATTATCTGCCCCTAATAGCCGTCACTAAACCCGGCTCTACGATTTGTAAACATTTTGCGTGAACCACAGCTCATCAGACCATGTGGGGTGGGGTGGGGGTGGTAGTGATAGTGATAGAGAGGAAGAGAGGGGACTGCAAGGCGCGCTTGCAGCTTGTTTTCTAACGTCTCTCAGAAGAGAATTATATATATAGATATTTTAAGTGTCTAACCTATTGTTTCCTTAATTTAGGGATAGGTCCTAAGCGTCTTGTTCGTTATCTACATCATTGTCAGCTACAACATCATCTAATTGGTCATCGCTGCAGAGGCGTAGCTATGGGAGGGCGGGTGGGGCGGCCGACCCCAGCGCCTTCCCTAGAGGAGCGTCAAACAGGGTAACGAAGAAATAACGAAGCTTACTTAAACTGTTTAGCCCAATAATACACAAAGTTCTGTAAATAAACTACTGCTTAACCCAATAATAAACAAAGTTCAGAAAATAAACTACTGCTTGCTTTGCTTTCTGACTAGTTTAGTTCTTTCTTTTAAATTCAATTTTTGACATTATGGTAAAAAATGCTTACGGGATAGTTACTGGTAAAAAGCGCCCCAACCTTTCCAAATGGGGAGGGGTTGGTAGGCGCTTTTCTTCATCGTAAATAACTATATATAATTGTGGTGGGGGCGTAAAATTTACAGTTCGCCCCGGGCGCCAAAAAGGGTCGCTACGCTTCTGCAACACTGCGGTCATTTTATTTTTTGTGTTGATGAGGGTGAGTTTTTTCAAACGCAGTTTGGATTTATGTTTATAAAATGTCACATGACACACATAGAATGCACTAAATAAACGAAAATCGATTGTATGTCAGTAGACCTTTTATTGAAATGAAGCAATTATATCTCAGTAACAAGTAAGAGAAAATATTTGTACACATTTTATGAAACTACACAATAATTCAATAATAGGCCGCGTACACTAGACTAATTCTATGGTAACACAATCTTACTTCTATGTATCGTAATATTAATTTTATTGCATACAGTGGACCACTTTATTAATTCTATGGCACACCGTATTACACTTTAATTCTATGGCACACCATGTAAGACAAAAACACAAATTTAACCCTCTGGCAGTTCGTTAACATACATCTTTAGCGAGATAGCCGCTGCAGTGAAAATGGTGACAAACAGCAAAAATCCCAGAAACTGCCCGATCATCCGCCATGTAGGAGAGATACCAGTGTCAGTTTTGGCATTGGGTGTTGGGAAATCGGTCAATTTCATGGCGGTACCATACTCTGAAACGTCATTGGTTCAAATTTAAACAATAATTGATTTTATTGACTCTTTTTTCTAGGTACACAATGCATATAAAATATCTTTCAATTTTTTGTGTCAAAATGTGCGAAGTCTCATTTAAGTATGGTTGACTACGTTATAAGCCGTACGATTGATTTAAACGTTAAGCGTGTTTTACTGAAATAGTAATGTAAACAGAAAGTAATATTTCAACGCCCAGAGGCGTAGAAAGGGGGGGGGGGGGGCGGGGGGGCGGACCGCACCGGGTGACACCATTTAGGGGGGGTGACACAAAGGCAAAAAATGGCAAAATATATATAGTAAAACTTGAGGGGGAGGGGGCGCAAATTGAAAGTTTGAGGGGGGGGGGTGCAAATCGAAAGTTTGAGAGGGTGGGGGTGCAATCGAAAATTTGAAAGCTTGTCCCCGAGAAGGGTCGTTACGCCTCTGGGGGGGGGGGGGGTGACACTATTAAGTGCTGCACCGGGTGACACCCGACATCGCTACGCCACTGCTGTAGCCTGCTTTAATTGCGACTCTGTGTACAATTTAATTGTTTTGGTGACGATATGAGCTTGTCTTTTAGACTTATGATTGTGTGTCCTTAGTTCATGAAGTGTCTAGAATAAGTGTGTGAATGTGTATTGGTTCCTAGTTATTTGTGTGTGTGTGTTTATGTGTGTGGGGGATGGGGATCTACCACGACATTTGGTCTACCACGACATTTGATAAACCACGACATTTGATCTACCACGACATTTGGTCTACCACGACATTTGATCCACCACGACATTTGATCTACCACAACATTTGATCCACAACGACATTTGGTCTACCACGACATTTGGTCCATCACCACATTTAGCCTACCACCACATTTGGTCTACCACGACATTTGGTCTACCACGACATTTGGTCTACCACCACATTTGGTCTACCACGACATTTGGTCCACCACGACATTTGGGCTACAGACATTTGGTCTACCACCACATTTGGGCTACAGACATTTGGTCCACCAACACATTTGGTCTACCACGACATTTAGTCTACCACCACATTTAGTCTACCACCACATTTGGTCTACCACCACATTTGGTCCACCAACACATTTGGTCTACCACGACATTTAGTCTACCACCACATTTAGTCTACCACAACATTTGGTCTACCACGACATTTGGACTACCACGACATTTGGTCTACCACGACATTTGGTCTACCACGACATTTGGTCTACCACGACATTTGGTCTACAGACATTTGGTCTACCACGATATTTGGTCTACCACGACATTTGGTCTACCACCACATTTGGCATACCACGACATTTAGTCTACAGACATTTGGTCTACCACGACATTTGGACTACCACGACATTTGGACTACCACGACATTTGATCTAACACGACATTTGGTCTAGCACGACATTTGGTCCACCACGACATTTGGTACACCACGACATTTTGCATACCACGACATTTGGTCTACTCTACCACATTTGGTCTACCACGACATTTGGTCTACCACGACATTTGATCTAACACGACATTTGGTCCACCACGACATTTGGTCTAGCACGACATTTGGTCCACCACATTTGGTCTACCACGACATTTGGTCTCCCACGACATTTGGTCTACAGACATTTGGTCTACCACGACAGTTGGTCTACCACGACAGTTGGTCTACAGACAGTTTGTCTACCACCACATTTGGTCTACCACGACATTTGGTCTACAGACATTAGGTCTACCACGACATTTGGACTACCACGACATTTGGACTACCACGACATTTGGTCTACCACGACATTTGGTCTACCACGACATTTGGTCTACAGACATTTGGTCTACCACCACATTTGGTCCACCACGACATTTGGACTACCACGACATTTGGTCTACAGACATTTGGTCTACCACGACATTTGGTCTACCACGACATTTGGACTACCACGACATTTGGTCTACCACGACATTTGGTCTACCACGACATTTGGTCTACAGACATTTGGTCTACCACGACATTTGGTCTACCACGACATTTGGACTACCACGACATTTGGTCTACCACGACATTTGGTCTACCACCACATTTGGTCCACCACGACATTTGGTCTACCACCACATTTGGCATACCACGACATTTAGTCTACAGACATTTGGTCTACCACGACATTTGGACTACCACGACATTTGGACTACCACGACATTTGATCTAACACGACATTTGGTCTAGCACGACATTTGGTCTACCACGACATTTGGTCTACCACGACATTTGGTCTACCACGACATTTAGTCTACCACAACATTTGGTCTACCACGACATTTGGACTACCACGACATTTGGTCTACCACGACATTTGGTCTACCACGACATTTGGTCTACCACGACATTTGGTCTACAGACATTTGGTCTACCACGACATTTGGTCTACCACGACATTTGGACTACCACGACATTTGGTCTACCACGACATTTGGTCTACCACCACATTTGGTCCACCACGACATTTGGTCCACCACGACATTTGGTCTACCACGACATTTAGTCTACCACGACATTTGGTCTACCACCACATTTGGCATACCACGACATTTAGTCTACAGACATTTGGTCTACCACGACATTTGGACTACCACGACATTTGGACTACCACGACATTTGATCTAACACGACATTTGGTCTAGCACGACATTTGGTCCACCACGACATTTGGTCCACCACGACATTTTGCATACCACGACATTTGGTCTACTCTACCACATTTGGTCTACCACGACATTTGGTCTACCACGACATTTGATCTAACACGACATTTGGTCCACCACGACATTTGGTCTACCACCACATTTAGTCTACCACCACATTTGGTCTACCACCACATTTAGTCTACCACGACATTTGGGCTAGAGACATTTGGTCTACAGACATTTGGTCTACCACCACATTTAGTCTACCACTACATTTGGTCTACCACGACATTTGGTCTACCACGATATTTGATCTACCACGACATTTGATCCACCACGACATTTGATCCACCACGACATTTGTTCTACCACCACATTTGGTCTAGAGACATTTGGTCTACAGACATTTGGTCTACCACGACATTTGGTCTACCACGACATTTGGACTACCACGACATTTGGTCCACCACGACATTTGGTCCACCACCACATTTGGTCCACCACGACATTTGATCTACCACGACATTTGATCCACCACGACATTTGATCCACCACGACATTTGTTCTACCACCACATTTGGTCTACAGACATTTGGTCTACCACGACATTTGATCTAACACGACATTTGGTCCACCACCACATTTGGTCTACCACGACATTTGGTCTACAGACATTTGGTCTACCACGACAGTTGTTCTTCCACGACAGTTGGTCTACAGACAGTTTGTCTACTACCACATTTGGTCTACTACGACATTTGTCTAGCACGACATTTAGCCTGTAGGTCTGCCTTACCATCTGGACAAGAATCAAACAGACACGTCCTACACGAGCCGTTAAAAAAACAGGTGCGGGTCTCACAGCTGCGGTCACATCGGTTGGTGCAGGTGGGGCCGTGAAATTTGGACGGGCAGTCTGGAAAAAAACAGGAGTAGGGGGTTTGTTGTTGTTGTTGTATTGTTGTTGCTTCTCTGTTGTTGTTGTTTTATTGTTGTTGATTCTCTGCTGTTGTTGTTTTATTGTTGTTGATACTCTGTTGTTGTTGTTTTATTGTTGTTGATACTCTGTTGTTGTTGTTTTATTGTTGTTGATTCTCTGTTGTTGTTGTTTTATTGTTGTTGATTCTCTGTTGTTGTTGTTTTATTGTTGTTGCTTCTCTGTTGTTGTTTTTATTGGTTATAAAAGACTAGCACAAGCCGTGGGTCCTGACATTTACTACAATTGTATTCTACAAGAGACGTGTACGTTTTCTTAAAAATAAAACCAAAGAAGAAACGGTGTACTGGTTTAAATTCTAAAAGTTCTAAATGGGAGGCGGAACTCTATTTAAATGGTAAGGGAGGCTATCTTGTCATCACGATTGACGACAGAACCCATAAATCAACAAACTTTTCTTGTCCTTATTCACGGACGTTATCAAACACACGTTTGTCTAAAGAAAACCTCATTTGTTTATTCAAAAACGTCTTAGTTGATGACGTTTTGTACATAAAGAGCAAGAACCTGACCAAGAACAAGTTAGAACAAGTTTAAGTTTTGTCTTTATTAGTTGGTGTCACCAACAGCAGAGTAAAATAAAAAAATGAGATATGAAGTTTGATCAACTCAGATAGGTTTGAAAAAGGGGAGGGGTATGCCCAAACTGGTCCAACTAAATTTTCTTATTTTCATTCAACAAATAGACTCACCGCCGTAAGCTTGCACGCCACAGAGGGCCAGGAAACCTTCCGCTAGGATGTAGATAGAAGAGACGGAGTACGACTTGGCGAGAAACAGTTGATGCAAGGACGATCTCTGGTCGGTGGCGCTGCTCGACTTGTACTCTCTGATCAAACTGTTTTCCGTGCTGAATACTTTCACAGTGAACTCGGGGGTATTAACTGTCTCTTCGGCTGGGAGATGTTAACATTAACAGCTTTTAGGATAGGCGGCTCTAGTTTACACAACTTTTAGAAGGATAGGTGGCTCTAGTTTACACAACTTTTAGAAGGATAGGTGGTTCTAATGTTCACAAACAGCTTTTAGAAGGATAGGTGGCTCTAGTTTACACAGCTTTTAGAAGGATAAGTGGTTCTAGTTTACACAACTTTTAGAAGGATAGGTGGTTCTAGTTTACACAACTTTTAGAAGGATAGGTGGCTCTAGTTTACACAACTTTTAGAAGGATAGGTGGTTCTAATTTTCACAAACAGCTGTTAGAAGGATAGGTGGCTCTAGTTTACACAACTTTTAGAAGAATAGGTGGTTCTAGTTTACACAACTTTTAGAAGGATAGGTGGTTCTAGTTTACACAACTTTTAGAAGGATAGGTGGTTCTAGTTTACACAACTTTTAGAAGGATAGGTGGCTCTAATTTACACAACTTTTAGAAGGATAGGTGGTTCTAATGTTCACAAACAACTGTTAGAAGGACAGGGGGCTCTAGTTTTCATAGCTTTTAGAAGGATAGGTGGCTCTAGTTTACACAACTTTTAGAAGGATAGGTGGTTCTAGTTTACACAACTTTTAGAAGGATAGGTGGCTCTAGTTTACACAACTTTTAGAAGCATAGGTGGCTCTAGTTTACACAACTTTTAGAAGGATAGGTGGCTCTAGTTTACACAACTTTTAGAAGCATAGGTGGCTCTAGTTTACACAACTTTTAGAAGGATAGGTGGCACTAGTTTTCATGGCTTTTGGAAGGATAGGTGGCTCTAGTTTTCATGGCTTTTAGAAGGATAGGTGGCTCTAGTTTACATAGCTTTTAGAAGGATAGGTGGTTTAAATGTTTACAAACAGCTGTTAGAAGGAAAGGTGATTCTAGTTTTCAAAACTTTTAGAAGGATTGGTGGTTCTAATGTTCACAAACAGCTTTTAGATAGATAGGTGGTTCTAGTTTTCACAGCTTTTAGAAGAATAGGTGGCTCTAGTTTACACAACTTTTAGAAGGATAGGTGGTTCTAGTTTTCACAGCTTTTAGAAGGATAGGTGGTTCTAGTTTTCACAGCTTTTAGAAGGATAGGTGGTTCTAGTTTACACAGCTTTTAGAAGGATAGGTGGCTCTAGTTTTCATAGCTTTTAGAAGGATAGGTGGTTCTAGTTTTCACAGCTTTTAGAAGGATAGGTGGTTCTAATGTTCACAAACAGCTTTTAGAATGACGGATGATCCTAAACAATGTTTACAAACAGCTTTTACAACATTACCGGCTGATCTTAAAAACAAATGACAAAAATTGTACACGCAAGTCTGTAATAAATAACAACTGAGTAAGTCTGTAATACTTAACAACTGAGCAAGTCTGTAATACTTAACAACTCTGCTAACACGTCTCTTATAATCCTCTGTGACCCAGCTACGGTTTTAAACTAATTCCTTACATGTGTCAAGCTCTACTCCAGGATCTCAGCCTCAATTTTAAGCTCTTGCCCTTAACCAACATCTTACTTTAGCTGTAGCTCTCACATCTTATTAAACCTTAAAACATTAACGTCAACTTTGTATCAAAACGTAAGTGACTTTTTCTACTTTGTTTATCTTACAAACAATGAAACAAACAAGCAAACAAACAAGCAAACATACAAGCAAACAAACAAGCAAACAAACAAGCAAACAAACAAGCAAACAAACAAACAAACAAACAAACAAACAAACAAACAAACAAACAAACAAACAAACAAACAAACAAACAAACAAACAAACAAACAAACAAACAAACAAACAAACAAACAAACAAACAAACAAACAAACAAACAAACAAACAAACAAACAAACAAACAAAAAATCAAACAAACAAACAAACAAACAAACAAACAAACAAACAAATAAACAAATAAACAAACAAACAAACAATCTAACTATAACTAATTAACTAACTAACAAACAAACAAGCAAGTAAACAAGCAAGCAAGCGTACAAATTTAAAAAAAAGCAAGCAAGCAAACAAACAAACAAAACAAGCAAACAAACAAGCAAACAAGCAAGCAAACAAACAAAACAAGCAAACAAACAAACAAACAAACAAACGAACAAACAAACAAACAAACAAACAAACAAACAAACAAACAAACAAACAAACAAACAAACAAACAAACAAACAAACAAACAAACAAACAAAAAACAAACAAACAAACAAACAAACAAAAAAACAAACATACAAGTAAACATACAAACAAACAAAAAAACGAACGAACAAACAAACAAACAAATAAACAAACAAGCAAGTAAACAAGCAAGCAGGCTTACAAATTAAAAAAAACAAGCAAGCAAACAAACAAAACAAACAAACAAACAAACAAACAAACAATCAAACAAAACAACAAACAAACAAACAAACAAACAAACAAACAAACAAACAAACAAACAAACAAACAAACAAACAAACAAACAAACAAATAAACAAATAAACAAACAAACAAACAAACAAACAAACAAACAAACAAATAAATAAACAAACAAACGAACAAATAAACAAACAAACAAACAAACAAACAAACAAACAAACAAACAAACAAACGAACAAACAAACAAACAAACTAATAAACAAACAAAAACAAACAAACAAACAAACGAACAAAAAAACAAACAAACAAAAAAACAAAAAAACAAACGAACAAACAAACAAACAAAACAAAACAAAAACGAACGAACAAAGATCCAAACAAACAAATAAACAAACAAACAAACAAACAGCCTCCCTTACAATAATTAGTCCACTGTAAAAACATCCTTACTGTTAATGATAATCGTGATGTGGTTGAGTTTTCTCACGTTGTAAAAGTTCATCTCCACGGTGATGAGCTTGCCAGGTTCGCTGATCTGCGTGCAGGTTCCGTTGAAGTTGACCTGCATGGTGGACACCACCTGGCTATACTTGACGTCCACCGTGTCCTCGATAACGACAATCGCCCCCAGATGGGACGAGACGTCCCGGCCTAGAAGAGAAGATGGGACAGGGACGACAATCGCCCCCAGATGGGACGAGACGTCCCGGCCTAGAAGAGAAGATGGGACAGCTGGGTCTAGTGGTAGAGCACACCACTCACAGCTAGGGAGAATAGATTATTCTACAAATTTTGAGTTACTTCCATTAAGGTAGCCTGACATTCCACCTAGTTTCGAGTTTCTGACACTCCACCAATATTTGAGAGTTTCTGACTTTAGCCTGAAACTCCACCAAGAATTGAGTTTCTGATTTTAGGGTAGCCTGACACTCCACCAAGAATTGAGTTTCTGATTTTAGGGTAGCCTGACACTCCACCAAGAATTGAGTTTCTGATTTTAGGGTAGCCTGACACTCCACCAAGAATTGAGTTTCTGATTTTAGGGTAGCCTGACACTCCACCAAGATTAGAGAGTTTCTGACACTCCACCAAGATATTGCAGATTTCACTATTGCGTATTAGTGTTACGTCCAGTACCGTGACATTACCTCCAGTACCGTGACCTTACCTCCAGTACCGAGACCTTACCTCCAATACCGAGACGTTACCTCCAGTACCGTAACCTTACTTCAGTACCGTGACCTTACCTCCAGTACCGAGACCTTACCTCAGTACCGTGACCTTACCTCCAATACCGAGACGTTACCTCCAGTACCGTAACCTTACTTCAGTACCGTGACCTTACCTCCAGTACCGAGACCTTACCTCAGTACCGTGACCTTACCTCCAATACCGAGACGTTACCTCCAGTACCGTGACCTTACCTCAGTACCGTGACCTTACCTCCAGTACCGAGACCTTACCTTCAGTACCGTGACCTTACCTCCAATACCGAGACGTTACCTCCAGTACCGTAACCTTACTTCAGTACCGTGACCTTACCTCCAGTACCGAGACCTTACCTCAGTACCGTGACCTTACCTCCAATACCGAGACGTTACCTCCAGTACCGTGACCTTACCTCAGTACCGTGACCTTACCTCCAGTACCGAGACCTTACCTTCAGTACCGTGACCTTACCTTCAGTACCGTGACCTTACCTCCAGTACCGTGACCTTACCTCAGTACCGTGACCTTACCTCCAGTACCGTGACCTTACGTCCAGTACCGTGACCTTACGTCCAGTACCGTGACCTTACCTCAGTACCGTGACCTTACCTCCAGTACCATAACCTTACCTCAGTACCGTGACCTTACCATTAGTACCGCGACCTTACCTCCGTTCACGTACAACGAGCAGACGACGAGACTACGGTTGAAGGTGACGGCGAACCCCTCGACAAGACTGGGCAGCTCACACTCTATGGCGATCTCCCTGACGTCTATGACGTACGCGCGCTGGTTGGGGCACTTCCTGTCCTTCAGCCCAGCGGCGCGGACGTAGTACAGGGCGACCTCGTAGTCGGCTTCTGGAGAGGTCAAGGTCAGGTAAAAATGTTGAAGGCCGGGCTGTTTGAGATTGGAAGCCGCAGAAGGAATAAAGGGGGGGGGGGGGGTCAGGGGCGCCTCACTGATACGGAAAAACATAATTTAGCAATCTTGTCCGTATGTCTGTGTGTCTGTCTGTGTGTGTGTGCGTAAACACGATAACTTGAGTACCCTTAAAGCTAGGTTGATGAAATTTCATATATAAGTATTTTATCAAAATCGTAGATCCGTATCAACTTTTGAGCGATTTCCGATAACCGGAAGTGGTACTTTTTTCATTTATAATTTTTCAAAAGCCTATAACTTGAGAACTATTTCAGATAGATAAATGAAATTTCACACGTAAGTAAAAGATCTAATCCTCTACCTTCTATCAAATTTCCGTTGACCGGAAGTAGTAATTTACGCTATTTCCGATTTCTCAAAAAACGCATGTAAATTTATAAAGTACTAATAATATTCCGCACTATTATGCACATTTTGTTTTGGCGTTCGCTTGGTGCGCAATTCTTTTTTTCTAGGAGATTCTATTCTATTTTAAGAAGTTTAAGTATTTAAAATGGATTTAAAATCATAGCTATATACCGAGTTCCCATTCCCTGTTGTTTTATATAAGAATATTCGAGAAAGTTTAGGGGAGATCACTCCCGGTTTATTGAGAAATGGGAATCACCGAAAATTATTTTTTTGTTGTAGAATTAAGAGAATAGAATCTATACATCTATGTATGAAAGTTTGTCTACCTACGTGAAAAGTACTATTTTCTCGATAACATACACATTTTCTAACACAAAGGACTAAAGGTCACTAAATTGCTTACCACAGGGTATATTATCTTGTCAACAAATGTAACTAGAATTACAATCATATCTTGTTTAAAAATCGCAATAACCGTGTTTGCTTTTTTTTAAACTAAAATAATTTAAAATACAGTGCGAATTTTATTCAGGGCTTCATCCCATTTTCTCAATTAGATTTACTTTGGCACCTAATTTTTTTGGCGATTTTTGTTTGCTAGTATGAAAAGAAAAATATTTTTTCTTTTTTTTTTTAAATAATATTTGCTACTTCATGTTGTTATATTTTCCCATTTTGGGATCTAAACTGTGTTTCTTAAAATAATTTAAAGCAAAAAAACTTTCTCTAGCGATAGGCCCTACTGCAGTGGCGTAGCGAGGTCGGGTGTCACTTAATGGTGTCACCCCCTCAGAGGCGTAGCGACTTTTTCCAGGGACAAACTTTCAGTTTTCGATTTGCACCCCCCATCTCAAACTTTTGATTTGCACCCCCCCCCCCCTTCCTCAAATTTTTCTCTACATATTTTACTATTTTTTTGCCTTGGTGTCACCCCCCTAAATGGTGTCACCAGGTGCGGTCCGCACCCCCGCCCCCCGCTCCCTGGCTACGCCTCTGCACTACTCATTCCTTGAACTATATACTTTTTTTACTATACCTGCTCCTTAAGGCAATAATCTTTATCTTACTCCTTAGGGCAGGGGTTCCCAACCTTTTTTAACTCTAGAGCACATTCTAAAATATCGGTAGGGTGGCGGGCACCACCTATTTTAAATCGACAAACTCTTTCCATAACTTGTCATTTTCCCCATAATTTATTTTCTTATTTTATTATAGTCATAATGTATTAATAAATAATAAACAAAATGTTTCAAAATAATAAAATTATTTAGCATTTTTTCAAATTGCATACACACAGAGAAATGTATTTACAAAACGTAAATAGTGCAGTCTGGCTCGCCGCTAGACAAGTTGGGACAAGTATCGAACATATTTAATAAACCTAGGCAGTCAAAAAAAATTAAAACTGAAACAAATGAATAAAAACAAATCATATTTTAAAATAATGTTTTTGAAAAAAATTCTGTCTCTGTCGAATAGTGAGAGGCGGGCACATACGAATTGTTCAGCGGGCGCCATGGCGCCCGCGGGCACAGGGTCGGGAACCCCTGCCTTAGTTCAATAATCTACTCCTTAAGGCAATAACCTTTATCTTACTTTACCTATTACTCGGAGCCCTTACCCTTGTTTTGAAAAACCACGTGGACGGAGAGAAAGGAGAGAGGTCGTTTGAAGACCACCTGAAGGCTGGTAGTCTCATTACACATGTCGGTGCCAGAGCAGAGGAACTCAGGGTTAACGGTCTTCGCCTCTGGCAGCAGGTCAACTGGTGGGAGAAAATAGAGAGGTCTTTGGTCAGTAGGTCATTTGGTGGGAGAAAATAGAGAGGTCATTGGCCAGTAGGTCAACTGGTGGGAGAAAATAGAGAGGTCTTTGGTAAGTAGGTCATTTGGTGGGAGAAAATAGAGAGGTCATTGGCCAGTAGGTCAACTGGAGGGAGAAAATAGAGAGGTCATTGGCCAGTAGGTCAACTGGAGGGAGAAAATAGAGAGGTCATTGGCCAGTAGGTCAGTTGGTGGGAGAAAACATAGGGAAACTCAGAGGTCTTTGGTCAGTAGGTCATTTGGCGGGAGGTAGTATAGAGGAACTCAGAGGTCTTTGTTCAGTAGGTCATTTGGTGGGAGGTAGTATAGAGGAACTCAGAGGTCTTTGGTCAGTAGGTCAGTTGGTGGGAGGTAGTATAGAGGAACTCAGAGGTCTTTGGTCAGTAGGTCATTTGGTGGGAGGTAGTATAGAGGAACTCAGAGGTCTTTGGTCAGTAGGTCAGTTGGTGGGAGGTAGTATAGAGGAACTCAGAGGTCTTTGGTCAGTAGGTCATTTGGTGGGAGGTAGTATAGAGGAATTCAGAGGTCTTTGGTCAGTAGGTCATTTGGTGGGAGGTAGTATAGAGGAACTCAGAGGTCTTTGTTCAGTAGGTCATTTGGTGGGAGGTAGTATAGAGGAACTCAGAGGTCTTTGTTCAGTAGGTCATTTGGTGGGAGGTAGTATAGAGGAACTCAGAGGTCTTTGGTCAGTAGGTCAGTTGGTGGGAGGTAGTATAGAGGAATTCAGAGGTCTTTGGTCAGTAGGTCATTTGGTGGGAGGTAGTATAGAGGAACTCAGAGGTCTTTGTTCAGTAGGTCATTTGGTGGGAGGTAGTATAGAGGAACTCAGAGGTCTTTGGTCAGTAGGTCAGTTGGTGGGAGGTAGTATAGAGGAACTCAGAGGTCTTTGGTCAGTAGGTCATTTGGTGGGAGGTAGTATAGAGGAACTCAGAGGTCTTTGGTCAGTAGGTCAGTTGGTGGGAGGTAGTATAGAGGAACTCAGAGGTCTTTGGTCAGTAGGTCATTTGGTGGGAGGTAGTATAGAGGAATTCAGAGGTCTTTGGTCAGTAGGTCATTTGGTGGGAGGTAGTATAGAGGAACTCAGAGGTCTTTGTTCAGTAGGTCATTTGGTGGGAGGTAGTATAGAGGAACTCAGAGGTCTTTGTTCAGTAGGTCATTTGGTGGGAGGTAGTATAGAGGAACTCAGAGGTCTTTGGTCAGTAGGTCAGTTGGTGGGAGGTAGTATAGAGGAATTCAGAGGTCTTTGGTCAGTAGGTCATTTGGTGGGAGGTAGTATAGAGGAACTCAGAGGTCTTTGGTCAGTAGGTCATTTGGTGGGAGGTAGTATAGAGGAACTCAGAGGTCTTTGGTCAGTAGGTCATTTGGTGGGAGGTAGTATAGAGGAATTCAGAGGTCTTTGGTCAGTAGGTCATTTGGTGGGAGGTAGTATAGAGGAACTCAGAGGTCTTTGGTCAGTAGGTCATTTGGTGGGAGGTAGTATAGAGGAACTCAGAGGTCTTTGGTCAGTAGGTCAGTTGGTGGGGCCATATAAAGAGGAGATGATGGGTGAATTTCTTCGGTGGTAAACAATATAGAAGCGAGGAATTTGTGTGCTTATTTACTGGTAAGATCTTTGGTAAAACGTAAACCATTGGAACAAAACAAAATAGGGAGGCGTTTGATGTTTTTTTTTAAATTTACTGCTAGAAGATACAGTGGAAACATATTAAGTGATCATCGTGTCATTATAAGAAATCAATGTTAAACGAAAGTAATTGATATACGTACATCCAGTGGACATCTGGACATACAACTAGAACGAACGTCCAGTTTGTGGCTCGCAGTATAAAGTCAAGTTTATGACTTACTGTATAAAGTCAAGTTTGTGAGTGTATAAAGTCAAGTTTATGATTTACTGTATAAAGTTAAGTTTGTGACTGTATAAAGTCAAGTTTATGACCTACTGTATAAAGTCAAGTTTATGACTTACTGTATAAAGTCAAGTTTGTGACCTACTGTATAAAGTCAAGTTTATGACTTACTGTATAAAGTCACGTTTGTGAGTGTATAAAGTCAAGTTTATGATTAACTGTTTAAAGTTAAGTTTGAGACTGTATAAAGTCAAGTTTATGACCTACTGTATAAAGTCAAGTTTATGACTTACTGTATAAAGTCAAGTTTGTGACCTACTATATAAAGTCAAGTGTATGACTTACTGTATAAAGTCAAGTTTGTGACCTACTGTATAAAGTCAATTTTATGACTTACTGTATAAAGTCAAGTTTGTGACCTACTGTATAAAGTCAAGTTTATGACTTACTGTATAAAGTCAAGTTTGTGAGTGTATAAAGTCAAGTTTATGATTTACTGTATAAAGTTAAGTTTGTGACTGTATAAAGTCAAGTTTATGACCTACTGTATAAAGTCAAGTTTATGACTTACTGTATAAAGTCAAGTTTGTGACCTATTGTATAAAGTCAAGTTTATGACTTACTGTATAAAGTCAAGTTTGTGACCTACTGTATAAAGTCAGGTTTATTACTTACTGAATCAAGTCAATTTAATGACCTACTGTAAAGTCAAGCTTATGACGTGTATGACTTACTGTATAAAGTCAAGTCTATGACTTACTGTATAAAGTCAAGTTTATGACCTACTGTATAAAGTCAAGTTTATGACCTACTGTATAAAGTCAAGTTTGTGACTGTATTAAGTCAAGTTTATGATTTACTGTATAAAGTTAAGTTTGTGCCTGTATAAAGTCAAGTTTGTGACTTACTGTATAAAATCAAGTTTATGACTTACTGTATAAAGTCAAGTCTATGACTTACTGTATAAAGTCAAGTCTATGACTTACTGTATAAAGTCAAGTCTATGACTTACTGTATAAAGTCAAGTCTATGACTTACTGTATAAAGTCAAGTCTATGACTTACTGTATAAAGTCAAGTCTATGACTTACTGTATAAAGTCAAATCTATGACTTACTGTATAAAGTCAAGTCTATGACTTACTGTATAAAGTCAAGTCTATGACTTCCTGTTTAAAGTCAAGTCTATGACTTACTGTATAAAGTCAAGTCTATGACTTACTGTATAAAGTCAAGTCTATGACTTACTGTATAAAGTCAAGTCTATGACTTACTGTATAAACAGGAGAAAGAGAATCTACCAGCAGGGCAATCCTTGCTTTTACTACAAGACTTCTTGATCACTGAAACGGTAAAATACAAGTACATTTTCTTACATGTTTTATATATATTATATATACATATATGTTTATATTTCAAACACATAACTATATTGTTTGCATGTATGTATGTATATATATATATATATATATATATATATATATATATATATATATATATATATATATATATATATATATATATATATATATATATATCGAACTGACCAGTATTGTTTGCAGGCTTCTGGTTACACATGATGTCGACAGAACGGTCATCACATTCAGTTCGCTGTAGATTGTGATGAGTGGAGTATGAACATGAGTTATTGTTAGTGTGAGTAACTATAGATGTTTGTTGCACCTTCTATATCTTTAGTGTGAGTAACTATAGATGTTTGTTGCACCTTCTATACATATCTAGCTTCTGGGCAGTTCACATAAAGTCACTTGACACACACACCAACATACAAAAAAAAAGTAAAGTTTCCCTTTCAAACCTGACGGTCTATGGGGCAAGTGAAGTAGAGTTCACTTGTTTCTGTGACCTCGGCATATGAAGAGATAGTGTGGTCAGCACTATGCCCAGCCGCCTTTACTTTCCCTAACTTGACTTAGGTATCCATCAGAGTTGGGTGGACTCAGGGACGGTCTACTGACTTGAACCCGGATTCGAACTCGAGGCTTTCGGGTTAGCAGTCCAGCTCTCTACCGCTAGACCACTCCGTCCCACACACACACATGGTCACATCGAAAAACACACACACACGTGGTCTTCGACGTGAGAACAAGAAATATACAAGTACACCCAGAAAATCACACAAACACACACAACAGCCGACACATGCATTTATTATGGCACACATATGAGATCTCATTAGCATAGTATGAGCATACACTGGCATACACATTGTCACTACAACAGTCATAAATGTAAGATTCGACACATACAAAATAACCCCCCCCCCCCCCCGCCTTCACATACAGTTAAAATTAACACAAATAAATCGTCATTTCAATTGCATTCGTTTCTCGTTCTTCTTCGTTTTTACAAGCTCTTATTTAGTTCGCAACGTCTGTTTGTTTGTAGTTTGTTTGTGGGTTTGTGTCAAATCTTGTAACTCAATGTTGACCCACTTCCAATGCAGCGATTTCGTTCACACTTTTCAGATTCGTTCCACTTCGATGACAATACAAGTCTATCTAATTTTTTTTTAAATTTAATTAGATGTTTAATTAGTCATTAAAAATCAAATAAACAGTTTCGTAACTAATCACTCGATAGATTACTATATTATTCAATAACAGAAAGGGAAATAACTAGCTAGACTGCTAGACGCTCTCAACCGACCAGTCTGGTGAGCCGATGTTCACGTCGAAAGTTTACAATCGCGGAGACAGTCGATCTAGTGAAGTCTATTTGGGGCAGGTACTAAAGTTTTTAACCGATTTGAAAATAAGTGGGAGGTAAAGAAAAATAACTAAGAATTTGCCGTAGTCCGTAAAATATTGTCAAGAACGGCTGCTTTCATGGGGCAGATAGTCGTATTTAGATACCGCGATCTACGGATGGTGTTTTGAAGCAATTAGTTTAGTCGTGTCGAATTAAGAAATTAGGAAACGCTAAAAAAAAAACCAGAATGTAGAATCGAGCAATTTCCTAACCTGTGCTATGGGATTCCACAAGACGTTTACGTCTCCTCGACCAACATGTGTACTTTATCGCGGAACAATCTACTAGATTCTCGAGCCCTAGCTAACTGCTACGACTCACCCTCTCCCCGCGACCTTGAACAGGGTTGACTCACCCTGTCCCCGCTACCTTGAGCTGGGTTCACGTACATCCCGTACCGTGAGACGCCGTACACGTAACAGCCGAACGACAGGAAGCCCTTGACCTCTTGAATGTGCATGGTCACGGCCACGTGACCTATGGCCCAGGTTCGGTCACATGATGCGTAGTACCAGGGCCGCTTCATCTTCCTGTTCGGGCACACCAGGTCTCAGGATATATTAAAGTAATCTAGAGTCCCAGGTAAAGTTCTAGACTACCAATCACCTACCAATCACACCCAACCAATCACCTACCAATCACCTACCAATCACCTACCAATCACCTACCAATCACACCCAACCAATCACCTACCAATCACCTACGAATCACCAACCAATCATACTCATCCAATCATCAACCAATCACCAACCAATCACCTACCAATCACCTACCAATCACACCCAACCAATCACCTACCAATCACCAACCAATCACCTACGAATCACCAACCAATCACCAACCAATCACCTACCAACCACCCACCTATCGATCACCTACCAATCACCTACCAATCACCTACCAATCACCTATCGATCATTTACCAATCACCTACCAATCACCTACCAATCACCCACCAATCACCTACCAATCGCCAACCAATCACCTACGAATCACCAACCAATCACCAACCAATCACCTACCAACCACCCACCTATCGATCACCTAACAATCACCTACCAATCACCAACCAATCACCAACCAATCACCAACCAATCACCTACCAACCACCCACCTATCGATCACCTACCAATCACCTACCAATCACCTACCAATCACCTACCACCCACCAATCACCTACCAATCACCCACCAATCACCAACCAATCACCTACCCAATCAATCACCAACCAATCACCTACCAATCACCCACCAATCACCAACCAATCACCTATCAATCACCAACCAATCACCAACCAATCACCTACCCAATCAATCACCTACCAGTCACCCACCAATCACCTACCAATCACGTACCAATCACCCACCAATCACCCACCAATCACCTACCAATCAGCTACCAATCACCTACCAATCACCTACCAATCACCAACCAATCAACTACCAATCAGCTACCAATCACCAACCAATCACCTACCAATCACCAACCAATCACCTACCAATCACCTACCAACCACCCACCAATCACCTACCAATCACCCACCAATCACCAACCAATCACCTACCAATCACCTACCAATCACCCACCAATCACCAACCAATCACCTACCCATCTAGTAGCCCTGAGTTTACAAGCAAGGTTTGGACCTCCTCTGATCGAACTATGATGATCATAAAACTGGTTCTTACTTTCTCCTCGTCATCAGGAACTCTGCCATTGGACAAAATCAGCACGTGATAAACATATCTGGAAGCGGCAGTGTAAAATAAACACGTGCAATGGTCACCGCTGTAAGTTTGGGGGGGGGGGGGGCTGATCCATTGCCAATATTCGCGTAGACATTACCTCACATCAAATCAGCATTGCCACAACCTCAAGACTGCCTCCGTGTGTGCAAATGTATCTTTCTAACTTTAAAATACTATTTATAACTGCAAATGTATTCGAAATGCAAGATAAAAGAAAAACAAATTATTGACTGACAAACTGAATCATCGCCAAAAGAATCACACAATTCCTCATTCAATTAATTCAATTTCAATTTGAATTTCTCTGTTTATTAGTATTATTTAAATCAAATATGATTTCATTTATTTGTATATTTTAAAAAATGCAAGTCAATTATGTAAAAAACTGGAAAACGGAAAAAAAACTATCCACTGTGATTAGTATTTTCACCGATACAAATTTGTCATTGTATCAAGTTAACAAGAAACTAGTATACAGGCATATCATAATATATATATATATATATATATATATATATATATATATATATATATATATATATATGTGTGTGTGTGTGTGTGTATGTATAACATATAGATATATGTATAACATATAGATATATGTATGCGCCGTATTATTGCTTGCTAAACGATCAACGTGTTTGTTTCTACAAGTAAGCTGTGACTCACAGGATGAGGTAGTGACTTAAGAACATTGCGATTGGCACCAGTTGGCAGACGGAGGGACCAGGGGGACCGTCCATCGGCGTGGTACGGTCACACAGTCTGTGCAGGTAGAAGAACACCTGGGTGCTCATGCTGGTCGAACGTATCAGGCAGGGACCGTTGCATTCTGTTGGGTTGATCCTGAATCCCTGGACATCAGGCGGGTTGGTGTGGTTAGTTTGGTCGTTTGTTAGCGGTCAGTGTTACATGGACATAGAAGGCAATTGTATGGATTCCTAGTGGAAGTTTTAACTGTCAGTAACTTGCTGGTATGTAGGGACTTCGAGACTGAAAAGTCTCTGAAAGTCTCGAGTTCGGATCCTGAGCTAGAGTCAGTAAGACTTCCTTGAGTCCACCCAACTCTTCTTCTTCTTCTTCGTTCTTAATATTAGTGTTGGAAGGGATCCCCTCCAACACAGTTAAGGATACGTGTCAACAGGTTATGCGCCATTAAGGCCATTTACTCCGATTTCAGCCTGCTTTTCGTATTGGATTTGCTTCCATAGCCTTTGTCCAACCAAGAACAAACTACAAGGCAGCAGTTGTTTGATTTTGGAGTTGACTCTCCTAGAAGAGTTGCTGTCCCAGCTAACGAGCCTCATCTGCCCGAGGGTTCGAACTCGAGACTTTTTGGTGTAGCAACCATGAGCTTTACCGAATCGACCACGCCGACCACCCAACTCTGATGGGTACCTAACTCACGTTAGGGAAACAGAGGTGGCTGGGAAGAATGCAGACCACACTATCTCCCTGTACGCATAGGTCATTAAAACAGATAAACTCTACTTCTTCTTCCACGTCTTTTCTGGGCATGAACAGGAAAAGATGATGTTCTAGATACTGCGGTGAAAAAATAATAGCTTTGTGTTTTAGAATAATGCTTTTTTTTTATTTACGCTGGATTGCGGAAGATTGGGGTAATATAAAAGTAGTGGCGGGCAATTTTAAGATTGGTTGTCTACATTTTTAAAATTGAATTTATTTATATTTATCCCAGGTATTATTACCGCCCCTTTCTCCTGGAGAAATGTCTAAAACACTGTGTGGATCCTAACTTATGAGTAGGGCAGAGTTTCCATACTGGGATATGCCCGACCGCACTGGAGTAATGGGATATGCCCGACCGTGCTGGTGTAATGGGGTAATTCCCGACCCCGCTTGTGTAATGGGATGTGCCCGACCCCGCGGGTGTAATGGGATATGCCCGACCCCGCGGGTGTAATGGGAATGCCCGACCGCACTGGAGTAATGGGAATGCCCGACCGCACTGGAGTAATGGGAATGCCCGACCGCGCTTGTGTAATGGGATATGCCCGACCGTGCTGGTGTAATGGGATATTCCCGACCCCGCTTGTGTAATGGGATATTCCCGACCCCACTTGTGCAATGGGATGTGCCCGACCCCGCGGGTGTAATGGGATGTGCCCGACCCCGCTTGTGTAATGGGATGTGCCCGACCCCGCGGGTGCAATGGGATGTGCCCGACCCAGCGGGTGCAATGGGATGTGCCCGACCCCGCGGGTGCAATGGGATATGCCCGACCCCGCGGGTGTAATGGGATATGCCCGACCCCGCGGGTGTAATGGGATATGCCCGACCCCGCGGGTGTAATGGGATGTGCCCGACCCCGCGGGTGTAATGGGATGTGCCCGACCCCGCGGGTGTAATGGGATATGCCCGACCGTGCTGGTGTGATGGGATGTGCCAACGACTTACCAGGAAACTCGAAGTGGCATCAAAGACCAGGTCCTGCAAGAGTTTGCCTGCCCGGGAATGTACAGTGACCTTCGACCCCACAAGGCCAACGGCGACGTACTCCCCCCTGAGGATATCGTGCATGGTGTCCAGTGTGATGAACGAGGCCTGGACCCAGAGTGGCGCCACCATAGCTGGGGGTCAAACGAGAGTTAGGCGCTGAAATCAATTTGACCGACCCATTCAATCAATGGCGTAGCGACGGGGAGCGGGTGGGTACATATGTCCCCGGTTGCCGACCATAGGGGCGACAAAATGGGTTTAAAAAGAAGTTTAAAAGCACATTTTAGCTGCAGTTTTGTATTATAAATATAAAAAATATATCGGGGGGGGGGGGGGCGACAAATTGAAAGTTTGTCCCCGGGCACCGGGAGTGGTCGCTACGCCTCTGCATTCATTTGTCAACACGTAAAGACTGATAACCTTTTATTATTAATTTTTGTTAAGCGGTTAGGCTTAGGTTTAAGTGAACGTGTGTATAGTGTGAAATGTTGGATTATAGATATAACCAGTTATTGATTTATTTTCGATAATATTTTCTATTTTTTAGAAAATTAATATTAAAAATCAAGTGCGATTCATATACTTTTCATAAAGTTACTTAATGGCATATTATTTGCCCAAGATTTCATGTCTTTTGTCACAATAGTGCCTTTAACATCTGACATTTTGCCACATTCTGACATTTTGTCACATTGCGCCAACACCGAACCCATGTCATTATCTGGCAAAATGTCACATTGTGACAACCGTGACAGTGTCATGTCTACCGTGACAGTGTCATGTCTATTATACCACTGTGAAAAAGTTGGAGCCTTAAGTCACACTGCCATTTAATGGTAACACGACGATAACTTTTGACATCACCCCCCAACGACACACCAAACAACACCTCCCACCTAACATCAATCAACGCCCAACCCACCCCCCAAACGCCAATCAACATCCAACCCAACCCCCCAACACCAATCAACAACCCACCCTCCACCACCCACCCCCTCCCCAACACCAATCAATAACCCTCTCTCTACCCCCACCCCCTACCAATCAACAACCCTCTTTCCACCACCCCCCAACACCAATCAACGCCCCACCCATTATCAACGAACACCAATCAACAACCCTCCCTCCACACCCTCCCAACACCAATCAACAACCCTTCCTCCACCCCCCCCCCACCAATCAACCACCCTCCCTTCACACCCTCCCAACACCAATCAACAACCCTCCCTCCACACCCTCCCAACACCAATCAACGCCCCACAATCCCCAACGAACACCAATCAACAACCCTCCCTCCACCACCCCCCAACACCAATCAAACACCCTCCCTCCACACCCTCCCAACACCAATCAACAACCAGCCACCCCAACACCAATCAACAACCCTCCCTTCACCCCCCCACTAATCAACAATCCTCCCTCCACACCCTCCCAACACCAATTAACAACCCTCCCTGAACACCCTCCCAACACCAATCAACAACCAGCCACCCCCAACACCAATCAACAACCCTCCCTCCACCACCCCCCAATCAACCACCTACCTGCCACGACGCTACCACTTTTGCTCCCACTTTGAACTTTATAATCGCAACCGACCAGAAGGGTTTTGAACCTGCAGCTTCCCTTGACGACACCCACGGGGTTGTCCGAGCTTAGGAAGGCTATAGCACAATCAGCACATGTGCTTATCACTAAAGATAAAATAAAAGATAAGATAAAATATAGCACACTCAGCACACGTGCTTATCTCTAAAGATAAAATAAAAGATAAGATAAGATATAGCACACTCAGCACATGTGCTTATCTCTAAAGATAAAATAAAAGATAAGATAAAATATAGCACACTCAGCACATGTGCTTTTCTCTAAAGATAAAATAAAAGATGTAAAAATATAGCACATTAAGCACGTGTGCTTTTCTCTAAAGATAAAATATAAGGTAAGATAAAATATAGCACATTGAGCACTTGTGCTTTTCTCTAAAGATAAAATAAAAGATAAGATAAAATATAGCACATCAGCACATGTGCTTTTCTCTAAAGATAAAATAAAAGATGTAAAAATATAACACATTAAGCTCGTGTGCTTTTCTCTAAAGATAAAATATAAGATAAGATGAAATACAGCACATTAAGCACTTGTGCTTTTCTCTAAAGATCAAATAAAAGATAAGATAAAATATAACACATTAAGCACATGTGCTTTTCTCTAAAGAAATAAAAGACAAAATACAAGAAGAGATTTTTTAGCTGACAATCTAAAAATAAAATTCTTTACCATTTGACCCGTCAGTTAGTTGAGTTCTTGAACATTTGCTGATAAAAAATGATTGTCTTCTGTTAAAAAATAGAATAATCGTGTGATTTTATACGATCAATCTTCTTCTTCTTCGTTCTTAATTAGCTCCAACACTTTTAAACATTACGAGTGAAAATGTTGTATACAACACTGCCCAATGACTCAGTCCTCAGTCTGCTCTTTGTTTGGAATGTGCTTCCACCCAAGAATAATCAACATGGCAGCAGATGTGTGATTGTAGTGTTTTCTCCCTTTAGCGGGCTGATGTCTCCAGATAACCAGCCTCGTCTAACCTGATTCCGAACTCGGGACAATCAAAAGATTTTAAAATATTCGAAAAATTTTATACTTCCGAGCCCCCCAATTTACAGAACTGCAGACGACGAAGTTATTTGTTTCGTTATCAAAAATATTTCAACTAAGTTTGACAGTGAAGTTAACTTGAATTTGTCTTTTGTTTTATTTTTTGGGATTTTTACTATTTGGCACCCGCACATAACTTTTCCAATACTAAGTAATAAAAGTAGTAAAACTATTCTTTAGACATTGCTACCGAAGTAGAGTTTTTTGCTCTCTGCGTATGAAGGTGGAAGGGGGGGGGGGTGATAGGCACTTGTCAATCAGGGACAACCTACAGTCAACTGGGAACATTAGGCTTACATCCAAACGCTCTACGATTTGATCCAGGGCCCGCGCTACCTATAAGGCGAACTAGGAGATCCCCATTGGGCGCCATCATAGGGGGCGCAAAAGGTTTAATCGCTATTATCAAAAAGTACCTAATAATTAATAACTTTGATTATCTTTTATAAACTACGAGCCGACCCGCGGCGTATCATACGCCGCTATTTAGTTGTTTTATTTTCTACTTTTCAGTAATTCATAATTTGTGAATTCGACAGTACCAATGCTGCCACTGAATATATTTGCTTTAAAACACTATCAGATGGTCGTTATGGACGATACCCACTCCTTTCCCCCAACCCCTACCCCACCCCGACCCCCCTTGAAAGCAAACTCCTCGTAGTTACCTCCCCTAAGTTTAAAATCGTTTCAAACTACATTATCTGCCCGTAATAGCCGTCACTAAACCCGGCTCTACGATTGTAAACATTTAGCGTGAACCACAGTTCACCAGACCATGTAGGGGTGGGGGTGGTAGGGAGCGCGCTTACAGCTTGGTGTTTTCTAGCGTCTCCAAGAAGAGAATTATATATATAGATAGATAGATAGATAGATGGGTGGTAATATACAAAGGAGTGGCGATCTATTTCGGCGCCCAGGACGAACTATCAATTTTGCGCCCCCATCCACAAATTAGGTATATATAGGGCTATATTTATTCGCGTTGGTGAAAAGGCAACCCCACCTCCATAATTTGGAAAGGTCGGTGCGCTTTTTACTAGTCACTTTGCCTTTTTATTTTGGTGTCACATAATTGATATAGAAAATGATTAAATAAGTTCGTGATTTAAATTTCGAACATTTCAAACTGTTACCTAATTTTAATGTCGATATAGTGATCGATCGAGGGCATGACGGGGCGTTACAAAACACATGTAATTTGGGTTTTAACAGGGCTTGTAAGTCGTGTTTTCTCGGACTTTGAATTAGATATCTGTTCTGATGTATAGAGTTTTGTAATGACGGGTCGCTCAAAATATTGTACTTGTAATTTTTGATGGATCGTTTACATTTGTGAGTAACGGCAGAAGGCTATTGCTAATATGGTTTCGGAGGTATAAAGTATCGAAGTGTTAACGTGTCGTATTTTGTATTTGGCTGTTGTGTAGTTGAAGGTCTAGTGGAATCTGATTTGACAAGGTTACATAATTAATATAAAAGATTTGCTAGAATTATTAGGTAATGAAATTTAGAGCGTTTTATTGTGTTTTTTCAAGCATGTCTTAGTTACACTAATTGGTTAGTTTAGCTACTCTTGTGAAAGCTATTTCCCTTGAATCAAATTTTGGTATTTGAATTTCCAAATGGGATATAATTCGTTGCTTAACTTTACATTCATTTCAAATTCCTGCACCTTAGGTTGACCGTTTACTTATAAATATAACTTTAAGTTATTATTTCCTATTGTAAAAATCATATAGAGCAAAAGTTCAAAACAAAATAGTTTGGTAGGTTTTTTTTTAGCATTATCAAGTTGATAATACATCCGTAGTCTTTGCAGATTGTAATATTTAATGTTAGTAGGCATACAGTATGAGATAGCTCAAAAATGCGTCTAAAATCGTCTTAGTCGCAAATTAATCATCTAATTAATTATGTGTCTTTTTCATATTTTTCGCCCTCTCCTAAAGGATTCATATATAACAATTGTGGGCTGGAGTCTATATCATTTATAACCTCTTTTATTTTTTTATTTTTTTTTTTGAAAAAAAAAATCGTTACATAATCATACGATACAGACATTTAACAATTATAACTAAAGACAGTCAAGCTTAAAACAGGTAAGTTCAGAGTTTCTTCAAGGCATCTCTTCGCCCTCCTCCCCCCCTCCCGGAAAATGTAGACCCCCACCCCAAAAAAATATCAACCTCCCCCCCCCCCCGAAGGAAGTCTACCGCCCCCCCCCCCCCTCCGAACGAGATGAAATTTACATAGTAAACACATCTGTAACCCTCACTCAGTGGGGATGCTTTTACCCACTGAGGTGTTGTGGTTAAGACGGGCTGACCCTGAGATTAAGAACACACTGACACCGACAGTTGTTGTCAAGTACTCCTTTATTCACAGCATCGAGCCATGACGGCGATGCAACACAGTAGTACGACGATTTCAAAGAGAAAATACTGAAGCAACAGGAAACCAAGAAAACAAACTAGCCAAGAAAAAAAACTGTAGCCCTAAAACAAATGTAAATAAAAAGTTACATTCATGACAACACCACGTGTAGGCTACAATATACACGGGTAACAATAAAATATGTTTCGGCCAGTACACAGTACTGCCAACAAGTACCAATAAGTAGTACTACAATAAATACTTATACTAATACTCACCCTAACTAGTGTGCACATGCAGCACTAGCAGGAATACACAAATAAGTATTTTAACAAACATAATTTATATAACTACCTTCATTAGGTCTACATCTTGGTCACCGTGTCCACAGACAGCAGCCTTGCGTGTGCGACACGGCTAGGCATGAAACTACCCACAGTCCCATGTCACATGACATGGGACACAGGTAACATTGCTCACAAAAGCATGAAAAAAACAACTACGTCAACAGGGCCACGACCCCACAGGGGCTGCAACTCAATGAATTAAAACTTCATATTTTTCCCTCCCCTGGCTGGTAACCATATTTGTTACACATGCTTTTACTAGTGTCCGTCCCGTTCCACCGGAAAATGTAAAAAAGTTCCGTTCTGGAATTCATCTTGGGAGGTCTGCAGAGAGCCCAACACTACAAGAACTTATAACGTGCATGCAATTGATAGTAAATTAATACGCCTCTTTTAATCAGAGTTTCTTCCAGGCATCTCTTCCAGCCCCCCCCCCCCCCCACCGAGGAAAGTCTACCGCCCCCCCCCCCCGAAATTTCAAGTGCCCCCCCCGGAGAAAAAAGTCTGGAAGAAACACTGCTTTTAATCAATCGTTTTCTTATACATATGTTTTTGTAGTTAATTTTGTAAAAGGGGCGTTTTAAAAATTTTGCATCATGGCGCTAAATAACACGGCGCCGGCACTGATTCTATCAGTCCCATGATAATAAAAAAAAAGTAGAGAACCTGCTAATTCATCAAGCATTTAAATGCGTTGACAATTTTGAAACAATGGGTTTGTTTTAGATTAAACTCTTAAAGGCATTCATCGCTTGAATATTAAAAAAAAAAAATTACCTTGTTATTTAATAAGTTGCATTTTTTGTATTTAGAAGTAGTAAAAGTACAACAGTAATTCTATACCGAACTCAAATAAGTAGTAGATCTTCACTAGTTTCTCTTTCAGTTACGATTTTTCTTATTTCGGCTGACACCCCACAACCCTAAAACAATTTGCCCTAAACTCTCAGTACAAAAATAACCTACCTCTCAATCTCTATCTCCATAATATCTGACTCTCTGTACGTTCGGTTGTCGTACACTAGGAAAGATGTTTTTGTGAAGAAATGAAAATGGAGTCTCAGTAGAGTTGTCGTATTACATACAACGTTGAAAGTCGTTCTGGAGCTGAAAGTAATGGAAAGTATTGTCAGTGAACAAGTAACAAAGTGTGGGCGGTCTAGTTAGGGTTGAATAGAAAGGTTTTCTTCAATACAAGTAACAAAGTGTGGGCGGTCTAGTTTGGGTTGAATAGAATGGTTTTCTTCAATACAAGTAACAAAGTGTGGGCGGTCTAGTTTGGGTTGAATAGAATGGTTTTCTTCAATACAAGAAACAAAATGTGGTGTAAGGCGAGATGGTCATGTTGTGGCCTGCCTCCCCCCACCCGCCATATTAGTGGGAACATAATGAAGCTGGTTCTTCACCTACCATAGTGGGAAGATGGTGTAGACTTTACCTGGGTGGGAAGATGGTATAGACTTTACCTGGGTGGGAAGATGGTATAGACTTTACCTTAATATGAAGATGGTATAGTTAGACTTTAACTTAATATGAAGATAGTATAGTTAGACTTAACCTGAGTGGGAAGATGGTATAGCTAGACTTTATCTGAGTGGGAAGATGGTATAGACTTTACCATAGTGGGAAGATGCTATAGCTAGACTTTATCTGAGTGGGAAGATGGTATAGACTTTATCTGAGTAGGAAGATGGTATAGACTTTACCTGGGTGGGAAGATGGTATAGTTAGACTTTACCTGAGTGGGAAGATGATATAGACTTTACCTGGGTGGGAAGATGGTATAGACTTTACCTTAATATGAAGATGGTATAGTTAGACTTTAACTTAATATGAAGATAGTATAGTTAGACTTAACCTGAGTGGGAAGATGGTATAGACTTTACCATAGTGGGAAGATGGTGTAGTTAGACTTTACCTTAATATGAAGATGGTATAGTTAAAATTTAACTTAATATGAAGATAGTATAGTTAGACTTAACCTGAGTAGGAAGATGGTGTAGTTAGACTTTACCTGAGTGGGAAGATGGTATAGACTTTACCTGAGTGGGAAGATGGTATAGACTTTACCTGAGTGGGAAGATGGTGTAGACTTTACCTGAGCGGGAAGATGGTGTAGACTTTACCTGAGCGGGAAGATGGTATAGCTAGACTTTACCTGAGTGGGAAGATGGTATAGACTTTACCTGAGTGGGAAGATGGTGCAGACTTTACCTGAGCGGGAAGATGGTATAGACTTTACCTGAGCGGGAAGATGGTATAGACTTTACCTGAGTGGGAAGATGGTATAGCTAGACTTTACCTGAGTGGGAAGATGGTATAGACTTTACCTGAGTGGGAAGATGGTATAGACTTTACCTGAGTGGGAAGATGGTATAGACTTTACCTGAGTGGGAAGATGGTATAGCTAGACTTTACCTGAGTGGGAAGATGGTATAGACTTTACCTGAGTGGGAAGATGCTATAGCTAGACTTTATCTGAGTGGGAAGATGGTATAGACTTTACCTGAGTAGGAAGATGGTATAGACTTTACCTGAGTGGGAAGATGGTGTAGACTTTACCTGAGCGGGAAGATGGTATAGACTTTACCTGAGTGGGAAGATGGTGTAGTTAGACTTTATCTGAGTGGGAAGATGGTATAGACTTTACCTGAGTAGGAAGATGGTATAGACTTTACCTGAGTGGGAAGATGGTGTAGACTTTACCTGAGCGGGAAGATGGTGTAGACTTTACCTGAGTGGGAAGATGGTGTAGTTAGACTTTATCTGAGTGGGAAGATGGTATAGACTTTACCTGAGTGGGAAGATGGTATAGACTTTACCTGAGTGGGAAGATGGTATAGCTAGACTTTACCTGAGTGGGAAGATGGTATAGACTTTACCTGAGTGGGAAGATGGTATAGACTTTACCTGAGTGGGAAGATGGTATAGACTTTACCTGAGCGGGAAGATGGTATAGACTTTACCTGAGCGGGAAGATGGTATAGACTTTACCTGAGCGGGAAGATGGTATAGACTTTACCTGAGTGGGAAGATGGTATAGCTAGACTTTACCTGAGCGGAAGATGGTGTAGACTTTACCTGAGCGGGAAGATGGTATAGTTAGACTTTACCTGAGCGGGAAGATGGTATAGTTAGACCTCCAGTCCGATGTTTGGATTGGCATGAATAAGTCAAACGACGTCTCCGCGATGACGAGCATGACGACGACGCTGAAAGTGCCCGCCCCGTGCATCTCAACCACAGTCGAGAACCCGATCTCCTCGTCTTTGTCGCACCTGCAAATGTTAAACAATTGATGACGTCAGACTTCACAACACAAACTCTATAAAAGTAAACAATTGATGACGTCAGACTTCACAAACTCTATCAAAAGTAAACAATTGTTGACGTCAGAATTCACAACACAAACTCCATAAAAGTAAACAATAGGCGTCTTCAGACTTCACGAACTGTATAAAACGTAAACAATTGGTGTTATCAGACTTCACATTGATGTTATAAAGGTCCTAAAGATCAGCGACAATTACACAAATGTCCCCAGATTTGACTGCGGATTTCACCTTGCTGTTGCTGTACTCACCCCTCAATGTTGACCTCGACCAGATAGCTGAATGCATTGGATACCTTCACGTGGTGGCTATCTGGTCTTGAGCTGATCGACAGGTAGTACTCGATCGTTACCTGTGGAATAACGTGGCACTGTAGTAGGAGTGACGGAGCTTAGTGGAGGTCTATGAGCTTAGTGAGGTGTCAGGGAGCTTAGTGGAGTGTCACTGAGCTTAGTTGGGTGTCACGGAGTTTAGTGGTGTGTCACGGAGCTTAGTGGGGTGTCACGGAGATTGGTGGGATGTCACGGAGCTTAGTGGGGTGTCTATGAGCTTAGTGAGGTGTCAGGGAGCTTAGTGGAGTGTCACTGAGCTTAGTGAGGTGTCACTGAGCTTAGTGAGGTGTCACGGAGCTTAAGCAAGCTTGTGTGTGTGTCCTTGTCGCGTTGAATATTTATGCAATGAAAGTCAGACCTCACTACCACAGTGACAAGAAAACCCCACAACCACAGTGAAAGAATGGCCACACAGCCACACCACCACAGTGAGATGAGGACCACACCACCACAGTGAGATGAAGACCACACCACCACAGTGAAAGACCACACCACCACAGTGAAAGAAAGGCCACACCACCACAGTGAGATGAAGACCACACCACAGTGACAAGAAAACCCCACAACCACAGTAAAAGAAAGGCCACACAGCCACACCACCACAGTGAGATGAAGACCACACCACCACAGTGAGATGAAGACCACACCACCACAGTGAAAGACCACACCACCACAGTGAAAGACCACACCACCACAGTAAAAGAAAGACCACACCACCACAGTGAGATGAAGACCACACCACCACAGTGAGATGAAGACCACACCACCACAGTGAGATGAAGACCACACCACCACAGTGAGATGAAGACACACCACCACAGTGAGATGAAGACCACACTCCGCAGTGAGATGAAGACCACACTCCGCAGTGAGATGAAGACCACACTCCGCAGTGAGATGAAGACCACACTCCGCAGTGAGATGAAGACCACACCACCACAGTGAGATGAAGACCACACTCCGCAGTGAGATGAAGACCACACCACCACAGTGAGATGAAGACCACACCACCACAGCGAGATGAAGACCACACCACCCTAGTGAGATGAAGACCACACCACCACAGTGAGATGAAGACCACACCACCACAGTGAGATGAAGACCACATCACCACAGTGAGATGAAGACCACACCACCACAGTGAGATGAAGACCACACCACCACAGTGAAAGAAAGACCACACCACCACAGTGAGATGAAGACCACATCACCACAGTGAGATGAAGACCACACCACCACAGTGAACTGAATACCACACCACCACAGTGAAAGAAAGACCACACCACCACAGTGAGATGAAGACCACACCACCACAGTGAACGGAAGACCACACCACCACAGTGAACGGAAGACCACACACCACAGTGAAGGAAAGACCACACCACCACAGCGAGATGAAGACCACACACCACACCAACAGTGACAGACAACAACAACAAAACTGAGCACAACCAACAGCAAGATCTACCTCTATCGCATCACTGGCCACTCTACCAATCAGCATCAGAACGTGGTTGACGCCTCTAAGGACAGGCAGGGGCAAAAGATAAACAGTTTGTTGCAAGCCGACATGGAACATTCCTAGATCAGAACACATCTACATTACACACTGCTGTCGTCGTAACATACAACACGCAACGTACAACATAAAAATACAACACGCAACACTAGAACAACAGCATTAACACGGTGGTTTAACATATAACTAGAAATACAATGTCTTGATTTGCGAATAAGACGTTTATTATTTAGGTTAAAGTTAGTTATTTGGGTACTAGTTTAAGTAAGTAGTTAGGTTTAGAACTTTTTCACAATGTAAATGGTTGAAATCTTTGCAATTCTAAGGTTTGGAAAGGTGTGGCTTGGTGTAGTGGTAGAGCGCATAGTTAAAAACCAGCATATGTCGAGTTCGTGTCTTACGCTGGTTTCTTTAACGTTTCCCTGTCGACTGAGCCCCTTGCCGATTGGTTCTAAGATCTTAGAATAACTGGGCTAGCGGTAAGACCACTTCTTATAATTAAAAAGTTAAGGGAGAGTACATGTGCCAAGGGGCGTAGCGAGAGGGGGGGGGGGGGGCGGGGGGGGGGTGTGGACCGCACCGGGTGACACCATTTAAGGGGGTGAAACCAAGGCAAAAAATAGCAAAATATATAGAGAAAAACTTGAGGGGGGGGGGGTGCAAATCGAAAGTTTGAGGGGGGTGCAAATCGAAAACTTGAGGGGGGGGGGGTGCAAATCTTAAACTTGAAAGTTTGTCCCCGGGAAGGGTCGCAACGCCTCTGGGGGGGGGGTGACACCATTAAGTGCCGCACCAGGTGACACCCGACCTCGCTACGCCACTGCATGTGCCTATCTTAGGCATCCATCATTTTATTACCTTACATATTTTCCGAAAGTGTTTTATCTTACCAAATAATATAACAGGTAGAAACACGGTCATTTTTGAACAAGTCATTTTAGGAATCTGAAACAAATTGCAAAATCGTATTAGCTGTTAAATCAAGATTAGCGCTTTATGGAATAAAGCCGACATAGTCTATTTATTTTGTTTATATACTGTAATGTAATCTGTTGGTCTAAATCTAGATCTAGACCCTGTTTACTTTTCTATGCATCGATGGATAGGCCTAGGGCATACGCCAACGTATCTATTTTTAGGCCTATCTAAATAAAACTGGCTGACCATTCCGTCTATTACTGTTTTTCTGTCGCCTTGAATTTAGAATATGAACTCATCCTACTAATATTAAAGTTTATCCATAAAATCCACGGAAATCTACATCCATACAAACACGACTTCTCTAGCAGAACCTTACGTGCTTGAGTTAAGAGGAAAGAACTTCTAAAACTTCCGTTTGTACTGAGTTTTTTTTTTGTTGGTTTTGGTGCGCAAACGCAGAATTTTAAATTTTAGCCTTACCTACAAATGTATGCAATTTTAAAGCATCTTTTTAAGTTTGATATGGAAGTTTCATAAATGCATAAAAGAAGAAGATAAAATAAAGAACCACTGTTTAAGCCTATATAATATAGATCTACAGCCTTTACATAAAAAGAGAAGCGTTAGTTGTATAAATAGAAATAGGGTCGTGTATAGATGACGTCGCAATCTTAGGGAGGGGGTGGGGGGGGGGGGAGGGACGGTCCACTGACTTGAGCCCGGATTCGAACTCTAGACTCACGGGTTAGCAGTCTACAGCTAGGTGTATACCGAACAGGGTTAAATAATGGGGAGGGGGATGGAGTGGATTTTATGTATCCTATGCTTAATATAGGGTAATGACTTGGGTACGGTGTCTACCAGTGTTAAATGATGGGGTGGGGACGGAAATTGATCAGGGTTAAAAGACCCACAAAAGTAGAACAAAAAAAAACACAATATCAAGTTTTCATGGTCTCATGTTTTAATGGTACAGCACACAAAATGTAAATATTGTATCAGCACAAGCAGCTCATCTGCTGGGGTTGGGTAAAATAATACCATGGTTACAGCAAGACATGGGTCAGTAAAAAACAGAATCAGTGAGGCGTGGACTCAAAATCTGAATATTCAGGCCTAATTTCAATGTTGATGTGTGGACATTTTATTTTCTAATAGACTATAGGCCTACATAATTTAGGTAGATTGTGTGTAAAAAATCACTAGTCTATAAGTAATTTTAATGGTAATTTTAATGCACACACACACACACATATGTATATATATATATATATATATATATATATATATATGTATGTATGTATGTATGTATGTATATATAAATATATATATATATATATATATATATATATATATATATATATATATATATATATATATATATATATATATATATATATATATATATATATATATTTATTTATTTATTTATTTATTTATTTATTTATTTATATTTATATATGTTAAAATGAGAAAGTCAAGTAATGATGCTAGTGGAAGAAAAACTATGATTCCTAAAAGCTATGAATCCTAAAAAATTATTATTCCTAAAAACTATTATTCTTAAAAACTATTATTCCTAAAAAGTAAAAACTATTATTCCTAAAAACTATTATTCCTAAAAACTATTATTACTAAAAACTATTATTCTTAAAAACTATTACTCCTAAACACTATTATTCCAAAAAACTATTGTTCAACTTTTTAAGTTAAATTTTAAGATGTCAGAGGTCCAAAAAAAAAATTGCTGACAAAAATATCACAAAGTTTAATAAGGCACTTTGAAGCATTTTTAACATCTTACAAGATCTAATAATCCAGTTACACGAAACTTTACACATAGAAAGGAACATTACCAATATTAGTTTAATACAACCTCTAGAATAATTTTACAAAGTGTAACACAGATTAGTTTTAAATAATAATGTATGTAAATATAAGTTTATAGCAGTTTTATGTAAACCTAAATAAAATAACATGATTAAAAAGGAAAATATTTTCAATAAATGATAGGTATAATACAATTTTTTTTACAAAGATTTATCTATAAATATGACATTGAAATGAAAACCTTAAGCTTATATTGAATAAATTCACTTTGACAAAACTTTTGAATAATTAGTTTTGCCAGATGTTTCATTTCCATCTTTTCACTTCACATGTCTAGATATCTCATACAAATGGGTAACAGCACTTCATTCTTACTTCTTACAGTGGATTAGCTAAGTGTTATGTCAGAGGCTAATCTATGGGTCACATGCAGGTTAGAAAATATTAATACATCATATTTGTAAACCATATAGTAACATTCTTGTAAACAATACTGTAACATTCTTGTAAACCATATAGTAACATTCTTGTAGCATTCTTGTAAACCATATAGTAACATTCTAGTAAACCATACAGTAACATTCTAGTAAACCATACAGTAACATTCTTGGAAACCATATAGTAACATTCTTGTAGCATTCTTGTAAACCATATAGTAACATTCTTGTAAACAATACTGTAACATTCTTGTAAACAATACTATAACATTCGTGTAAACCATATAGTAACATTCTTGTAAACAATATTAAACATTCTTCCAAACAATAACGTAACATTCGTCCAAACAATACTGTAACATTCTTGTGAACCATTTAGTAACATTTGTGTAAACCATATAGTAACATTCTTGTAAACAATATTGTAAGATTCTTCCAAACAATACTGTAACATTCTTGTAAACCATATAGTAACATTCTTGTTACAAAACAATACTGAAACATTCTTGTAAACCATATAATAAATTAATATAAACAATATTGTAACATTGTTGTAAACAATATTGTAACATTTTAAACTTTCTATTCATAAGCTCTAGCCTTCTCTTAACAACATGCATTAAATAAAGTAAAAAATAAATATAAAGTATCAGACAAACACTTAGATATTACAAATAAATTTCCTTTGTAAAGAGAAGGAAATGTAAAATTATAAATAAACTTTCATCTACTAATTAAAACCCTAAAATAAATCCATTCGGTTTTAAAGTATAACAAAAAAAAAAAAAAAAAAAAAAAAGTGTTTACATGTTGGAGAATAAAATAAGGTTTAAAAATAGAATATCACACATCATATATAAACTTACCTTTAACAGAAATACATGATTTGTTGTTAATATTATAAGTTATTTTGTAGGTATTTTTGTATGTGTATGGTAAATTAAAATAAATTGATTATGATAAATAAGTTCGTATTTGACACTGAATGTCAGCACGGCAAATGGGACACGCTTTCATACCCTCCGCGCACTCACTACAGCAGACCAGGTGACCACACGGCACAAAGGTCATCTCGCACTCCGCGTCCAGACACACTTTACACTGAAGTCTGTCATCACTCCCAGCGTCGGTCAACGCTGGTGCCGCCCCACTTCCTGCTTCACTGGCCACCTCTGGTGGTCCTGTGTGAGTAGTTTCAAGTGACGCCAACACAGTACTGGTCAGCTCCTCGACAGAGGTGAATGCTGGGATGGTTTGTTTGGCTGCCACTACCTGCCTGACCAACTCTTCTGGAATGTCCAGTTCCACAACACGCCTGATGATGTCTTCAAGCTAAAAATAGAATTTCAAATACATTACTTGATATGTAAGCTGTTCTGTATATGTAACACATATGGTTACCAGCCAAGGGGGGATAACAAATAAAGTTTTAATTCATTGAGTTGCGGCCCCTGTGGGGCCGTAGCCCTGTTGATGTAGTTGTGTTGCATGCTCTTGTGAGCGATTTTACATGGGACTGTGGGTAGTTACGTGCCTAGCTGTGTCAGTGACATGCAAGGCTGCTGTCTGTGGACACGGTGACGGTACCAAGATGTAACCTAATGAAGGGCTACAGTTCTTTTTTACAGTCTTCCCTGTTTTCTTTTTGGTTTTCCTGTTCGTTTGGTATTCATCTGTAACCGTCAAACTACTGTTGTGCTGCATCGCCGTCATGGCTCGATGCCGTGAATAAAGCCAGTACTTGACAACAACTGTCGGTGTCAGTGTGTTCTAAATCTCAGGGTCAGCCCGTCTTAACCACAACACCTTAGTGGGTAAAAGCATTCCCACTGAGTGAAGGTTACATATAATTAGAATATTTTTTGGCAAAAATTAGCAAAATTTGTTACTTACCTCAAGGTCAGATTTGTGATCTTGTTTCACATCCAAGGAGCGAGCAACAATCAATATTCTGTGGGTAATGTAATACTCATTTAAAAACATGTGTGTGTGCATGCGTGTGTTCGTGTGTCCACGGGGCTAATGAAGTAGAGTTCACCTGTGCATATGAAAGGATAGTGTGGTCAGACTATGTCCAGCCACATTTACTTTCCTTGACAGGTACCCAACAAAGAAGGGTGGGTTCAAGCACATCCTATGGACTTAACCCCAGGATCCAACTCCAGATTCTCAGGTTAAATATATCAAAGACTTCAATTTTGCAGCACTCAATGTATTTCCAGTTTCCAAAAGCAACTAAGTAACTCACTCTTAAGAATGAAATCAATCACAGTACATAACACAGAAGCTTATAATAAACCAAGAAGCAAAAAAACCAGTTTAACCTTTCAGAGCCAGGCTTAGGAATTTTCCAGAACTTGTGGTCCAGGTTATGCTTGTTGCCATGGTAACAACCATCACACAGGTCATAGTCAGGGCACTGAGTACATTTCCACCTGACACCTGTTATACCCTCTGTGTTGCATTCATCACAGGTAATAAAAGGGTGTTTCACACCTGTGATCAAGAGAAGCCCTTCTTTAAAACAAGTTAATAAAAAGTCTAGTGACAATTTAAGCGCAATTTCCTTATGTTATCCATAACAATTTTAAATCGAGATAAAATCATAGCTCCTCCTCCTTCGCCTGCGTCTCGCGCAGTTCGCTGCTAAGCCAGCCAGGTCACATGATTTACCCTCCTTTCCTTTGCCTTCCACTGCCTATTTTGCTATATAGTACTGTAATGTATTATGTATAATGTAATTTTAAATAATGGGGACGTGTAGGGGGTGTTTAGTTGTCACGCTTTTAAAAAAAATTTTGTGACCGAACGAAAGGATATTTTTGAAAACTTTCTTGGCAATATTGTTCTAAATTATGGCAGGAATCGATTGGTAAATGTTTCAAGTCGCTAAGTGGTCTGGTTGCCGAGATATGGGCCAAAAACTGCATTTTTTTGAGGTTTTTTTGGCTTTTCCGGGAAATCCAGGAATAAAAACCCGGGAATTTTTTAGGCCTATGTTCATCCTCGGAACTTGCTTAACATATTTGCTTTTGGAACTAGTCCTCGATATTGCTTCGTTGAGGAGGAGATACGACTTAAAGACGACTTAAAGACGACTTAAAGCTGCGGACACACATCCATCCATCCATTCCCAGAAATGACGAGTTAATAAACGCAATTCTCCAGAATGGAAATTGCGCTAAAAAATTTGGACTCGGTTTTGATTGAATTTTTTTGAAAGCTACTTGAATTAATTCTTTTTTTCTTTTCCATTAATTTAACTCTACAAAATGACTGTTTTTTGTTGTTTTTTTTAACTAATATGCCCTTTTCTTTAAACACAATTTTACAAGTTAAATATAATATCTGAACTCGCCTATCGATATTTAACTATAATACATTTCAAAATTTATTTTACGTTAATACAATTTCCCATGTACCAGCTTGTATTTTACAAAGAATAGATTTAATAAAAATAAATTCTACTTACAATTTGGCTATAATACATTTCAAAATTTATTTTACGTTAATACAATTTCCCATGTACCAGCTTGTATTTTACAAAGAATAGATTTAATAAAAATAAATTCTACTTACAATTTGGCAAACTTTGATCAGACATCAGTTGGTTTTCTGAGCGAGGAGGTTCAACGATTCTGTGATGATATGAATAAATTGTTTTCTAAGAAACGCTTTCCTTTTTTAATCAACTGCGTTTTTTTTAAATAAACAGTCTTCTTTTCTAATAAACTGCTTCCTTTTTTAATATACTGTTTTTTAACAATGTGTTATTGAATAAACTGTTTTCCTTTCTAATCAACTTGTCATTGACGCCAATTTCAGCCTGCTTTTCTTTTTAGATTTGCTTCCATAGCCTTTGTCCAAACAAAAACAAACTACAAGGCAGCAGTTGTTTGATTTTGGAGTTGTCTCTCCTAGAAGAGTGGCTGTCTACAGCTATCGAACCTAATCTGCCCGAGGATTTGAACTCGGGACTTTTCAGTTTAGTAACCATGAGCTTTACCGCTTTACTAGACCACGCAGACCCCAAACTGTTTTCAAATTAGCTGTTTTCTTTTCTGATAATCTGTTTTCTTTTCAAATAAAATTTTTCCCAATAAACAGCTTTTTAATCAACTGTTTTCTTTTTTAAATAAACTTTTTTCTTTTCTAATAAACGGTTTTCCAATAAACTGTTTTTTAAGAAACTGTTTTCTTTTTTGACTGTTTTTTAATATACCTGTTCTTTTAATCAAATGCATTCTAATAAACATAGTCTAGTACTTGCTAGTTCAGCCAATAATTTAATAAAGCTTCAAATCATAAATGTTAAAAGAACTATTTACTAAAATGGGTGATTTGAGTTTATTTAATAATAGGTAATATAATGACCTTTCTGCACCCGACTTGACGATCTTAAAGAATGCATGATCCGGAGAATGTTTGCCATATTTGAAACACTCATCACACAGGTCATAATCAATACACTGAGAACATTTCCATCTCACACCACTAAAGCCTTTTGTTTGGCATTCATCACACGTTGTTGTTGGATGTGTATCTACTGATGACAAAAACAATTTTTAAACAACGATTTTAAACTATTTTTGATTCATACTTTTTAACATTTTTTAAAAGTTGTTTCTTTCCTTTTAATGTTTAACTAAATTTTAAGTACTTTTCAGTTTACTTACTATCAACCTGTTGTCCCTCTCTATTTTGGTTAGTATTAACAAGGTATGTTGAGCTATTTACTGTGACTCTTCTGAAAGGTTTTTAATGTATTGTTATAAAAAATACGTTTATGATTTTGTTTTTTAACAACGGTTAATAATATATAAAAATAGGTTAAATGGGGGTCGGCGTGGTCGAGTCGGTAAAAGCTCATGGTTGCTAAACCGAAAAGTCTCGAGTTCGAACCCTCGGGCAGATGAGGCTCGTTAGCTGGGGACAGCAACTCTTCTAGGAGAGACAACTCCAAAATTAAACAACTGCTGCCTTGTAGTTTGTTCTTGGTTGGACAAAGGCTATGGAAGCAAATCCAAAAAAGAAAAGCAGGCTGAAACCGGAGTCAATGGCCTCAATGGCGCATAACCAGTTGACACGTAACGCTTAATTGTGTTGGAGGCGTGGTCGAGTCGGCAAAAAGCTCATGGTTGATAAATTCGAACAAAGTCTCGAGTTCAAACCCACTGGCAGATAAATCTCGATCCCCTTCAACACTAATAATTAAGAACGAAGAAGAAAAAGAAGGTTAAATGTGTTCTAAAAGGAAACTTTTAATATAGAATTTTCATAAGCCATAGTTATATTATTATTTCATTTAATGTTTTATTACAGGTCTATTATTCAAACTAATTAAAATTATTCATAACCACCTTTTACTAGAAACAAAAAACATATTTTTAAGACTTCATTCTTTTTTTTGGTTCCTATAAATATATATATAAACTCAAACGCCTAAAACATTTACCTACACTAAAGTTTCACAAATTTATTTTGTAGGCTAATAATTACATCCCAAATCTATGTTTTAAATATTCTTATATAACAATGGCTATTCGGGATATAGACATGATTTTAAATCCATTTTTAATTACTTAAACTTTTTAAAATCAAATAGATGTCTCGTAGAAAAAAAAGAATTGCATACCAAGTGAATGGCAAACAATGTGTGTATAATAGTGGGAATACTATTAGTACTTTAGAAATCCATATTCGTTTTTTGAGAATCAGAAATAGTGTAACTAACTACTTCGGGTCAACGGAAATTACTCAAAATTTTACATATATGTGAAATTTCATTTTACTATGTGAAACAGTAGGCCTACTCAAGTTAAAGGCTTTTGAAAACTATAAGTAGAATAGGTTCAACTTCCAGTTACTAAAAAACTACAAAATTGATATAATACTTATAATATTATATATGAAATTTCATCAACCTAGCTGTAACGGTACTCAAGTTATCGTGTTTACAGACATATATTCACATACGCAGACATAAGGAAAGAATTGCAAAGCCCAGTTTTTCTGACTCGATTACACGTAAAAAACTGAAATTTTGATAAATCTGCATTTATAATTTTTGCCCGATTAAAATAAGTCCCCTATATATGATGAAGCACTGAGGTGTAAAACAATGAAAACTGTCAAAATTGCATGTAATTTTTGTGTACGATTACAATACTTCCTCTATATTCTGTGTACGGGAAAGTAAAAATGAGTTCTAACCTTGCTGCCAAGGGTTGAGTGATCCGCCTAAATTGGTGCTCTGGAAAATGTTTCTTATTTCTAAAACAGGTACCACACAGATCAAAGTCTGCACACTGAAGACATTTCCATCGCACACCTCGAATATTTAGTACCTTGCATTCATCGCAGGTAATATTTGGGTGTATGATATCTGTAAAAGAGAAAAAATTTATTAAGACTATAACTGTGGGCTTGACATTTTTTTCTTTAACAACTGGCTATATGTATAGATAGTTGTTGTTTTTTGTTTAGTTATTTAATACACTTTAATTTTACTCACTTGAATAATTTGATTGATCTGCCCCAATATGATCAGAGCTGATTGGCTGTGCTGATCGAGGTGACACAATTACCCTGCAATATTTTCTTTACATTATGATATGCACAATTAATTTACAATTAAAACAATGAGATCACTTAATAAAGTAAAAAGTGAATAGCTAAAAACCTTGAAAAAAAAAACTGCTTAATATCACAGTCCTAAGTAATTTCTAAAAAAAATAAAACAATTATAAAATGGATATTTACCCCTGTACCCCTGGCTGAACAATTTTTCTAAACTTGTGATCAAGAGAGTGCTTGTTGCTATTGTAGCAAACTTCACACAGATCATAGTTAACACACTGAGCACAGTTCCATCTCACACCCACAATGCCTTCTGTGTTGCAGCCATCACAGGTTATATTTGGGTGTGTCACAACTGTCAATAATTATTGGATTTAAGGATTCAACTTTGAACACAAAAAAATTAAATTTTCCAAGTTCTGTAAGAAAAATATATTACTATCTTTGAGATAACAAGAGATTTATAGATTAATTAGTATTTTTCTTAGTTCACACTATAAGTATAGTAGCCATTTTAAAGCAACATCCTACCACTCTCTAATAGAGTTCATCACCATGACTTCTTTGTTTGAAGCCCCTGAGGATCAAAGTGCTGCAGCTACACATCTCCACCAGACTTTGGGCAGCTCTCTTTAGCTGAGCACAAGGAAACCCTGCAGCCCTTGCTTCACCTCCTTCAGTCCTTACTGTTCTGGTCAGCTAACTTTTCCCCTGGGAGTTCCAGTTTAATGCTTGCCATTTTATCCTTGTCCCTTCTCATGGGCTTTAATGACTGGTAATCAGCTGGTGTTATGTGGTATTCAGCAGGTCTCCTTTTGAGATTGTGTCTGGCCATCTTATCTTAATCTTATATGACAGGTTTATCTGGCAAGTAGCTTACAATGTCCAGTAATCTTTGCTATGACCAGTAGGTTTACAATGTCCAGTGATCTTTGCTGTGACCAGTAGGTTTACAATGTCCAGTGATCTTTGCTGTGACCAGTAGGTTTACAATGTCCAGTGATCTTTGCTGTGACCAGTAGGTTTACAATGTCCAGTGATCTTTGCTATGACCAGTAGGTTTACAATGTCCAGTGATCTTTGCTATGACCAGTAGGTTTACAATGCCCAGTGATCTTTGCTGGGACCAGAAGTTTCCAATGTCCAGTGATCTTTGCTGTGACCAGTAGGTTTACAATGTCCAGTGATCTTTGCTGTGACCAGTAGGTTTACAATGTCCAGTGATCTTTGTTAGGACCAGTAGGTTTACAATGTCCAGTGATCTTTGCTGTGACCAGTAGGTTTACAATGTCCAGTGATCTTTGTTATGACCAGTAGGTTTACAATGTCCAGCAATTTTTGCTATGACCAGTAGGTTTACAATGTCCAGCGATCTTTGCTGTGACCAGTAGGTTTACAATGTCCAGTGATCTTTGCTGTGACCAGTAGGTTTACAATGTCCAGTGATCTTTGCTATGACCAGTATGTTTTACAATGTCCAGTGATCTTTGCTATGACCAGTAGGTTTCCAATGCCCAGTGATCTTTGCTGGGACCAGTAGGTTTCCAATGTCCAGTGATCTTTGCTGTGACCAGTAGGTTTACAATGTCCAGTGATCTTTGTTAGGACCAGTAGGTTTACAATGTCCAGTGATCTTTGCTGTGACCAGTAGGTTTACAATGTCCAGTGATCTTTGTTATGACCAGTAGGTTTACAATGTCCAGCAATTTTTGCTATGACCAGTAGGTTTACAATGTCCAGCGATCTTTGCTGTGACCAGTAGGTTTACAATGTCCAGTGAATTTAGCTATGACCAGTAGGTTTAAAATGTCTAGTGATCTTTGCTGTGACCAGTAGGTTTACAATGTCCAGCGATTTTTGTTATGACCAGTAGGTTTAAAATGTCTAGTGATCTTTGCTGTGACCAGTAGGTTTACAATGTCCAGTGATCTTTGTTATGACCAGTAGGTTTACAATGTCCAGCGATTTTTGCTATGACCAGTAGGTTTACAATGTCCAGCGATCTTTGCTGTGACCAGTAGGTTTACAATGTCCAGTGAATTTAGCTATGACCAGTAGGTTTAAAATGTCTAGTGATCTTTGCTGTGACCAGTAGGTTTACAATGTCCAGCGATTTTTGTTATGACCAGTAGGTTTAAAATGTCTAGTGATCTTTGCTGTGACCAGTAGGTTTACAATGTCCAGTGATCTTTGTTATGACCAGTAGGTTTACAATGTCCAGCGATTTTTGCTATGACCAGTAGGTTTACAATGTCCAGCGATCTTTGCTGTGACCAGTAGGTTTACAATGTCCAGTGAATTTAGCTATGACCAGTAGGTTTAAAATGTCTAGTGATCTTTGCTGTGACCAGTAGGTTTACAATGTCCAGTGATCTTTGCTATGACCAGTAGGTTTACAATGTCCAGCAATCTTTGCTGTGACCAGTAGGTTTACAATGTCCAGTGAATTTAGCTATGACTAGTAGGTTTACAATGTCTAGTGATCTTTGCTGTGACCAGTAGGTTTACAATGTCCAGTGATCTTTGCTATGACCAGTAGGTTTACAATGTCCAGTGATCTTTGCTATGACCAGTAGGTTTACAATGTCCAGTGATCTTTGCTGTGACCAGTAGGTTTACAATGTCCAGTGATCTTTGCTATGCCCAGTAGGTTTACAATGTCCAGTCATCTTTGCTGTAACCAGTAGGTTTACAATGTCCAGCGATCTTTGCTATGACCAGTAGGTTTACAATGTCCAGCGATCTTTGCTATGACCAGTAGGTTTACAATGTCCAGTGATCTTTGTTATTATTCTGGTATACACTAGTGCTGAACTTACCCAGGGACACCATAAGGTAAAGATTTCAATTTGAACTTCAGGTGCCTAGGTAAGTAGATGCTTAAGTCACTGACTGATCTCTTAAACGTATCACCTCACTTTCTATGTGGTAAGATGTGTTTGTTAATTCTGCCTGGCAAAAAATAACAAATAGGCATCAGACCGTTATACTCACTCTGAAGTGCTTGTCTAGTTGCTTGACTTCGTTCACTGTTCACTGGTTGTCTAGATCGTGGTGCCGTAATTACACTGAAATTTTTTTTTTTAACTTGCATTATTTATTGACAAAGCTATGTATTGCTGTAAAACCTACAAAAAGTAACATAAGTTTAATACAATATTTAAAGCATAACTACACAATTGTGTAGACAAATTGTAATTATTTTTTCAAACTGTATACATCTTTAAAAGTTTAAACAAGAAGCACAACCAACCCTTCTACTCGTGGCTTGACTATCTTCCAGAAAACATGGTCCAGGAAATGTTTGTTGTCCTTGTAGCACTCATCACAGAGGTCATAGTTGAAACACTGGGTACATTTCCATCTCACGCCTCTAAAGCCTTTTGTTTGGCATTCATCACACGTTGTTGTTGGATGTGTTGCGTCTGACAATAAACACATATTTTTATTTAGTTTTTCACGTTATGTTCAAATTTTATAGCATACATCTAAAATCTTCACATATGAAGGAAAGTGAGGTAATCTCTATCAAAACAGTAATTTTTATCAGCAGTTTTAAGAAACCAATCTCCATATTTTGTATTTGATAAATACATATATTACGCACAAACAACAAGCAAGGATTAAAAATATTTTTTTAGCCCTCACAAATTTCTTGCTCTGGTCCACTTTGGTCCGTGGTTACTTTGTGTGTAGACCTAGGCGATGATACAACTCTGTAATATTTTTTTAATGTGCTGATTATTTACTACTTATGTATTCCTGAGCAACAAAAATTATAACTGAATTGTAAGTTTCTTTCAAATCTTTAAGAAAAAAAAATTAAAGCTACTTAAGCTATGTAACCTGTTAAGAAGTTTCTCTAAGATAATTGTCCTATTTATCATGAAATTTCATTTTTTAAATTTCATATAAATCTATATTTGTAAAGATTTTATACAACAGTATTTTTCAATTGGATTTTCTTTTAGAATAAATTAATCCAGGGCTTGTCAAGTTACTGAAAGCTAGTCCCCAATGTTTAGATCTTGATACTCAATATAAGGATTAATTAAAACATGGTTTACATATAAGGTTAAATATACCACTATATAAATAGGCTTTGCTGCAAAATAAGGCTTCATAAACACACAATCCAATATAATAACCTGTTTTTTAATAAAGTTACTAATGTAATGACATTTTTGTCTAATAAAATATAATTTTCCTACATGTTTTCTGATAATATATTACAATGTTTCTTGGATCAATAATGAGTAAACCTGCTTTATTGTGAAATTGTTGATAAAAATATATCAGTTAAAAATTATTTTACACAGTTTCTGACCTTTCTGAGCCAGGCGACACAATCTTCCAGAAAACATGGTCCAGGAAATGTTTGTTGTCGTTGTAGCACTCATCACAAAGGTCATAGTTGAAACACTGGGTACATTTCCATCTCACGCCTCTAAAGCCTTTTGTTTGGCATTCATCACACGTTGTTGTTGGATGTGTTGCGTCTGACAATAAACACATATTTTTATTTATTTATTCTCTAATAATTGCATTAAGGGTAAACTTTTAATCAGTAAATATTCAGTGAAAATCAAAGCAATCAGTAAATAGAATGACTACAGTTGTAATTTAATTCCAACTTAGAATTTACAATATTTACAACACTTTAAAATATCTGTTTGAAATGTGAATGATTGCTTCTTTTTACCAAATAATAATGTAACCAAAGGTGTAGTTCTTCTTCAAATTTACTTATTGTCATGTCATAAAAGAATATACATCTATTATATATGCCTAGGCACTATGTATTAGTCCTGTAGGGCTACATGTTTAAATTATAAAAGCAGATACTTCAGAATTGTTATGACCATTACATTTCCATGCACCCACCCCCTCTCCTCAATATAGGTCTACATTTGTTGTACACTGGTGATAAATTCTATTATGTACGCTATTTGCACAACGAAGTTTAAAATAATTTCTTCGCATTTTTTTACAGCCTTGTTAGCTAAAGGTGATATTAAGGATTGAAGTAGGCTAAGGCTTAATTATTTATACATTAAAAACTATTATTCTAGTTTACTAGTTGTACATCAACTAATTTTCCAATTGAAATTTATAAGGTTAGGCACCCTTAAGATATTTTAAAACAATTTATAGTAAAATTTAAAACAATGATCACTTGTTTACCTTGGTTGGTCATCATCCTTTGTTTCTTGATCTCCGATGTACCTCTGTTTCACATGTTGACATTCTGATTTAAACGAAACATCTGTTAGACAAATTAGAAAAAGATTTAAACTACACATCCGTTCGACGAATTAGAGAAACATTTAAACTACACATCTGTTTGACAAATTAGAGAGAGATGTTCTGGAGTTTTCCATTCACAGTTTCTTCCAGGCATCCCTCGGGGGGGGGGAGCTTCCCCCCCCCCCCCCCCCGAAATTTTTTTACCGCCCCCCCCCCCCCCCCGAACGAAATGAAATTTATATAATTTATATAGACAATATATACTTTTAACAGTGTCCGCCCCCTGAAAATTTCAAGTGCCCCCCCGGAGAAAAAAGTCTGGAAGAAACACTGTTTCCGTTGGGGGTGTTGAATAAAATCAGCTAAACAATTGAGAATGTAATTAGGTTAGGTCTTACGCTAGCATGGCAGTAGATGGAAGGTAATCTATTGATTTAAGTACGTAGAATCAGCCTAGGCTAGTAATGTGAAAAGAAGGTGCCTCATTAAATTTTAGTAATTAGATCTATTTCACATTTTAAGGAAGATTTATGTTTTGAAAGTTACAAAAATGTTTCAGTTCCATTTATGTACCTGTTTTTAAACAATTGTATTAGAACTTTTCCGTAATAAATAAAGATGCAACAAAGTTTGTTTACTTCAGCAGCCATCTTGTTTAGGAGGTTGTTTTTTTTGGTAAACTAATAGCGGGAGATTCAGGGGAAGCCACTCTATTTTACAAATGGCTGCTGTTTAAATAGTAAATATTTAATATAATATTACTGCAAACACTGCTGTTTAAAGTTAATTTCTGGCCTATAGTAGGGCCTATTGCTATATTAAGCCATTGATTTTGGATTATTATTCAATTATCTAGGCCTATAATAATATTAATATATTTGACACAAATATATCACAATATCAATATTATATATACTTAGCCTATACTTCTATTATTACTATTAAAGCCTTAACAATGTGGCAACTTTACTAGCCTCAGCCGATTTTACGTAGGCCTACCTCTATGTTCTATATTATATTAGTAATTAGGCCTAGTTACTACCTAAAATAAAATAGATTACCAAGTTAACTTACTAATCTAATAATAATTATGCCTATAGTATAGGCCCTATACTAATACTAGATATCTAGATCTATGGGTAATCTATCGTTTTGGGTACGTAAAATCGCCCGTGGCTATTTATGTACGAACACGTTACCTCATTGTCAAGGCTTTAATAGAAATATATTGTCATACTTTTGTGTCAAATATTATAGATAAATGAATAATAAACCTAAATCAATGGCTAAATATATCGATTTAGGCCAGAAATTAACTTTAAACAGCAGTGTCTGAGAGCAAGATTTGCTATATAAACAGCAGCCATTTGTAAAATAGAGTGGCTTCCCCCTGAATCTGGCGCTAAAAGCTTATAATAAAATACTTAAAAAAAACTTTTTAAAAAACCACGTTTTTCTTGTGGACTAAAAAGTAGAAAATAACTATTTACATACATTTGATGACAAAAAACGTGGGTACGTTCACCATCAAATTTCCCGACCCATCTGCCCGACCCACGTTTTTTGTCATCAAATGTATGTAAATAGTTATTTTCTACTTTTTAGTCCACAAGAAAAACGTGGTTTTTTAAAAAGTTTTTTTTAAGTATTTTATTTTCTCCTTTTTAGTCCGTTGCTACACATGAAAAACGTGGTTTTTAAAAAAGTTTTTTATATAGTTTATTTTCTACTTTATCTAATGACTTGATTAAGTATGAATTGACTAAGTGTTTATAAATACACGGACTAAAAAAATCTTGAGCGACCAGGATTCGAACCTGGGTTGTCGCGGCCACAACGCGAAGTACTAACCACTATACGATCACGGCCAGCGCGCTCACATCGATTGGGGCCGAAGTAACTGTGTCTATAAGCCTCCAGTCTTGTCGGTATCTTTAGAAATCATGTCCTCAATTTTATGGTCCTTGGGGCGTAATTAAATTAAGCTAATTACCGTCTCTAATTGCTAGTTTTTATGATTGCATCTGAAATTGTTAGGCGAAAGTAGCCTACATGCCAAATTTCAGATCTATTGAGCAATCAGAAGTGGGTTAATTTTCGATGTCAATTTTAACAACAAACACACGCGAAGCTGAGTTAATAAAAACGTGTTAAAAAAAAAACGTGTTAAAAATAAAACTTAGACAAGATGGCTGCTATAGTAAATGAGCATGGTTGCATCTGTTGGAAACATGGCTAGTCTTCATTTATTACTGAAAAGTTTTAATTCAATTGTTTAAAAACAGGTACATAAATGAATCAAGGAAACATTTTTGAATTTTTTAAAACATAAATCCTCCTCAAAGTGTGAAATAATTATTAAAATTTAAGGAGTCACCTGTTTTTCACATTACAAATTGCGGGCGATTTTACGTACCCAAAACGATAGATTACCGACCGATCTATGTACTAAATGTATACTACTAACTATTGTATACATTACTATCATTATATAAATATATATTAGTCTAGGCTAGACTCTAGATGTTTAGTCTATATCTAAACTTAACGAAACTAGATCTCTAGATCTATGATAACTAGAACTAGAAAATAGGTTGCGTTTGCAGGATCCGGAGAAAAAAATATTGGAAATTTCCATAAGAATATAGTCTTATAGATCTAGATCTAGCAAGTTATTTATATAGCTAATGGGAATCCCCTACGCTAGCCATTTCCTGTTTACATAAAAAAACTTTGGATAAAGAAATATTTTAAAAAGTAGAAGTGATCTCCCCTAAACTTTCACGTAAACGATTGTATTCCTTATTCTTGTGTAACACTTAGTAACAGTAAGGTAATAAGGAAATGGAACTTACAGGACTAATTGAAATGTTTTTTTTATTATTTTTTTTTCAATACTTAAATGTTTTAAAACAGAAAAAAAATGATTGCGCACACAATGAACGCAAACAGAGTGAGTGTAATAGAGCGGAAAATCGGTACTTTCTGAAGGATAAACTTGATTACCTTTTTTAGAAAAAAAAATTAAAATTGCGTAAGTTGGATACTACTTACGGTCACCGGGAATCACTCTCTTCTTCTTCTTCGTTCTTACTTTTTAGTGTTGAAAGGGATCAAGCCTTATCTGTCAGATGGTTTGAACTCAAGACTTTTTCGAATTTATCAACCATGACTTTTTGCCTATTCGACCACGCCTCCATCACAATTAAAGATACGTGTCAACTGGTTAGGCGCCATTGAGGCCATTGACTCCTATTTGAGCCTAGTTTTCTTTTTTGGATTTGCTCCCATAACCTTTGTCCAACCAAGAACAAACTACAAGGCAGCAGTTGTTTAATTTAGGAGTTGTCTCTCCTAGAAGAGTGGCTGTCCCCAGATAACGAGCCTCATCTGCCTGAGGGACGAACTCGAGATTTTGCGGTTTAGCAACCATGAGCTTTACCGACTCGATCACGCTGACCACTGGAAATCACTCAAAATTTGAAAGTTTATAAGCCTAAGTATGAAATTTCGGCTAGCTAAATATAACAGTAAACAAAAGTGGCTTTTTTTTTAGAAACTAGAAATAGTGTAAAGAACCACTTCCAGGTATCGGATGTCACACAAAATTTAAAGGTGACCCAAATTTCGTCTGCGGCTCTAAAGTTATCGTGTTCTCACGGAAATAGAGTAAAGTGCATTTTCCGACTAACGGAAATCGTTAAAAAGTTGAGAGTATTCTCATCGAATCCCTAAAGTTTCATGCCCCTCGGATGAACGGTGTCAACCCGCATCAGACTTTTTATTTATAGACCGTAATTAGATAAAAAGCGCTTCACCGCACGGGAACCGCCCTACCGAAATCTAATTTCTTTTTCGCAGAAACATTATATAATATTGTTTTCTAATTTATAAAATAAATGTCTATGATTGAACAAAGCTATAAATCTCAGGAAAAAATCATTCACGTGAATATTGCACAGTTAAATAAAATAATCGTCTCTTTTGGTGTTAATTTCTTAATCTCGTGTTGTGCCACATACTTAATCTCGTGGTTTGCCACATACTTAATCTCGTGTCGTGTCACATACTTAATCTCGTGTCGTGTCACATACTTAATCTCGTGTCGTGTCACATACTTAATCTCGTGTCGTGTCACATACTTAATCTCGTGTCGTGTCACATACTTAATCTCGTGTCGTGTCACATACTTAATCTCGTGTCGTGTCACATACTTAATCTCGTGTCGTGCCACATACTTAATCTCGTGTCGTGTCACATACTTAATCTCGTGTCGTGTCACATACTTAATCTCGTGTCGTGTCACATACTTAATCTCGTGTCGTGTCACATACTTAATCTCGTGTCGTGTCACATACTTAATCTCGTGTTGTGTCACATACTTAATCTCGTGGTGTGCCACATATTCTCGTGGTCCACCACCACCACATACTATTGAAATTTAAAAAAAAAAATTTAAGGTTTAGTTAAAGATCTCAATGTTCTTCAGAGTCTCTTAGTTAGTGGCAGAATTGTAGTTTACATTTTAAACAAGTTAAACAACTAGTTAGTTATCTAGTCAACTTTTTATAAACAATAGCTAAAGTCTGTAAAGAAACGAATATAAACTTATATCAACAACGATTGTCTGTTAAATAGGAAAATATTCTAATATGTTTTAATATGTTTTTAATATTGAATTCAACAATATAGGCCTACCCGGTAGTTTTTTTTTTAAATTAAGAGCACAAATAATTTTTTTAAACATATTTAAATGACAATACAAAGAAGTGGTCTTCACTATAAAATTCAAATGTTTATTATCGAATACTTGCATGCAGGCGAACTGAACCAGCGGTGAAATTAATTAGTACAAGATAATAATAAATAAATAATAATAATAAAACAATTGAGTCCAAATACGGAGATTATTTAGAAAACAGACAATCATATGTTACTTTACGGAAATGAATTACAAAACAAGCATATTCATATAAGCAGATTATTTAGAAAAAATAACATTTCCTGTAAGAAGATTATTTACAAAACAATTGTATTTTCCTACACGGAGATCATTTAGAAAACTAACCAATACAATTTTCACTCTAGAACGGCTCCATTCGTTATGTGACAACTGTAAATTTGCTCCACTTGTATGTTATAGTGTCGCATCTTAGTTGATTATAAAATACCACTAGCCTAGACAGAAATACTTCAGTAGCATCACATGAACTGGAGCCTAGACAACACTAGCCTAGACGGTAATGCAACAGCAGTATCACATGAACTGGAGCCTTAACAACAAATGCCTGCCTCACCCGCCCTCTAAAACCACCACCCTTATCCATACCCACGCTACAATCTAAGTTTAAAGACCAACACAAAACAGCCGTCCATCACAAAACAGCCGTCTATTACGAAACAGCCGTCCATCACAAAACGGCCGTCCATCACAAAACAGCCATCCATCACAAAACAGCCGTCCATCACCAAACGGCGGTCCATCACAAAACGGCCGTCCATCACAAAACAGCCGTCCATCACAAAACGGCCGTCCATCACAAAACTGCCGTCCATCACAAAACGGCCGTCCATCACCAAACGGCGGTCCATCACAAAACGGCCGTCCATCACAAAACAGCCGTCCATCACAAAACGGCGGTCCATCACCAAACGGCCGTCCATCACCAAACGGCGGTCCATCACAAAACGGCCGTCCATCACAAAACAGCCGTCAATCACAAAACAGCCGTCCATCACAAAACGGCCGTCCATCACAAAACGGCCGTCCATCACAAAACAGCCGTCCATCACCAAAACAGCCGTCCATCACAAAACGGCCGTCCATCACAAAACAGCCGTCCATCACAAAACTGCCGTCCATCACAAAACAACCATCCATCACAAAACGGCCGTCCATCCCAAAGTAAAACCCCACCCATCAGTCCCCCTGACAAGCAAGCACGTGTATGACGTAGATGAGCAGCGTCTGCACAAGGGTGAGACACGAGGCGCAGGGTGAGGCGGGGGCGGCTACGGCGTCGATGGTAGTAATGTCCAGGTATACGTCGTTCTCATCGAACTCGCTCTCGTAGGAGTAGTCGTAGGGGTAGTAGTTGTAGCTGCCGTTCGGGCCGCTGTTGAGGACGTCGTTTTCCGAATCTCTTTTCACTGGTCGGATGAGAGAAAACGTATGTAAGTGTTTATTGAGTTAGACTAACATCTGGGGCGCAGTCACATAACCCGAGTCCGTAGGCTCAAAAGAATACAATTACACATATACACACACACACATACACGCACGCACACACACACACACACCCACCCCCCACCCACACACACACCCACCCCCACACCCACGCACGCACACACACACACACCCACACACCCACACCCCCACACACACACACACACATATATATATGTAAGTGTTACGTGTGAACTCACTCAGTAAGTGTTAGGTGTGAACTCACCCAGTAAGTGTTAGGTGTGAACTCACCCAGTAAGTGTTAGGTGTGAACTCACCCAGTAAGTGTTAGGTGTGAACTCACCAAGTAAGTGTTAGATGTGAACTCACCCAGTAAGTGTTACGTGCGAACTCACCCAGTAAGTGTTAGGTGTGAACTCACCCAGTAAGTGTTAGATGTGAACTCACCCAGTAAGTGCAAGATCTGCTTCGACTTGGCCGTTGAACTGCTGATCCTCTTGGGGAATGTGTAGCGTGCCAGACACTGAAAGCACCCTCCGTCCCCCTCGCTTACGTTGTAGGCGGTCAGTTTCATGGTGGCGTTTACGTTCTTGTGGGAGGGGCGGCGGTCTTCACTCATGTCAATACGCCAGTTCTTACGGGTCAGGTAACCTTTCTTAAATCATAGACAAACAATTGACTGAGACGATGAATGCCAGTCATTCGAGATTTTTTTTTACACTCATTCCAGAGAACAGAAGTGCTTTTGTCATAGTGTGTCATATTTTGTCATATTTTGTTAAATTTTGTCATTGTGTCATACTTTGTCATTTTTGGTCATAGTATGTCATAGGTAAAATGTAGACAAAGTTTGAATAGAATTTGTTTCACAGAAAGCTGTAAATCATCCCAGCTCTGATGTAAATCATCCCAGCTCTAATGTAAATCATCCCAGCTCTGATGTAAATCATCCCAGCTCTAATGTAAATCATCCCAGCTCTGATGTAAATCATCCCAGCTCTGACGTAAATCATCCCAGCTCTGGTTGGTAACTGACTCCTCACTTTAGGGCAAGTAAACGTGGCTGGGCATTGTGCTGACCCAGATGCATGATTACCCAATTACAAAATCAGCTAGACCCGCTGAGGCCTAACCCGAAAAACTTTTTGCACAAATACAGCGATTAATGTTGACATATTTTCATAGCATCCAATCTAAGCTCAACTAATGACGTTTCGGATTGTGTCTTCTTCAGACAAAACAAACATCAAATAAACACAATAGGAAGTTTAGGATATATTTTTTTTAAAAATCCGGTGCCTGTTTAGTCCACTATAATAGAGTATTAGGTTCAAATATAAACCTAGCTCTACTCTAACCTTAAACCTATTTATTCCACTATAAAAGGGTATTAGGTTGCTAGCGTAAATTAGTTCTACTCTCTAACCCTAACCCTATTTGTAACACCTTAAACTGATACCATATTACCACTAACAACCTAACACCCCTAATTTTGGACAAGTCCATCATCGGACATAGCATCATCGGACACTCGTACTAAAACTGACCCCAAACGTCCCCACTCACCATCCATGCCCTGGCCGGCTTGGGTTTCCCGCTACTGATGATCTGCCCAATGATGCGGTACTGCGCGCAGTCCGGGCTAAACAGAAGCTGCAGCGTCAGCATAGCAGGTACCGACGTCATCAGCCGCCCGTGGGTGGAGTCACACTGCATGGTGAACCACTGGCCCCACAGGACGTTTTTCTCGACTATTCTATTCGTCTCTGTGGCTTCTGGAAAATAATGTAACATTCTGTATTTCTATCTGTTATGGGCTTTTTGTAACAACTGTATTTCGATCAGTTATGGGATTAGTGTAACAAATGTATTTCTATCTGTAAAGGGGTCCATTGTAACAAATGTATTTCTATCTGTAATGGGGCTTACGGTAACAAATGTATTTCTATCTGCAAAGGTGGCTTAATGTAAAAAATGTATTTCTATCTGTAAATGAGCCCATTGTAACAAGTGTATTTCTAAATTAAATGGGGCTCATTGTAACTGTATTTCTATCTGTAATGGGGCTATTGTAACTGTATTTCTATCTGTAATGGGGCTATTGTAACTGTATTTCTATCTGTAATGGGGCTATTGTAACTGTATTTCTATCTGTAATGGGGCTATTGTAACTGTATTTCTATCTGTAATGGGGCTATTGTAACTGTATTTCTATCTGTAATGGGGCTATTGTAACTGTATTTCTATCTGTAATGGGGCTATTGTAACTGTATTTCTATCTGTAATGGGGCTATTGTAACTGTATTTCTATCTGTAACAACACATAGATTTACCTTGGACCATTACAATACTTTTGAAAGTTTTGTAGAAGTAAGTCAATCCAAGCTTATACTGCACGGAGCAAGCATAGACTCCGGAGTCATTCTTCCGGGTCGTGACCTTAATGGCGGTCAAGGACGGCATCTCGAGCTCCGGGTCCAGAGCTGTGCTGGTGCTCTCGTACACCACCCAGTCTCTGATGAGGAACGGGGGCTGAAACACATCAAGCCATAACATATGTAGACATATGTGGAAGGGGGCTGAAACACATCAAGCCCTAACATATGTAGACATATGTGGACGGGGGCTGAAACACATCAAGCCCTAACATATGTAGACATATGTGGACGGGGGCTGAAACACATCAAGCCCTAACATATGTAGACATATGTGGACGGGGGCTGAAACACATCAAGCCCTAACATATGTAGACATATGTGGACGGGGGCTGAAACACATCAAGCCCTAACATATGTAGGCATATATGGACGGGGGCTGAAACACATCAAGCCCTAACATTAACATATGTAGACATATGTGGAAGGGGGCTGAAACACATCAAGCCCTAACATTAACATATGTAGACATATGTGGAAGGGGGCTGAAACACATCAAGCCCTAACATATGTAGACATATGTGGAAGGGGGCTGAAACACATCAAGCCCTAACATATGTAGACATATGTGGACGGGGGCTGAAACACATCAAGCCCTAACATATGTAGACATATGTGGACGGGGGCTGAAACACATCAAGCCCTAACATATGTAGACATATGTGGACGGGGGCTGAAACACATATAGCCCTAACATATGTAGACATATGTGGACGGGGGCTGAAACACATCAAGCCCTAACATATGTAGACATATGTGGACGGGGGCTGAAACACATCAAGCCCTAACATATGTAGACATATGTGGACGGGGGCTGAAACACATCAAGCCCTAACATATGTAGATATATGTGGACGGGGGCTGAAACACATCAAGCCCTAACATATGTAGACATATGTGGACGGGAGCTGAAACACATCAAGCCCTAACATATGTAGATATATGTGGACGGGGGCTGAAACACACCAAGCCCTAACATATGTAGACATATGTGGACGGGAGCTAAAACAAATCAAGCCCTAACATATGTAGATATATGTGAACGGGGGCTGAAACACATCAAGCCCTAACATATGTAGATATATGTGGACGAGGGATGAAACACATCGAGCCCTAATATATGTAGACATATGTGGACGGGGGCTGAAACACATCAAGCCCTAACATATGTAGATATATGTGGACGAGGGATGAAACACATCGAGCCCTAATATATGTAGACATATGTGGACGGGGGCTGAAACACATCAAGTCCTAACATATATGGACGGTGGCTGAAACACATCAAGCCCTAGCATATGTAGACATATGTGGACGGGGGCTGAAACCAGAGGCGTAGCGATGGGGGGGGCAGGGGGTACATATGTCCCCGGGCGCCGACCTTAGGGGGCGCCAAAATGGGTTGTAATAACAACAAAAAATGTCATTTTAGCTGCATTTTTGCATTATAAATAGTTTGAGGGGGGTGCAAATCAAAAGTTTGAGGGGGGGGGGGTGCAAATCGAAAGTTTGAGGGGGGTGCAAATTGAAAATTTGCTCCCGAGGTGGCGCCAAATTGAAAGTTTGTCCACGGGCACAGGGAAGGGTCGCTACGCCTCTGGCTGAAACACATCAAGCCCTAACATATGTGGAAGGGGGCTAAAACAAATCAAGCCCTAACATATGTAGATATGTGTGGACGGGGGCTGAAACACACCAAGCCCTAACATATGTAGATATATGTGGACGGGGGCTGAAACACACCAAGCCCTAACATATGTAGACATATGTGGACGGGGGCTGAAACACATCAAGCCCTAACATACGTAGACATATGTGGAAGGGGGCTGAAACACATAAAGCCCTAGCATTTGTGGACGGGAGCTAAAACAAATCAAGCCCTAACATATGTAGATATATGTGGACGGGGGCTGAAACACACCAAGCCCTAACATATGTAGACATATGTGGACGGGGGCTGAAACACATCAAGCCCTAACATATGTAGACATATGTGGAAGGGGGCTGAATCACATCAAGCCCTAGCATATGTGGACGGGAGCTAAAACAAATCAAGCCCTAACATATGTAGATATATGTGAACGGGGGCTGAAACACACCAAGCCCTAACATATGTAGACATATGTGGAAGGGGGCTGAAACACATCAAGCCCTAGCATATGAGGACGGGAGCTAAAACAAATCAAGCCCTAACATATGTAGATATATGTGGACGGGGGCTGAAACACACCAAGCCCTAACATATGTAGACATATGTGGACGGGGGCTGAAACACATCAAGCCCTAACATATGTAGACATATGTGGAAGGGGGCAGAAACACATCAAGCCCTAGCATATGTGGACGGGAGCTAAAACAAATCAAGCCCTAACATATGTAGACATATGTGGACGGGAGCTAAAACAAATCAAGCCCTAACATATGCAGATATATGTGGACGGGGGCTGAAACACACCAAGCCCTAACATATGTAGACATATGTGGACGGGGGCTGAAACACATCAAGCCCTAACATATGTAGACATATGTGGACGGGGGCTGAAACACATCAAGCCCTAACATATGTAGACATAATGTGGACGGGGGCTGAAACACATCAAGCCCTAACATATGTAGATATATGTGGACGGGGGCTGAAACACATCAAGCCCTAACATATGTAGACATAATGTGGACGGGGGCTGAAACATATCAAGCCCTAACATATATGGACGGGGGCTGAAACACATCGAGCCCTAACATATGTAGACATATGTGGACGGGGGCTGAAACACATCAAGCCCTAACATATGTAGACATATGTGGACGGGGGCTGAAACACATCAAGCCCTAACATATGTAGATATATGTGGACGGGGGCTGAAACACATCAAGCCCTAACATATGTAGACATAATGTGGACGGGGGCTGAAACACATCAAGCCCTAACATATGTAGATATATGTGGACGGGGGCTGAAACACATCAAGCCCTAACATATGTAGACATAATGTGGACGGGGGCTGAAACATATCAAGCCCTAACATATATGGACGGGGGCTGAAACACATCGAGCCCTAACATATGTAGACATATGTGGACGGGGGCTGAAACACATCAAGCCCTAACATATGTAGACATATGTGGACGGGGGCTGAAACACATCAAGCCCTAACATATGTAGATATATGTGGACGGGGGCTGAAACACATCAAGCCCTAACATATGTAGACATATGTGGACGGGGGCTGAAACACATCAAGCCCTAACATATGTAGACATATGTGGACGGGGGCTGAAACACATCAAGCCCTAACATATGTAGACATATGTGGACGGGGGCTGAAACACATCAAGCCCTAACATATGTAGACATATGTGGACGGGGGCTGAAACACATCAAGCCCTAACATATGTAGATATATGTGGACGGGGGCTGAAACACATCAAGCCCTAACATATGTAGACATATGTGGACGGGGGCTGAAACACATCAAGCCCTAACATATGTAGACATATGTGGACGGGGGCTGAAACACATCAAGCCCTAACATATGTAGACATATGTGGACGGGGGCTGAAACACATCAAGCCCTAACATATGTAGACATATGTGGAGGGGGGCTGAAACACATCAAGCCCTAACATATGTAGATATATGTGGACGGGGGCTGAAACACATCAAGCCCTAACATATGTAGATATATGTGGACGGGGGCTGAAACACATCAAGCCCTAACATATGTAGATATATGTGGACGGGGGCTGAAACACATCAAGCCCTAACATATATAGACATATGTGGACGGGGGCTGAAACACATCAAGCCCTAACATATGTAGACATATGTGGACGGGGGCTGAAACACATCAAGCCCTAACATATGTAGATATATGTGGACGGGGGCTGAAACACATCAAGCCCTAACATATATAGACATATGTGGACGGGGGCTGAAACACATCAAGCCCTAACATATGTAGACATATGTGGACGGGGGCTGAAACACATCAAGCCCTAACATATGTGGACGGGGGCTGAAACACATCAAGCCCTAACATATATAGACATATGTGGACGGGGGCTGAAACACATCAAGCCCTAACATATGTAGACATATGTGGACGGGGGCTGAAACACATCAAGCCCTAACATATATAGACATATGTGGACGGGGGCTGAAACACATCAAGCCCTAACATATGTAGACATATGTGGACGGGGGCTGAAACACATCAAGCCCTAACATATGTAGACATATGTGGACGGGGGCTGAAACACATCAAGCCCTAACATATGTAGACATATGTGGACGGGGGCTGAAACACATCAAGCCCTAACATATGTAGACATATGTGGACGGGGGCTGAAACACATCAAGCCCTAACATATGTAGACATATGTGGACGGGGGCTGAAACACATCAAGCCCTAACATATGTAGATATATGTGGACGGGGGCTGAAACACATCGAGCCCTAACATATGTAGACATATGTGGACGGGGGCTGAAACACATCAAGCCCTAACATATGTAGATATATGTGGACGGGGGCTGAAACACATCAAGCCCTAACATATGTAGACATATGTGGAAGGGGGCTGAAACACATCAAGCCCTAACATATGTAGACATATATGGACGGGGGCTGAAACACATCAAGCCCTTACATATGTAGACATATATGGACGGGGGCTGAAACACATCAAGCCCTAACATATGTGGACGGGGGCTGAAACACATCAAGCCCTAACATATGTGGACGGGGGCTGAAACACATCAAGCCCTAACATATGTAGACATATGTGGAGGGGGCTGAAACACATTAAGCCCTAACATATGTAGACATATGTGGACGGGGGCTGAAACACATCAAGCCCTAACATATGTAGACATATGGGGAGGGGGCTGAAACACATCAAGCCCTAACATATGTAGACATATGTGGACGAAGGCTGAAACACATCAAGCCCTAACATATGTGGACGAAGGCTGAAACACATCAAGCCCTAACATATGTAGACATATGTGGACGGGGGCTGAAACACATCAAGCCCTAACATATGTAGACATATGTGGACGGGGGCTGAAACACATTAAGCCCTAACATATGTAGACATATGTGGACGGGGGCTGAAACACATCAAGCCCTAACATATGTAGATATGGGGAGGGGGCTGAAACACATCAAGCCCTAACATATGTGGACATGGAATGACCAACTTCTGGTGATAACACTGACGTCAGGAGTTTCTTGGACTATATATATATATATATATATATATATATATATATATATATATATATATATATGGTGCGCGGACCTTTGACCACAGGTGCTTTGACCATAGGGGGTTTGACCATAGGGGGTTTGACCACAGCGGAGCTTTGACCATAGGGGCTTTGACCATAGGGGGTTTGACCACAGCGGGCCTTTGACCATAGCGGTGCTTTGACCATAGGGGGTTTGATCATAGGGGGTTTGACCATAGGGGGTTTGACCACAGGTGTTTTCTCAGCAGAGGGTCTTTGATCACAGGTGGTCTATCAACTGGTGTTTGATCACAGGCGCTGTGTCCGGCTTTGATCATAGGTGTTTTGCCCACATAGGGTCTTTGATCTCAGGTGTTTTGTCCAACTTACCACCTAAAGCATCTCACAACTTACCAACTACAACATCCAACTTACTACCTACAACATCCAACTTACTACCTACAACATCCAACTTACCACCTACAACATCCAACTTACCACCTACAACATCCAACTTACTGCCTACAACATCCAACTTACCAACTACAACATCCAACTTACTACCTACAACATCCAACTTACCACCTATAGCATCTCACAACTTACCAACTACAACATCCAACTTACTACCTACAACATCCAACTTACCAACTACAACATCCAACTTACTACCTACAACATCCAACTTACCAACTACAACATGCAACTTACCAACTACAACATCCAACTTACTACCTACAACATCCAACTTACCAACTACAACATCCAACTTACCACCTACAACATCCAACTTACCTCCTACAACATCCAACTTACTACCTACAACATCCAACTTACCAACTACATCCAACTTACCCGTACAACATCCAACTTACCATCTACAACATCCAACTTACCTCCTACAACATCCAACTTACTACCTACAACATCCAACTTACCAACTACAACAAGCAACTTACCAACTACAACATCCAACTTACTACCTACAACATCCAACTTACCAACTACAACATCCAACTTACCTCCTACAACATCCAACTTACTACCTACAACATCCAACTTACCTCCTACAACATCCAACTTACCTCCTACAACATCCAACTTACTACCTACAACATCCAACTTACCAACTACAACATCCAACTTACCAACTACAACATCCAACTTACCTCCTACAACATCCAACTTACCAACTACAACATCCAACTTACCAACTACAACATCCAACTTACTACCTACAACATCCAACTTACTACCTACAACATCCAACTTACTACCTACAACATCCAACTTACCACCTACAACATGCAACTTACCACCTACAACATGCAACTTACCACCTACAACATCCAACTTACCACCTACAACATGCAACTTACCACCTACAACATGCAACTTACCACCTACAACATCCAACTTACCACCTATAGCATCTCACAACTTACCAACTACAACATGCAACTTACCACTGTTAACTTCTTGCCTGGGTAGTAAACAGCTATGTAATCTGTGACGTTGTTTGACCTTGAGATCTCCAGTTTGGTGACGTTCTTGACCTTAGGGTCAAGGGCGACTATCGTCGAGTCACAGGTGACGAGGAACATGTCCCCCTCAATGGGGGAGGGCGGGGAGATGAAGGCTGTCTTGGCTTTGGTACTTGCTGAGGGTAAAAGATCAGTGCTAGTAGGCCTGGCTCGGGGCTCTAGAGGCGGATCATCTTTAGGGGCACGGAATATTCTACTGGCACCCCGGCGATTATCATTAGCTGCCTGGGATTGTGTTGCTTATTGTAGCTAGAGTAAAATTACCCACTAAAGTTGGGTCTAGCGTATACATATAAGAACCAACTTAACTTGATTAAAATTAAAGTAACCTCTATTTTTTTCTGCTACTTCGCTGAATGATCATACACTAAGTTACGTTCACTTAAGGCCAGTAAATAACCGCACGTAGAGTCACGCGATATTACATGAAATAACATACACGACTCCTAACATATGCAATCAATTACCCGTACCAATTCAATAGATGCTCATACACCATGATTAGTAACACGTTATCCTTTAGTATAGGTATGCAGGTATGAAGACGACATATTTCACCACGGAAAAATAAAATTAATGTTCCTTACCTGTTGAGTCCCCGCCCCAGGTGGGGTATAATGCTGAGAGTGACACTAAAATCCGGACGAAGTTCCAGACTGTCATCGTTGTTTACTCGTCTACAGCATCGTCGTCATTGTCGTCAATCTGTTGTAGTCCTGACCACCGTCAGTATAAACACATTCCAGTTGTCTTCAAACTTGACACTACCACATTGATCTACCTAACAAACACAAGTCGCGTTATCTTCTAACTTGACACTACCACATTGATCTACCTAACAAACACAAGTCGCGTTATCTTCTAACTTGACACTACCACATTGATCTACCTAACAAACACAAGTCGCGTTATCTTCTAACTTGACACTAACACATAGACCTAACAAACACAAGTGCAGTTGTCTTCAAGCTCAACACTACCACATAGACCTAACAAACACAAGTGCAGTTGTCTTCAAACTTAACACTAACACATACCTAACTAACAAAAAACATTCAGCTTTTAACTAAAAACAAAATCGTATGTCAATTTGTCTAGATAAGCAAACGTTATTTTGGACCATTTTGTTTTCATAATATTGTGCAATGTTATCACTTGGTTTCCTGTCTTTTACGAACCGAACAGCACGGTGCGTAGCAGGGTGCGTCTTTGAATTTCAAAATGAAGGGTGTAGAAATCTAATGATGTTTTAAGAAGTGTTGCCGCTACCAGCAGTCAAAGCTGGAGAAAGTTAAATACAAGTTACTGAGCTTACACTTCTGAAGATGTTACATCGGGAGGCATTGCAAAGTCGTTATAGATTGTAACATTTCACTTAGAAAAGGACAAATTCTGACCCACATTCAAACACTTGCTGACCGTGAAACCAACACCTGCCCCAGAAAAAAAAAACACGGATTTACCCCATGACTATTTCTTGATCCCTCTACATTACTAGGCCATGTAATCTTTGTTCGAACTATGAGGTACTTGCTCCTTGACTCCAACTATCTCTACATTACTAGCCCGTGTAATCTTTGTTCGAACAATGAGGTACTTGCTCCTTGACTCCAACTATCTCTACATTACTAGCCCGTGTAATCTTTGTTCGAACTATGAGGTACTTGCTCCTTGACTCCAACTATCTCTACATTACTAGGCCATGTAATCTTTGTTCGAACTATGAGGTACTTGCTCCAATAATCTGTTATATAATCCGTGGTTCTCAGTGTGAAGCAACAGCCTTCTTGGCCCAAGTGTACGTGCCAGCGACTAGACCACAGCCACACCCTGCTGTGTTAAATACAAACGTGTTGAGTCGGAGTGGTCGGATGGGTGATCGCATGGTTGATGGCCCAAAAGTTCCGAGTTCGAACCCTCTGGCAGATAAGGCTTCTCAGCTGGGGCCAGCAACCCATGTAGCAGAGAAAATTCTGAAGTGAAACAAGGGTTGAGCCCCTTTGGCATCTCCTGCGACACCGCTAATTCGAAGTTGTCCAGGTAACGCCCTGACGCTTGGGCCCATCCACTGTGTACAGAGCCAAAGTTCCAAAACATTGTTTTGAAAATAGTCATCGTTTTTCACCAAATTTACAATGTTTATCTAGGGAATTCGGACCGGTCCGTTCTAAAGCCCTTCCGGAATTTTTCCGAAGATAACGCCTACCGTATAGTGACCCCCGCGGGTATTTCTACCATCTCAGGAGTTAGGATTGGGTTTGTACGTCCAGATTTTTGTATTTATTTTTTTTAACAAAAAACGGTACTATGTTTATATAAGGAAATATGGCCTCTGGTCAGTTAAAAATTGTTCCAGAATTTTCCCGAGGGTAGCACGTTTTTTTCCTGACCCCCAGGGTCCGATGTACATCTCCAAGAGTTTTCAAAGGGTTCCTACGTGGGACATTTTTTTCGATATAAATGGAGAATTTCACTCGCGGTCACTTTATAGCCCTCGCCGCCCGAGCAGATGCTGACCGATCGTTTATCTATAAGGCCGATTCATTTACTCAGCTCTATGCAAAAAATGAGCCAGCTGTACAAAGCCAAAGTTCCATAAAATTGTTTTGAAAATAGTAATCTTTTTTTTTTAAAAATAACAATGTTTCTATAAGGAAAATTCGGACCGGTCACTTCTAACGGTCTTCCGGAATTTTCCGGAACATATCATAATTTGTTTTTTTGCCACCCGTGAGGGTCGGTCTACGACCTCAGGAGTTATGAAGATTTTCCTACGTGGGAATTTTGTTTCGATATATAGCTCATATAAGGCGCTGGTCAGTCGAGGGTCAGTTTTGACCCCCTCATCGTGGACTTTTCGGCCAACCGGCCCCCGTGTTCTGTCACCCGAAGGCAGGATCCTGCTAAATTTGAAGCGCCTGCGGCGCCCGGAAGTGCCCTATCAGGCACCCGACCACTTTGCTTTATTTATATAGATTCCTACGCCATCCATTTTTTAGCTTCACACAGACACCCTGTATTTTTTTAAATTGGGCATCAATCAATTCTGGACAAAAAATTCTGAAACTAAACAAATTTGATGAAACGAATTATCTGGAGTTTGCTTTACAGAATGCTTTTTTAATTATTTTAATCTGACGGCTATTTTTTTTTTAAATATTGTTGCCAAATTTAACACTGTAGACTACCAAGCCTAAAGAGTTCGCATGCATATAAATACGACTTCACTACTTAACTAATACAACATTACGTGGTAAATAGGCACCGAAGAAGAAGAAAACACGGCTAAAGAGAAAACATTTATTAACTAAGAAAGAATGTATGCTCCGATTAGCGAAAGTGCTCCCAGGAGCCCAGAGAGGGCAGCAACAGAGGCATCTGCCCCCACGTCATCGTAGGCAGCTTGTAGGTTCATGCCCGTGGTTTCGCCGATCTCTTCTTCCGGGTCAAAGGCTGAGCGGGTGAACTTGACCTGGGCTAGTACCGAATCTGGTGGAACTGGGGGAGGTGAAGAGTGGCGTAATGTGGGACGGTGTCGTGGAGGGTGGGGGGTGGGGGAGGTGTTGATTTATGTGGGATGGTGTCGTGGGGGGGAGGTGTAGCGTTATGTGGGATGGTGTCGTGGGGGGTGGGGTGGGGGAGGTGTAGCGTTATGTGGGATGGTGTCGTGGGGGGGGGGGGGGAGGTGTAGCGTTATGTGGAATGGTGTCGTGGGGGGTGGGGGAGGTGTAGCGTTATGTGGGATGTTGTCGTGGGGGGGGGGGAGGTGTAGCGTTATGTGGGATGGTGTCGTGGGGGGGGGGGAGGTGTAGCGTTATGTGGGATTGTGTCGTGGGGGGTGGAGGGTGGGGGAGGTGTTGCTTTATGTGGGATGTTGTCGTGGGGGGAGGTGTAGCAATATGTGGGATGGTGTCGTGGGGGTAGGGGGGGTGTAAAGTTATGTGGGATGGTGTCGTGAGGGGTGGAGGGTGGGGGAGGTGTTGCTTTATGTGGGATGGTGTCGTGGGGGAGGTGTAGCGTTATGTGGGATGGTGTCGTGGGGGGGGGAGGTGTAGCTTTATGTGGTATGGTGTCGTGGGGGTGGGGGGGTGTAAAGTTATGTGGGATGGTGTCGTGAGGGGTGGAGGGTGGGGGAGGTGTAGCGTTATGTGGGATGGTGTCGTGGGGGTGGGGGGGTGTAAAGTTATGTGGGATGGTGTCGTGGGGGTGGGGGGGGGGGTGTAAAGTTATGTGGGATGGTGTCGTGGGGGGTGGGGAGGTGTAGCGTTATGTGGGATGGTGTCGTGGGGGTGGGGGAGGTGTAGCGTTATGTGGGATGGTGTCGTGGGGGTGGGGGGGTGTAAAGTTATGTGGGATGGTGTCGTGGGGGGTGGGGAGGTGTAGCGTTATGTGGGATGGTGTCGTGGGGGTGGGGGAGGTGTAGCGTTATGTGGGATGGTGTCGGGGGGGGGAGGTGTAGCGTTATGTGGGATGGTGTCGTGGGGGGGAGGTGTAGCGTTATGTGGGATGGTGTCGTGGGGGGGGGTGGGGGAGGTGTAGCGTTAAGTGGTATGGTGTCGTGGGGGGGGTGGGGGAGGTATAGCGTTATGTGGGATGGTGTCGTGGGGGGGGGGGGGGTGGGGGAGGTGTAGCGTTATGTGGGATGGTGTCGTGGGGGGTGGGGGAGAGGTAGCGTTATGTGGGATGGTGTCGTAGGGGGTTGGGGAGGTGTAGCGTTATGTGGGATGGTGTCGTGGGGGTGGGTGGGGAGGTGTAGAGTGGCGTTTTGTGGGATGGTGGCGTGGGAGGTGGGGGAGGTGTAGCATTATGTGGGATGGTGTCGTGGGGGTGGGGGAGGTGTGACGTTATGTGGGATGGTGTCGTGGGGGTGGGTGGGGAGGTGTAGAGTGGCGTTTTGTGGGATGGTGGCGTGGGAGGTGGGGGAGGTGTAGCATTATGTGGGATGGTGTCGTGGGGGTGGGGGAGGTGTAGCGTATGTGGGATGGTGTCGTGGGGGTGGGGGAGGTGTAGCGTTATGTGGGATGGTGTCGTGGGGGTGGGTGGGGAGGTGTAGAGTGGCGTTTTGTGGGATGGTGGCGTGGGAGGTGGGGGAGGTGTAGCATTATGTGGGACGGTGTCGTGGGGGTGGGGGAGGTGTAGCGTTATGTGGGATGGTGTCTTGGGGGTGGGGGAGGTGTAGCGTTATGTTGGGTTGTGTCTAGAGGGGTGGGAGGGTTGGGGAGGTGTAGCGTTATGTGGGATGGTGTCATGGGGGTGGGGGAGGTGTAGCGTTATGTGGGATGGTGTCGTGGGGGTGGGTGGGGAGGTGTAGAGTGGCGTTATGCGGGATGGTGGCGTGGGAGGTGGGGGAGGTGTAGCATTATGTGGGATGGTGTCGTGGGGGTGGGGGAGGTGTAGCGTTATGAGGGATGGTGTCGTGGGGGAAGGGGGAGGTGTAGGGTAGCGTTATGTGGGATGGTGTCGTGGGGGGGTGGGGGAGGTGTAGAGTAGCGTTTTGTGGTATTAAGCCTAGGGGGATGGGAGGTGTAGATCCGCTTTATGTCGTACGGTGTTGGGGGGGGAGGGGGTAGAGAGGCGTCATGTTTACGGCGTCTGGGGGGGGGGTAGAGAGGCGTCATGTTTACTGCGTCTGTGGGGGGGGGGGGTAGAGAGGCGTCATGTTTACTGCGTCTGTGGGGGGGGGGGGGGTTAGAGAGGCGTCATGTTTACGGTGTCTGTGGGGGGGGGGTAGAGAGGCGTCATGTTTACGGCGTCTGTGGGGGGGGGGGGGTAGAGAGGCGTCATGTTTACGGTGTCTGTGGGGGGGGGGGGGGGGTAGAGAGGCGTCATGTTTACGGCGTCTGTGGGGGGGTAGAGAGGCGTCATGTTTACGGCGTCTGTGGGGGGGTAGAGAGGCGTCATGTTTACGGTGTCTGTGGGGGGGGGGGGGGTAGAGAGGCGTCATGTTTACGGCGTCTGTGGGGGGGTAGAGAGGCGTCATGTTTACGGCGTCTGTGGGGGGTAGAGAGGCGTCATGTTTACGGTGCCTGGGGGGGGGGTAGAGAGGCGTCATGTTTACGGTGCCTGGGAGGGACTGGGGATAGTATGGAGTATCGCTATGCGGTGCGGTGTCAAGGGGATGACAGACAGAACATGTATGATGACAGACGGACCGTGTAAGATGACAGACAGAACGTGTAAGATGGCAGACAACATGTAAGATGACAGACAGAACTTGTAACATGAGAGACAGACCGTGTAAGATGACAGACAGGACATGTAAGATGACAGACAGACCGTGTCAGATGACAGACAGGACATGTAAGATGACAGACGGACCGTGTAAGATGATAGACAGAACGTATAAGATGACAGACAACATGTAAGATGACAGACAGACCGTGTAAGATGACAGACAGAACGAGTAAGATGACAGACAACATGTAAGATGACAGACAGAACATGTAAGATGACAGACAGACAGTGTAAGATGACAGACAGAACGTATATGATGACAGACAACATGTAAGATGACAGACAGAACGTGTAAGATGACAGACAGACCGTGTAAGATGACAGACAGACCGTGTAAGATGACAGACAGAACGTGTAAGATAACAGACAGAACGTGTAAGATGACAGACAGACAGTGTAAGATGACAGACAATATGTAAGATGACAGACAGAGCGTTTAAGATGACAGACAGACCGTGTAAGATGACAGACAGAGCGTTTAAGATGACAGACAGACCGTGTCAGATGACAGACAACATGTAAGATGACAGACAGACCGTGTAACTTACTGACGACAGACAAGATGCCAGTCGACGAGGCGATCTGCCTGTGGTCCGCGCTGGATGACATGTAGCCCACCTCACAGCGGTAGCAGCCAGCGTCCTTCATCTCGCCGAACTTGACCCTGAGCCTGAGTTGGGGCAGGCCCGGGGGGGACGAGTCCTCCGCGTGCTCGAGCTTCATGGTGAACCCCGCCCTCTCGGCGTTGACCTCTGACATGTCCTTCAGCTGTGTCGTGTCAGATCAAGGTCAATTTTTTAATTGTGTCTAGGACAATACCCCCCTCCCGTCAATTACCCCACCCGGTCACCTCTTGTCTATTACCCCGTGTCAATGTCCCTGCTGCCCCTTCCCCAATATTAACTATCGCCCCGTCTCCTAATCGAGAATATTCCAAACGTCACCACAGTAAGAACCCTGACATTCTGTAGAATGCCAGAAATATTCCCACGGAGTACAAACTGTGATTTACTTTGCCGAAACTACTTTTCGTACTTCACCTAGGCATTCTATATAGTTAGACAGGGGAACCAAATAAGCAATTTTATAAGAAATATTCCTACAACCATCTCTAACCAAACTCTAACCTTAAACCTATCACATGGTTAGGTTAATGGACTGGTTAGGGTTGGACTGTCAAGCCGGTCTATCTGAGAAAATCACGGTGGGCTCCCTGGTAAAATAAAATCAATGTGCCCCCCCCCCCCCCCCCACCAGATTAAAAAAATTCCGATGGGCCCCCCAAGGACACTGTTGTACTAGGCAAATTGAGTTTAAAAACTAATTTGTCGCGTAAATATATGTCCAGCTGAGGATGATTATCAGGCATTAATGGGGAGGGGGGGGGGGAATGCACAAAGAAAATTTTTAATCTGGGATTGGTGGCCCCTTTTTAGTCCTGCTCCATGCTCCAGTATTTCGAATAGTTGTTTCAAGATTTAATTATCTATGCCAGCTGTTTCCAAACTGTATAAATTTTCTTTACAGAGCAGAGCAGAAATAGTATTTTTTAATCTATGAGTAAGCTGTATGAAAACAAAAGTGCCGTTTTTCAAGTGTTTACACATACACAGAAATGGGCGCGGTGTTTACAAATAGAGAACAGAGTCACTAAATGATGCTATATTTGAGCGTTGTGTACTTACAATGATGCTAGGTTCGAGCATGGTGTACTTACAATTATGGTAGAGTTTATGTTCTCACAATGATGCAAAAAAATATGCATTGTGTACTCACAATGATGATAGAATCGGGCAAGCTCTACTCACAGTGATTCGAGAATCGAGCAAACTACTCACAATGATTCCAGAATCGGGCAAACTACTCACAGTGATTCCAAAATCGGGCAAACTCTACTCACAATGATTCCAGAATCGGGCAAGGTGTACTCACAATGATGCTAGAATCGGGAAAACTACTCACAATGATTCCAGAATTGGGCAATATCTACTCACAGTGATTCGAGAATCGGGCAAACTCTACTCACAGTGAATCCAGAATTGGGCAAGACCTACTCACAGTGATTCGAGAATCGGGCAAACTCTACTCACAGTGAATCCAGAATTGGGCAAGACCTACTCACAGTGATTCGAGAATCGGGCAAACTCTACTCACAGTGAATCCAGAATTGGGCAAGACCTACTCACAGTGATTCGAGAATCGGGCAAACTCTACTCACAGTGAATCCAGAATTGGGCAAGACCTACTCACAGTGATTCGAGAATCGGGCAAACTCTACTCACAGTGAATCCAGAATTGGGCAAGACCTACTCACAGTGATTCGAGAATCGGGCAAACTCTACTCACAATGATTCCAGCATTGGGCAAGACCTACTCACAGTGATTCGAGAATCGAGCAAACTACTCACAATGATTCCAGCATTGGGCAAGACCTACTCACAGTGATTCGAGAATCGGATAGGGTGTACTCCCCGAGCAGCCGACCGTGTCTCTTACAGTCCGGGATGTGCAGGAGCTTGAGGTCCAACACTTTGAGAACCGTCTGATTGAATTTGACGCGCCCCTGGTCACACGAGACACTGAAGAACTCGTCGATCACGATTATGCTATGGGACACAACTGGAAGTTGTGGGCTTTCTGTGGATATGGATTACGGATATAGTGAGTATCTGCAGGATCACTCTCTCTCTCTCTGTGGATTTGGACTGAGGACAATGTGAGATTCCACAGGAGCACACTCTCTTTGAATATGGATTATGGACATTGTGAGAATGTGGATATGGATTATGGACATTGTGAGAATGTGGATATGGATTATGGACATTGTGAGAACGTGAATATAGATTATAAACATATTGAGAATGTGGATATGGATTATGGACATTGTGAGAATGTGGATATGGATTATGGACATTGTGAGAATGTGGATATGGATTATGGACATTGTGAGAATGTGGATATGGATTATGGACATTGTGAGAATGTGGATATGGATTATGGACATTGTGAGAATGTGGATATAGATTAAGGACATTGTGAGAATGTGGATATGGATTATGCACATTGTGAGAATGTGGATATGTATTATGGACATTGTGAGAATGTGGATACGGATTATGGCCATTGTGAGAATGTGGATATGGATTACGGACATTGTGAGAATGTGGATATGGATTATGGACATTGTGAGAATGTGGATATGGATTATGGACATTGTGAGAATGTGGATATGGATTATGGACATTGTGAGAATGTGGATATGGATTATGGACATTGTGAGAATGTGGATATGGATTATGGACATTGTGAGAATGTGGATATAGATTACGGACATTGTGAGAATGTGGATATTGATTATGGACATTGTGAGAATGTGGATATGGATTATGGACATTGTGAGAATGTGGATATGGATCATGGACATTGTGAGAATGTGGATATAGATTAAGGACATTGTGAGAATGTGGATATGGATTATGGACGTTGTGAGAATGTGAATGTGGATTATGGACATTGTGAGAATGTGGATATGGTTTATGGACATTGTGAGAATGTGGATATGGATTATGGACATTGTGAGAATGTGGATATGGATTATGGACATTGTGAGAATGTGGATATGGATTATGGACATTGTGAGAATGTGGATATGGATTATGGACATTGTGAGAATGTGGATATGGATTATGGACATTGTGAGAATGTGGATATAGATTACTGACATTGTGAGAATGTGGATATGGATTATGGACATTGTGAGAATGTGGATATGGATTATGGACATTGTGAGAATGTGGATATGGATTATGGACATTGTGAGAATGTGGATATGGATTATGGACATTGTGAGAATGTGGATATGGATTATGGACATTGTGAGAATGTGGATATGGATTATGGACATTGTGAGAATGTGGATATAGATTAAGGACATTGTGAGAATGTGGATATGGATTATGGGTATTGTGAGAATGTGGATATGTATAATGGACATTGTGAGAATGTGGATATTGATTATGGACATTATGAGAATGTGGATATGTATTATGGACATTATGAGAATGTGGATATAGATTACGGACATTGTGAGAATGTGGATATTGATTATGGACATTGTGAGAATGTGGATATGGATTATGGACATTGTGAGAATGTGGATATGGATCATGGACATTGTGAGAATGTGGATATAGATTAAGGACATTGTGAGAATGTGGATATGGATTATGGACGTTGTGAGAATGTGAATGTGGATTATGGACATTGTGAGAATGTGGATATGGTTTATGGACATTGTGAGAATGTGGATATGGATTATGGACATTGTGAGAATGTGGATATGGATTATGGACATTGTGAGAATGTGGATATGGATTATGGACATTGTGAGAATGTGGATATGGATTATGGACATTGTGAGAATGTGGATATGGATTATGGACATTGTGAGAATGTGGATATAGATTACTGACATTGTGAGAATGTGGATATGGATTATGGACATTGTGAGAATGTGGATATGGATTATGGACATTGTGAGAATGTGGATATGGATTATGGACATTGTGAGAATGTGGATATGGATTATGGACATTGTGAGAATGTGGATATGGATTATGGACATTGTGAGAATGTGGATATGGATTATGGACATTGTGAGAATGTGGATATAGATTAAGGACATTGTGAGAATGTGGATATGGATTATGGGTATTGTGAGAATGTGGATATGTATAATGGACATTGTGAGAATGTGGATATTGATTATGGACATTATGAGAATGTGGATATGTATTATGGACATTATGAGAATGTGGATATGGATTACAGATATTGTGAGAATGTGGATATGGATTATGGACATTGTGAGAATGTGGATATGGATTATGGACATTGTGAGAATGTGGATATGGATTATGGACATTGTGAGAATGTGGATATGGATTATGGACATTGTGAGAATGTGGATATGGATTATGGACATTGTGAGAATGTGGATATGGATTATGGACATTGTGAGAATGTGGATATAGATTACGGACATTGTGAGAATGTGGATATTGATTATGGACATTGTGAGAATGTGGATATGGATTATGGACATTGTGAGAATGTGGATATGGATTATGGACATTGTGAGAATGTGGATATGGATTATGGACATTGTGAGAATGTGGATATAGATTAAGGACATTGTGAGAATGTAGATATGGATTATGGACATTGAGAGAATGTGAATATGGATTATGGACATTGTGAGAATGTGGATATGGTTTATGGACATTGTGAGAATGTGGATATGTATTATGGACATTGTGAGAATGTGGATAAGTATTATGGACATTGTGAGAATGTGGATATGGATTATGGACATTGTGAGAATGTGGATATGGATTATGGACATTGTGAGAATGTGGATATGGATTATGGTCATTGTGAGAATGTGGATATAGATTAAGGACATTGTGAGAATGTGGATATGGATTATGGACATTGTGAGAATGTGGATATGGATTATGGACATTGTGAGAATGTGGATATGGATTATGGACATTGTGAGAATGTGGATATGGATTATGGACATTGTGAGAATGTGGATATGGATTATGGACATTGTGAGAATGTGGATATGTATAATGGACATTGTGAGAATGTGGATTTTGATTATGGACATTATGAGAATGTGGATATGTATTATGGACATTATGAGAATGTGGATATGGATTACAGATATTGTGAGAATGTGGATATGGATTATGGACATTGTGAGAATGTGGATATGGATTATGGACATTGTGAGAATGTGGATATGGATTATGGACATTGTGAGAATGTGGATATGGATTATGGACATTGTGAGAATGTGGATATGGATTATGGACATTGTGAGAATGTGGATATGGATTATGGACATTGTGAGAATGTGGATATGGATTATGGACATTGTGAGAATGTGGATATGTATAATGGACATTGTGAGAATGTGGATTTTGATTATGGACATTATGAGAATGTGGATATGTATTATGGACATTATGAGAATGTGGATATGGATTACAGATATTGTGAGAATGTGGATATGGATTATGGACATTGTGAGAATGTGGATATGGATTATGGACATTGTGAGAATGTGGATATGGATTATGGACATTGTGAGAATGTGGATATGGATTATGGACATTGTGAGAATGTGGATGTCGAAAAGTGTGCGAGCTGACCTAAGACACGGAGCCAGCTGTCTTGGACCTGCTTGTGCATCTTGCCATCCTTGTTGAAGATGACGTTGCACGTGTAGTCGCCAGAGTCCTTGACCTCGGCATGTCTTTTCGCGAGGCGAAGCACCATCCGGTCGTAGAAGGTGGGCAGCATCGCCCACTCAGACGAGGTCTGGGTATGCTAAACAACAGAAAACACGTTTTTCAAGAGCTATAAAATATTCGAGAGGTTGAAACAATTTTGTAGAATTTTAGACGCGATAGACAGACATCAAGCAGAGATAGAAACAACAAGTACATTTTAATTTTAAAACAGGGAAAATAGCTGAAACTGCGACAGGCTGAATATTAAGAGCTACAGGCAGAAAACTGTTGGGATGAACGAAACAAGACGGGCTGAATAAAAACATCGATGGGCAGCAACGGGCATAATAGAAACTACGACGGGCAGATAATAACGTGGGCGATAGGCACATTTCAACTTCAAGCAGCCACTGGCAGAAAACCGCGACGGGTAAAAATAGCGACGGGCATAATTAAAACAGCGACGGGCATAATTAAAATAACGACGGGCAGAATTGAAACAGCGACTAGCAAAAAACAATCGACGACGAACTAAGATTAATCAGCCATTGAAATGACAAAGGAAATAATAATTACGAGCTAAGTTGGACAAAATGTTCAGCAGTAATGAAAAGAATGTACAAAATTTACTTCATTAAACCGGTTTTTATAATTCATGTTTAAAGCTATTCAGAAAGGCAAACATGTCTTAATATATCAAACAAGGAGTGTATTTTAAAGAAAAACTGCCAATAAAATAAAGTTTAGAAGAAAGTGTCAGTAAAGAAAGTTTACGAAGTGTGGAAATGTCAGTCTTAAAACGTAAGCATCGTGTGACAATGTCAAAATATATGCCAACTGTCTGACAATGTCAAAATATATGCCAACTGTCTGACAATGTCAAAATATACGACAACTGTCTGACAATGTCAAAATATATGCCAACTGTCTGACAATGTCAAAATATATGCCAACTCTCTGACAATGTCAAAATATATGCCAACTGTCTGACAATGACAAAATATATTCCAACTCTCTGACAATGACAAAATATATGCCAACTGTCTGACAATGTCAAAATATATGCCAACTCTCTGACAATGTCAAAATATATGCCAACTGTCTGACAATGACAAAATATATTCCAACTGTCTGACAATGACAAAATATATTCCAACTGTCTGACAATGACAAAATATATTCCAACTGTCTGACAATGTCAAAATATATGCCAACTGTCTGACAATGTCAAAATATATGCCAACTGTCTGACATTGTCAAAATATATGCCAACTGTATGACAATGTCAAAATATATGCAAACTGTATGACAATGTCAAAATATATGCCAACTGTCTGACAATGTCAAAATATATGCCAACTGTCTGACAATGTCAAAATATATGCCAACTGTCTGACATTGTCAAAATATATGCCAACTGTCTGACATTGTCAAAATATATGCAAACTGTATGACAATGTCAAAATATATGCCAACTGTCTGACATTGTCAAAATATATGCCAACTGTATGACAATGTCAAAATATATGCCAACTGTATGACAATGTCATTCTCACACTACAACTTGTCAGCTAGGGGATGATGGGGATAGATGATAAGTGGCGCGTGATTCTAGCTGAAGTAGCGGTGTCACAAGCGAGTTCACTTGTCAAATGGCAGTGTCAGGTGACGTGTCAGATGATGGCGTCAGATGAATGTCAAATGGCAGTGCCCGATTCGCGGTGTTGAAAGAAAATCTCACCAAGAACGAAAATCTCGTCAGGGAAAGAAAATCTTACCAGGAAAAAAAAATCTCACAGAGAAAATCTCACCAAGAAAGAAAATCTCACCAGGAAAGAAAATCTTACCAGGAAAGAAAATCTCACCAGGAAAGAAAATCTCACCAGGAAAGAAAATCTCGCCAGAAAAGAAAATCTCACCAGGAAAGAAAATCTCACCAGGAAAGAAAATCTTACCAGGAAAGAAAATCTCACCAAGAAAGAAAATCTCACCAGGAAAGAAAATATCACCAGAAAAAAAAATCTCACCAGGAAAGAAAATCTCATCAGGAAAGAAAATCTCATCAGGAAAGAAAATCTCACCAGGAAAGAAAATCTTATCAGGTAAGAAAATCATACCAGGACAGAAAATCTCATCAGGAAAGAAAATCTCACCAGGACAGAAAATCTCACAAAAAAAATCTCACCAGGAAAGAAAATCTCACAAGAAAAAAAATCTCACCAGGAAAGAAAATCTCACCAGGAAAGAAAATCTCACCAGGAAAGAAAATCTCACCAGGAAAGAAAATCTCACCAGGACAGAAAATCTCACAAAGAAAATCTCTCCAAGAAAGAAAATCTCATCAGGAAAGAAAATCTCACCAGGAAAGAAAATCTCACCAGGAAAGAAAATCTCACCAGGAAAGAAAATCTCACTACGAAAGAAAATCTCACTTGGAAAGAAAATCTCACCAGGAATAAGCGATGCTCCTCCATGCCATTGGGGCTGAGTGACGCCATGGGGACGTACTGGGTGTCGCCTGCCGCCTTCCTGGCAATGTACAGCATGACGATGTGGTTCTTTGGGAAGAGGATCGCCTCGCTCTCTGGCTCGCAGTTTACCACGAAGCTCTCCCGCTCCTTGACGATCCGAGGCTGTACGACGCTGTGTGCCTGGGTCGTCCTGGGCTGGGGGGTGGTCACTGCCCTCACCGTGGACACTGGGGAATCATGGCGTGTGTTACGTCCCTTACATGTCCCCTGCTTGTGTGTGTGTGTGTTGTGTGCTGGAACGACAGGTACCCTCCCTTTGGTGTATAGTTGTATCCCTTGGTTAAGTGTGTTTACATGGAGCGAGAGGTGTTCACGTGAGGTGTGTCAGGTGACGGGTGTCAAAGCGTGTGCCAGTGTGTGAATCAGTTAGTTGTAGTGTGGCTGTGGACGTGGAACGTGGAACGTGGTGTTGAGTATTGTATTTATGTTGTAGACCCCTTTTGATCCTTTTATTATTTTAGTACTGTATATATTATTAAATACGAGCCGATCCGCTGCGTATCATACGCCGCTATTTAGTTGTTTTTTTTTTCTACTTTTCAGTAATTTATAATTTGTGAATTCGACAGTACCAATGCTGCCATTGAAAATATTTGCTTAAAAACACTACCCCCCCCCCCCCCACGTGAAAGCAGCCTCCTCTTAGTTACCTCCTCTAAGTTTAAAATCGTTTCAAACTAAATTATCTGCCCCTTATAGCCGTCACCAAACCCGTCTCTATGATTGTAAAATGTAAACAGAGTGAACACCGCTCACCAGATCATGTGGGGGTGGGGTGGGGGTGGTAGTGATAGTGATAGAGAGAACGAGAGGGGACTGCGAGGAGGCGCTTGCAGCTTGTTTTCTAACTGATCCCAGAAGAGAATTATATATATAGATAGATCTTATTATTATTGTTATTATAGAGTGTTAGTGTTATTGTTGTATACGTCGTATTTGTCTGTTGTTATTTATATACCCCTAGACCGAAGAACCCAACAGCGTGTATTAGCGTGGGATGTGGTTGGTTGGTAGCTATGGCAACTTGAGGGCCGTGGTATGTTGGTTGGTCGCCATGGAAACTTAAAGGTTGTCGTTGGTTGGTTGGTCGCCATGGATACGAGAGGGAAAATTGTGTCCTATTTTAGTATGGGCTGTGGTTGGTTGATTGGTTGGTCGCCATGGAGACGCAAGGGCTGTGGTATGTTGGTTGGTCGCCATGGAAACGAGGGAATCTTTTATTAATGTCTTAGTGTGGGCTTAGGGTTGTGGTATGTTGGTTGGTCTCAATGTAAACTTTCGGGAAAACTTTTGCCGTGATTTAGTGTAGGCTGTGGTTGGTCGCCATGGAGACTTAAGGGAACATTTAGCCACGTTGGTTAACTAATATGTGCTTTGTTTGTGTTTAGAGATACGCCTCAATGCCGGGAGGGGAACTTTATTTTTTTACTGACAATTGATCGTTACAAACATGAGCTCTGAGATTTAACAAATGTATAGTTCTTGAAACCAAATTCATAGTTTTATGTTTGTAGAAAAATAGATTATAAATTCAACCTGTGCCCCCTCCCCCACCTATCTAGGTCCACAAAGTCGACACTTGACCTTCCCTCCATGTAGGTACCCCCCCCCTTCTTTTCTGACCCCAGAGTGGCCGACTGTGTGCTACTCACCTATGAGTAGAGAGAAGCAAACGACAGCCACGAATTTCATTAGATGGCTTCTCATAGTTACGACCTCGAAACGTTCTAGATTACAAGTCACATTGACTGTCCAGAAGATCGACTTTACTACATTTTTTAAAAATTCTGTATGAAAAAAATATTTCCAATCAATATAAAATAGTTACTTGATTTTGATATCTAGATATCTAGATTCTAATCTACAGTCTAATCTAGATCTAGATATCTAGATTCTAATGTAGAGTCTAGATCTAGATCTCGATTTGCATTATGAAATTATGTTATTTTTGTTTATCAAAAACAATTTTTAAGTAATTGTTAGAAGAGGCTCGTTTTAGCATCACTCTACCGGCTAGGTTTAAATACTCTAAAATAGTGTCATCAAATTCTATTACCTCAAAGCAATTTAAATCATGGAGCGAACTGAGCAGCGGCCATTTATTTAATTTCGGGTGCCATGGTTTACTAAGAGGCTTACCTTTTCGTAAAATTGTATCCAACGTTTCAAAAGCGCGCTTCCGTTCAATAGTGCGCAATGACCGTTCGTCGCCTTATCTATATGGGAGAATTATGACATGCTCTTGATTGTGATATTTTCAGGCGGTAAAGTGGTAATTGGTAGGAAGACGAATCAATAGATTAATTAGCAGTAATAGTAGGGTTATTAAAATAAAGTAAAAAAAAATCGTTAATACATAAAGTCAGCAAAGCTATTTTATTAAGTTGCGATAATTTATACAAAAAATATGCTCAATGACAGGGAAACAACATATTTTACTTGCTTTTGTTTCTTCTTCTTCTTCGTTCTTAATTATTAGTGTTGAAGGGGATCGAGATTTATCTGCCAGTGGGTTTGAACTCGAGACTTTGTTCGAATTTATCAACCATGAGCTTTTTGCCGACTCGACCACGCCTCCAGAACAATTAAGCGGTACGTGTCAACTGGTTATGCGCCATTGAGGCCATTGACTCCGATTTTCAGCCTGCTTTTTTTTTTCTACAAGGCAGCAGTTGTTTAATTTTGGAGTTGTCTCTCCTAGAAGAGTGGCTGTCCCCAGCTATCGAGCCTCATCTGCCCGAGGGTTCGAACTCGAGACTTTTCGGTTTAGCAACCATGAGCTTTACCGACTCGACCACGGCGACCCCTATTACTTGCTTTAAGAAGTCAAAATAACATTGTTCCCAAAAATAGGCAGAAGTAATAAGCTAAATTCGTGTGCAATACTGCAAAACTGATTAAACTCGACCGTGAATAAAAGTATAATAACAAAGTTTACTATAACAATCTTTTATACATGCACTAAACAGAAGATAATACAAATATTATTTTTTAAATATGTAATAATTTACCACTATTTTAATAAATATAAAGAAAATTGTAGGTCGCTATATTATATATTGAATACCATTCCCTAAAATAATGAGCAACACGCACTTTTCATTGTAGCTAAGCCTTTATAACTAGAGAAACATTATTAGCGTAATGACCCACGTCTGATGTGTACCTGACCCATCTCGGCTGTGTACCTGACCCACCTGTGTACCTGACCCACCTCCACTGTGTACCTGACCCACCTGTGTACCTGACCCACCTGTGTACCTGACCCACCTCCACTGTGTATCTGACCCACCTTTGTACCTGACCCATCTCGGCTGTGTACCTGACCCACCTGTGTACCTGACCCATCTCGGCTGTGTACCTGACCCACCTGTGTACCTGACCCATCTCGGCTGTGTACCTGACCCACCTGTGTACCTGACCCACCTCAACTGTGTACCTGACCTACCTCCACTGTGTACCCGACCCACCTCCACTGTGTACCTGACCCACCTCCACTGTGTACCTGACCCACCTCGGCTGTGTACCTGACCCACTTTTGTACCTGACCCACCTCTACTGTGTACTTGACCCACCTGTGTACCTGACCCACCTCGGCTGTGTACCTGACCCACTTTTGTACCTGACCCACCTCTACTGTGTACTTGACCCACCTGTGTACCTGAACCACAACGGCTGTGTACTCGACGAAGAGATATGAAACTGGAAGCCGCTTCAAAAATAATTGAAAAAAGATGGCCTTGGATGTGCCATCTACTAAGGGTGACGTCAGATGAAATCACAGCTACGGCGCTGAGTTTGAGACCGCAGGGTAGAAGGAGACAGGGAAGGCCTAGGGTGGCGTGGGGGCTCACTCAGAAAAAAATCTAAGTGTTTGTGGAATGGCAAAGACACCTGTCAGAGACCGGCACGCAGGGGGGGGGGACTTTCTGCCGTCCCCGCGTGAGCTGGCACCAAAATGTGACCATAGTTGTGTATGGCGTGTCTCAATGTCGCGCTGTGGTCGGGTGGAAGAGCACACGACTGCTTACCAGAAAGTCCGAGGTTCGGATCCCGGGCTCTAGTCTATAGGAGGATCCCGAGTCCACCCAGCTCTGTGGGTACCTGACTCACTGAGTCCACCCAGCTCTGATGGGTACCTGACTCACTGAGTCCACCCAGCTCTGATGGGTACCTGACTCACTGAGTCCACCCAGCTCTGATGGGTACCTGACTCACTGAGTCCACCCAGCTCTTTGGGTACCTGACGCACTGAGTCCACCCAGCTCTGATGGGTACCTGACGCACTGAGTCCACCCAGCTCTGATGGGTACCTGACTCATTGTCCACCCAGTTCTGGTGGGTACCTGACTCATTGTCCACCCAGTTCTGGTGGGTACCTGACTGAGTCCACCCAGCTCTGTGGGTACCTGACTCATTGAGTCCACCCAGCTCTGATGGGTACCTGACTCACTGAGTCCACCCAGCTCTGATGGGTACCTGACTCACTGAGTCCACCCAGCTCTGTGGGTACCTGACTCACTGAGTCCACCCAGCTCTGATGGGTACCTGACTCACTGAGTCCACCCAGCTCTGATGGGTACCTGACTCACTGAGTCCACCCAGCTCTGTGGGTACCTGACTCACTGAGTCCACCCAGCTCTGATGGGTACCTGACTCACTGAGTCCACCCAGCTCTGATGGGTACCTGACTCACTGAGTCCACCCAGCTCTGATGGGTACCTGACTCACTGAGTCCACCCAGTTCTGGTGGGTACCTGACTCACTGAGTCCACCCAGCTCTGATGGGTACCTTACTCACTGAGTCCACTTAGCTCTGATGGGTACCTGACTCACTGAGTCCACCCAGTTCTGGTGGGTACCTGACTCACTGAGTCCACCCAGCTCTGATGGGTACCTGACTCACTGAGTCCACCCAGCTCTGATGGGTACCTGACTCACTGAGTCCACCCAGCTCTGATGGGTACCTGACTCACTGAGTCCACCCAGCTCTGATGGGTACCTGACTCACTGAGTCCACCCAGCTCTGATGGGTAGCTGACTCATTGAGTCCACCCAGTTCTGGTGGGTACCTGACTCATTGAGTCCACCCAGTTCTGGTGGGTACCTGACTCATTGAGTCCACCCAGTTCTGGTGGGTACCTGACTCACTGAGTCCACCCAGCTCTGATGGGTACCTGACTCACTGAGTCCACCCAGCTCTGTTGGGTACCTGACAAACGTTGGGGAAACGAATGTTGCTGAGCATAGTGCTGACCACATTATTCCGACGTCGGTGTAACAGATTAACTCTACTTCATCTTCCCCATTTGTCTTGGGTACGAAAGAAAGAAAGGTACTGATAATGTCAATCTAATTGTTTTATCTTTAACAACTTTCATTACTTTGTTAAACAAAGACACAAATGGTTTTTTTTTTAAATTAGTAAATACTTTACTCAAAAACAAATTGAAATCAGGGTGAATATTTTTATTTAGTATTGGCAACAAATTACAAGGCAGGGTTAATCATGTTCAATTCTGTCACTGGCATTACGAGTTCATTTACTCTACAATCTACCTAACAATGTGTCTGATGTTCGAAGTGGTTTTAATAAAACAAGCCTCAATGTCTGAGAAAATGTTAACTGAATTCAAGATTTTTTACTTTATTTTAAATAAATTGTCCAGTAAATCAAATTAGTTTTTCTTCATCAACATCTAAAGCCTTTTTATTACATGAAATGTACTCAAATAGTTACTTGATTTGATAGTTAATTAACACGAGTGACGTCACGCATACCAGCGCCAATCTCGAGGCGGCGCCTAGAAATACAGAGGATGCATCGTTCCTTGAAAGTTGTCTGACCGCTACGAAATCTCCTTTTTCCGGTGCATGGAATGGTTCGAATCGGACATGTGATGCGGAATCGTCTTCTATCTCTGGCAAGAAGTTCAGTAAAGCTACAGCTTAACATAATGTAACATAGTCTCACTGTAGACGCTAGCTCTAGTATGTTGTCGAGTATTACATTTAATCTTAAGACAAATTTAAAGCTAATGATGTTCATAAAATTAATAATAAGTAATTCTCACTGTCACTATTTAAGTTAGTCAAAACATAATGATAATCCAAACTCATGTCCCATCTAACTTTTTACTCATGTCCCATCTCACTTTTTACTCATCTCTCATCTCACTTTTTACTCATGTCTCATCTCACTATTTACTCATGTCTCATCTCACTATTTTCTCATGTCTCATCTCACTATTTTCTCATGTCTCATCTCACTATTTACTCATGTCCCATCTCACTATTTACTCATGTCTCATCTCACTATTTACTCATGTCCCATCTCACTATTTTCTCATGTCTCATCTCACTTTTCACTCATGTCTCATCTCACTTTCAAGGCCTGTCCCAAGTAAACTACCTACATTCAAGCCTCACCTTTAATTGTTACTGTGACCTCAGAAATCACCGCTTCGGGCCGGCCGCCACTGATTGTATAAACAACTTTACACTGAAAACAGCCGCCATCTCGCTGGGAGCCACCATGAACCCTCAACAAAAGCTCTGGCCCGTGGAGTTTGGGCAAGTTTTCAGCGTTTTCGTTTTTCTCTAGTACCCAGTTTTTTGGTAGCTCGGGCAGTGTCTAAGTAAAACATAAAGGAGTAAATTATCTACATCTACATCTACATTTTCATCAACATCTATTTCTAAGTGTACTTGTACGTGTACGTGTACATCTACATACACGTCACCTTCCACGTATATACATATATATATATATATATATATATATATATATATATATATATATATATATATATATATATATATATATATATATACTATATGTAATTTAATTTTTACTACATATGTTGATAAAGTAAAATTAATAATCAATTATGTGAGTAGTATTTTCTTGTATGTTAAAAAAAAAGTTTGTTTTAGATAACAAAGTTTCTATCTAACCCAATTCTCCCAATACAAATTGACCCTATACATACCCTATACTACCACCATATATGTAGACTACCACCTTATATGTAGACTACCACCATATATGTAGACTACCACCGTATATGTAGACTACCACCATATATGTAGACTACCACCATATATGTAGACTACCACCGTATATGTAGACTATCACCGTATATGTAGACTACCACCATATATGTAGACTACCACATTATATGTAGACTACCACCATATATGTAGACTACCACCATATATGTAGACTACCACCATATATGTAGACTACCACCATATATTTAGACTACCACCGTATATGTAGACTACCACCATATATGTAGACTACCACCATATATGTAGACTACCACCATATATGTAGACTACCACCGTATATGTAGACTACCACCGTATATGTAGACTACCACCGTATATGTAGACTACCACCGTATATGTAGACTATCACCATATATGTAGACTACCACCATATATGTAGACTACCACCATATATGTAGACTACCACCACATATGTAGACTACCACCATATATGTAGACTACCACCGTATATGTAGACTACCACCGTATATGTAGACTACCACCGTATATGTAGACTACCACCGTATATGTAGACTACCACCGTATATGTAGACTACCACCGTATATGTAGACTATCACCATATATGTAGACTACCACCTTATATGTAGACTACCACCATATATGTAGACTACCACCGTATATGTAGACTACCACCATATATGTAGACTACCACGACATATGTAGACTACCACCATATATGTAGACTACAACCGTATATGTAGACTACCACCGTATATGTAGACTATCACCATATATGTAGACTAACACCATATATGTAGACTACCACCTTATATGTAGACTACCACCGTATATGTAGACTACCACAATATATGTAGACAACCACCATATATGTAGACTACCACCATATATGTAGACAACCACCATATATGTAGACTACCACCGTATATGTAGACTACCACCGTATAATTATGTAGACTATCACCAAATATGTAGACTACCACCATATATGTAGACTACCACCTTATATGTAGACTACCACCATATATGTAGACTACCACCGTATATGTAGACTACCACCATATATGTAGACTACCACCGTATATGTAGACTACCACCGTATAATTATGTAGACTATCACCAAATATGTAGACTACCACCATATATGTAGACTACCACCATATATGTAGACTACCACCATATATGTAGACTACCACCGTATATGTAGACTACCACCATATATGTAGACTACCACCACATATGTAGACTACCACCATATATGTAGACTACCACCGTATATGTAGACTACCACCGTATATGTAGACTATCACCATATATGTAGACTACCACCGTATATGTAGACTACTACCGTATATGTAGACTACCACCATATATGTAGACTACCACCGTATATGTAGACTACCACAATATATGTAGACAACCACCATATATGTAGACTACCACCATATATGTAGACAACCACCATATATGTAGACTACCACCGTATATGTAGACTACCACCGTATAATTATGTAGACTATCACCAAATATGTAGACTACCACCATATATGTAGACTACCACCTTATATGTAGACTACCACCATATATGTAGACTACCACCGTATATGTAGACTACCACCATATATGTAGACTACCACCGTATATGTAGACTACCACCGTATAATTATGTAGACTATCACCAAATATGTAGACTACCACCATATATGTAGACTACCACCTTATATGTAGACTACCACCATATATGTAGACTACCACCGTATATGTAGACTACCACCATATATGTAGACTACCACCACATATGTAGACTACCACCACATATGTAGACTACCACCATATATGTAGACTACCACCGTATATGTAGACTACCACCGTATATGTAGACTACCACCATATATGTAGACTACCACCGTATATGTAGACTACTACCGTATATGTAGACTACCACCATATATGTAGACTACCACCTTATATGTAGACTACCACCGTATATGTAGACTACCACCGTATATGTAAACTACCACCGTATATGTAGACTATCACCATATATGTAGACTACCACCATATATGTAGACTACCACCTTATATGTAGACTACCACCATATATGTAGACTACCACCGTATATGTAGACTACCACCATATATGTAGACTACCACCACATATGTAGACTACCACCATACATGTAGACTACAACCGTATATGTAGACTACCACCGTATATGTAGACTATCACCATATATGTAGACTACCACCATATATGTAGACTACCACCTTATATGTAGACTACCACCGTATATGTAGACTACCACCATATATGTAGACAACCACCATATATCTAGACTACCACCGTATATGTAGACTACCACCATATATGTAGACAACGACCATATATGTAGAAAACCACCATATATGTAGACTACCACCATATATGTAGACAACCACCATATATGTAGACTACCACCGTATATGTAGACTACCACCATATATGTAGACTACCACCGTATATGTAGACTACCACCGTATATGTAGACTACCACCATATATGTAGACTACCATCGTATATGTAGACTATCACCGTATATGTAGACTACCACCATATATGTAGACTACCATCGTATATGTAGACTACCACCTTTTATGTAGACTACCACCTTATATGTAGACTACCACCATATATGTAGACTACCACCTTATATGTAGACTATGTGTAGACTGCCACCATATACGTAGACTACTACCATATATGTAGACTACCACCATATATGTAGACTTCCACCATATATGTAGACAACCACCATATATGTAGACTACCACCATATATGTAGACTACCACCATATATGTAGACTACCACCATATATGTAGACTACCATCGTTTTTCCCAGAATGCGCAATCTCATGTATGACTTATAAATTCCTCTACCCCCTTCCCCTCCCCTATCCCTTGCATAACATATCTACGACGTCTACATTTGAAAAGCTGAAAATGCAGTGATCAGTTTGAGTAAGTAATAGAAACCCGGAAATGACGTACTTTATTCTCCGTGCTGCGATTCTTCGCCAAGTCAAGCTGACCAATCAGGGAATAGCTGTGGCCACACTTCTGGGCGTGGTACATCTGGAGCTGGTTCAGGGAGTACTCCCTGTGGGCTATGTTCACCCGGCTGACGTCACAGTGCGCCATGAAGGTCGACCCCTTGACCACGATAGAGTGGAGAACGATAGGTCGAGGTGACCTTGCTGGAATATGGCGGGCACCACGTGATAATTAACATGCCTTAGATTGGGTGCGCTCAGGGTTAACTCAATACAGGCAGGTATTAGTGCTAGCAATTAAAAAAAAACTCTTCGACAGAGTAATCTTCAGACAGTACCGAGAGGCCCCATGGTCGTAGAGTAGTGAATGCGACTGTAAACCAGCAGGTTTGGAGTTTGTAACCTGAACTCGAGCTAGTTGAAAGACCACGAGTCCACCCAACTGTGACAGGTACATGTCTTATAACAGGGGAAGTAGAGGCGACTTGGCATAGTGAAGAAGGCACTATTTCTTCATATTACAGGGTCACAGAAACAGATGAACTCTACTTCATCTGCTCCGTGGACAGTCCGGCTCGAATGGGTAATTGTTTACTAAACCTGTTCATCCAAGTGAGCTTTTGCATCTACAACATACAGTATATAACAGAGTAAACTTTAAACCTACAATATATCAGAAAGTAAACTATAAACCTACAGCATGTCACAAAGTAAACTTTAAACCTACAGTATGTAACAAAGTAAACTATAAACCTACAGTATGTCACAAAGTAAGCTATAAACCTACAGTATCTAACAAAGTAAACTATAAACCTACAGTATGTAACAAAGTAAACTATAAAGTATTAAACCTACAGTATGTCACAAAGTAAACTATAAACCTACAGTATCTAACAAAGTAAACCATAAACCTACAGTATGTAACAAAGTAAACTATAAACCTAGTGTGTTTAACACAGTAAACTATAAACCTACAGTATGTAACAAAGTAAACTATAAACCTAGTGTTTAACAAAGTAAACTATAAACCTACAGTATGTAACAAAGTAAACTATAAACCTAGTGTGTTTAACAAAGTAAACTATAAACCTACAGTATGTAACAAAGTAAACTATAAACATATAGTTTAAAAAAAAAAGTAAACTATAAACCTACAGTATGTAATAAAGTAAACTATAAACCTACAGTATGTAACAAAGTAAACTATAAACCTACAGTATGTAATAAAGTAAACTATAAACCTACAGTATGTAACAAAGTAAACTATAAACCTACAGTATGTAACAAAGTAAACTATAAACCTACAGTATGTAATAAAGTAAACTATAAACCTACAGTATGTAACAAAGTAAACTATAAACCTACAGTATGTAATAAAGTAAACTATAAACCTACAGTATGTAACAAAGTAAACTATAAACCTACAGTATGTAACAAAGTAAACTATAAACCTACAGTATGTAACAAAGTAAACTATAAACCTACAGTATGTAACAAAGTAAACTATAAACCTACAGTATGTAATAAAGTAAACTATAAACCTACAGTATGTAACAAAGTAAACTATAAACCTACAGCATGTAATAAAGTAAACTATAAACCTACAGTATGTAACAAAGTAAACTATAAACCTACAGTATGTAACAAAGTAAACTATAAACCTACAGTATGTAACAAAGTAAACTATAAACCTACAGCATGTAATAAAGTAAACTATAAGCCTACAATATGTAACAAAGTAAACTATAAACCTACAGCATGTAATAAAGTAAACTATAAGCCTACAATATGTCACAAAGTAAACTATAAACCTACAGCATGTAATAAAGTAAACTATAAACCTACAGTCTTTAAAAGTGAACTATAAACCTACAATATGTAACAAAAGTAAACTATAAACCTACAGTATGTCACAAAGTAAACTATAAACCTACAGTATGTCACAAAGTAAACTATAAACCTACAGTATGTCACAAAGTAAACTATAAACCTACAGTATGTCACAAAGTAAACTATAAACCTACAGTCTTTAAAAGTGAACTCTAAACCTACAGTACGTCACAAAGTGAACAATCGCTATGTCCCTGATTGGCCAACGGACATCAAGAGCCGGAAATGACGTCACGTTCGACTGACTTACGTATGACGATCAAGCTGTTGGACTCCTTGAGGTTGTCGATGTTTTGCCTCCCCTGCCTGAAGTAGACGACACATGTGTAGTTGCCGGCGTCGGACTGTTCTACTTCCTGCTTGACGGCCTGTAGCACCACGCTGCCCAGACTACCGGGGGAGAATATGGTCCAGTGCACAATCTCGCTTCTGGCCAGGTGCTGGTCGAGAAAGGTCAAGGTCGAGTCAATGGTTGGATGAATGCTTGGGTCAATGGTGTACAGTGTAGTGTGGGCAGGCAGCAAATAAGGACGGGCGGGTGAGGAAAGGGAAACAGAGGTAGGGGAACTTTCAAGATCAAAACTCATTTATAACCAAAAAATCGAAAACAATGTAAGGCGCAAGGGAATCAATACAAGATCCTAACAATAAAAGCCGGTATAATCGGAAATCTGTTCTTTAATGTGTGAAGTTATTGAAAACTTAAACACTGTGCTAAACTTCTGAATGGCTAGAGGGAATTCTCTACCGCCCCCCCCCCCCCCCCCCCTTTCCCAGTGTACAACTCTCAACCTTTACCAATTCAAAAATGTATCTTCTACCTTAGCCATTATCTATTCCATGACGACGTGGCCAGAGTTTCTTCCAGGCATCTCTTCGGGGAAAAAAAATTCTACCGAACGAAATGAAATTTACATAATTTATATAGAAAATATATACTTTTAACAGTGTCCGCCCCTCCCCCGAAGAAAGTCTACCGCCCCCCCCCCCCGCGAAAATTTCAAGTGCCCCCCCCCCCCCCCGGAGAAAAAAGTCTGGAAGAAACACTGGACGTGGCCTAAGCCGTAGAACGCTTGGCTGCTAGCCCGAAAGTCTGGAATCCGGGTCCAAGTCAGTAGAAAGTCACCGAGTCCACCCAGCACTAATCGGTACCTAACTTATGTAAGGGAAAGTAAAAATGGCTGTGCAAAATGCTGATCACAGCTTCTCTTTAAATGGCGAGGTTAAAAAAAAATATGGACGCAACTCCATGCCCAATGGAACGATTGGTTTAAAGAATATTCTTTACTTTTGTTTTTATTCAATGAACGCAAATTCTAAGCAGTATTGTGAATTCATAAAATAAAATCAATTTTAAATTATTGATTTCAATACATAAAATGACTTACGATAATGAGATTTCGAGCTTCGGATTCGAGCGGAACAATGCTTGCTATGTACGAGGGCTTCCCCTCCCCGTTCCGCATGAGAGTGACCTGCACTATTTGGTCTTTCATGCCGTTGAGGCCCACTTTAGAGGGGGTGCAGGTGGTGGTGATGGGCGTGCCCTCTTTGGCGATTGAGGGACTCAAGATGGTCGAACCTAGTGCGCCTGTGTTCAATTCAACAGTTCAAAGGTAATAACGGCTTACGTGTATGTAAGACTGTAGGGGTAATGACGGCTTACATGTATGTAAGACTGTAGGGGTAATGACGGCTTACATGTATGTAAGACTGTAGGGGTAATGACGGCTACATGTATGTAAGACAATTTATAGATGTAATGACGGCTTACATGTATGTAACCCTGTAGAGGTAATGACGGCTTATATATATGTAAGACAATGTATAGAGGTAAATACGGCTTACATGTATGTAAAAAAGCCCAAAAATGTACATGCCAAATTATGATAGGGGCTAGGATTCTAGCTTCAAGTATTGAAGAAAATAAACATTTTAACACTCACTCATTCAACGATACGTTCATGAAAAATTTACTTATTTGTCTACAACTAAACTTAAATCACAAACAAAACCTTACTCTTACAAAATCCTAAAACACTTGACGTTAATTGATGCTTTTCCTAATAATCTAACCTGTATTTGTATAGCACATAAACCAAATACACGTCATTGAGTCTTACCTGAAACGATAAACAACAGTCCTAAAAAGTGTTTTTGTTTTCGGGTTGTCATGAAATTATCGATTGCTGAAACCGTTCACGGGCAATATAAGAATGACAGTAAAGTCTATTTTCACTGGATTCGGCACAATTCAAAACTAGCGTTGTCAAAAATTACAAAGACCAATTTGTCCGAATGTTGCGTACTATGCCTCTCTCTTACTAGCATCTCTAAATCTGCTGTTGAACAAAACTTCAAACAAACACTAAATGTGGAGAGGAAGAAGAAAACTTTTCAATAAACACATGCACGCTGATGGTTACTTCAAATGGGCAACTTGAAGTTTAAAAATTTGCTTCACTTTATGGAAAATCATCCAGAAACAAATATCCTTAATTATATCTAGATTCATTTGTAATGCAGTAATTAGTTAGATCTTAATTAGAAATATATTATTGCTGTATTTTGCGTAAACAAAGAGTGTTCTCTATTCTTATATAACATTGCTTAATATATTCTTATATAACATTGCTGAGTACATCCCCTGCCCAAATATAACACATTATAAATGATCCCTTTCTTTCTCCCTCTCTCTCTCTCTCTCTCTCACACACACACACACGCAGCACACACACAGACATACACACACATTTCCTAACTTAATGTTAATCACAGTGAACATGATTCCATAGACTACTTCTCTATTTATCAATAAAAAAATAAATAAAGTTAAACTCATTTTATATTTATTTAAACTCAGGCAAACCCATTTACTGTTAGCTCACAAATTCAACAGAGACAAGAACTGTGACCAGTTAGACAAAATTATTTGACATGACTAGGAGTAACTCTGTTGAAAAACCATTTAAAATCTAGATTTGTATTTCTAAAACAGCTGTCTTGCCGTTGTAGATGTATACACATTTTTTTTCCGTTCAATAGTGCGCTTCAAAATTTTCAAAACATCCTACATCTTTTAGTGCGCATTGACTATGCAAAATACAAAACGAATATAATAAACACAAGTCAGTAATAATTTTACTAAAGCATTTTTCCGCGCATTAAAAAAAACAATAATAAACTAATATTGTTATAATAACGATCTTTTTTTGCATTTTTTACTAAAATGATGAAAATCTATTGACTTTCTTTAAATATATAATAATTCAATATGAATTTTAATAACAATAAACAAAAGCATAACATTTTCATCGGGTCTTAACCTGTTTGTCAAATTTCAAAGCAATTAGCAAAAGTATCGCTTCGCCAAAAAATCGGATTACGCTAGAAAGTTACACCTACGAAAAAGACAAGAATTAGCGCGTCAGACAAGGGAGTAAAGTTACATGTAAACAGAAGCGTAGCGAGGGGGTGGGGCGGGGGGGGGGGGGGGACATATGTCCCCGGGCGCCGACCTTAGGGGGGCGCCAAATTGAAAGTTTAAGGGGGGGTGCAAATGAAAAGTTCGAGGGGGGGTGCAAATCGAAAGTTTGAGGGGAGGGGTGCAAATGAAAAAAGTTTGTCCCCGGGCGCCGGGAGGGGTCGCTACGCCTCTGCATGTAAACTTTCGAAAATAATTCATTTCAATTAAAAATGCTGCACCGTTTTTAAAGCTACAAAAATACTGCACCATTTTTAAATCTACAAAAATACTGCACCATTATTAAAGCTACAATAATACTGCACCATTTTTAAAGCTACAAAAATACTGCACCATTTTTAAAGCTACAAAAATACTGCACCATTTTTAAAGCTACAAAAAATACTGCACCGTTTTTAAAGCTACAAAAAATACTGCACCGTTTTTAAAGCTACAAAAAATACTGCACCATTTTTAAAGCTACAAAAATACTGCACCATTTTAAAGCTACAAAAATACTGCACCATTTTTAAATCTACAAAAATACTGCACCATTTTTAAAGCTACAAAAATACTGCACCATTTTTAAATCTACAAAAATACTGCACCATTTTTAAAGCTACAAAAATACTGCACCATTTTTAAAGCTACAAAAATACTGCACCATTTTTAAAGCTACAAAAATACTGCACCATTTTAAAGCTACAAAAATACTGCACCATTTTTAAATCTACAAAAATACTGCACCATTTTTAAAGCTACAAAAATACTGCACCATTTTTAAAGCTACAAAAATACTGCACCATTTTTAAAGCTACAAAAATACTGCACTATTTTTAAAGCTACAAAAACGCTGCACCATTTTTAAAGCTAAAAAAATCTGCACCATTTTTAAAGGTACAAAAATACTGCACCATTTTTAAAGCTACAAAAATACTGCACCATTTTAAAGCTACAAACATGTATTTTCGAAATGTAAGCCTGTAAGGTGATACTCCTACCTGGGAAAAGCCAAATAAGGATTATATATATATATATATATATATATATATATATATATATATATATATATATATATATATATATATATATATATATATGGGAAAAGCCAAATAAGGATTATATATATATATGTATGTTGTCAGTATACGGCGAATTTCTTGGAATTATTTTAACCGACAGATTAGCTTCAGATGCATCTGAAAATGTTTAGACGCGGAAAAAACAAAAGGTACACTTTCGTTAATTTAGTAATCCACTTACCAATGTGATGTTACCTTACCGGCACCTCTTCCCGCCTCTCGCTGTTATTATCAATCATCCATATATATATATATATATATATATATATATATATATATATATATATATATATATATATATATATATATATATATATATATATATATATATATATATATATATATATATATATATATATATATATATATATATATATATATATATATATATATATATATATATATATATATATGGTAAATCTTTATCGCTGCAAGATATTTATTTCAACTAATTCAATACTGTTCGAGCAAAAAGATACGATAATTAGTAATGCTAAAATACAGTAATTTAAAAAAAAATTACTGGCTTTTATGACAAGATTTTATTGAACGATACACA